GAGAGTAGAGGGCTTGTACGAGTTGATGGTTGAACGTCAAGGAATTGGATGTAGTTAGCGTGCCAAGGCCCTTTAGGCTTCGTGCCTCCGGGCGAAATAAATTCCATCCATCCATCCAGCCTAGGGCTGGCTTGATAGGAAAGGCTGCGTGAATCGTGCCGAAAACAGAATCCGTTTGCCTGTTCCGGTGCCACCGTGTGACCGGCGAAATGGAGACATCGCCTGTATTAAGTGCCGGCCTTGGGAATTGCACAAGCAGAGGTAGGGGAATCAGACCGGGGTGGTGCGGAAGGATAAGCCAGACAACGCGCCCCCCTCGCAGTGGCTCCTTTCTGAGTTCAAGCGGCGATAGTTCAACTGTGGAGGTGTTGGGAAGACAAGCTTCGGGGACCCAACCAGAAGACGGAACTGATGTTGCTGTGAGCCAAGTTGATGAATCCTCCTCCACGGCCTGGAGTCATGGCGGCGGTGTGACGGTTGAGGCTGCAAGGCGGAAGGCTGCCATTGTTGCGGTGCGTGGGGTGTGCAAGGCTGCCTTGACTGGTGCTTTCCCAGCTGGGTGCGTGTTGAGTCCGATCAATCGAGAAAACGGAAGGAGCTGCGGAACTGGTAATTTAGAATGTTGCATTGGGTTGGTTCGAGGCAGGGATGCAAACTTGGAACTTCCTTGTGTTGACCTCATCACCTCCGAGCTGGCCAGGTGGTTTTCATTGCAAGTCAGTCATGCCCAAATTCAGTCGGGCACTCTGTACTAAGGGCGAGCTCCCGACACAACACAGGAGATATGGGGGTTCATGTGCTGCTTGCAGGCGCCGCCTGTGCCTTAGCCTTCCATTACATGTTTGGGCGACCATGGACAACGGAGGTAGCTCCGTAAGGTAAGGCAGACCAAAGCACACAAGGAAGGCCAGTGATGTTCTTCAACTTCTTGCTCAGGGTGAGGCGTCAACAGTGGCTGCGGTTTCCATTGTTGTTTCTCTCCAGCGAAACCGTTGGCGGCGTCCAGAATGCAGGGCAGGTCGAGCGCAGGATCGAGCAGCCAAAGAAGCAAGTCACACCATGTGCAGGATATGACTGCGTCTCAAACGGCACCGATCGATTTTCTCTCTCCAGCTAAACACCTACACAGCGCAGCAAAGCAAGGGACATGCTCAGTGCTGACTTCTCTCCACATTGCCCTTCATGCTACATTTGCTGTGTGGCTCTGCCTTCAATGCTGAAGGACGGGCGTGTCGAGCTGTCCGTTCCGATCCTGCAAGAGATCTCCGGCCGTTGTGTTGCTTGGGCAGGAAAAGCTCATAACTCGGAATTGGGCGGGACGAGGCGCTACGAGCCAACGACAGGCGCGATGCGTTCGGAATCACGTCCCCGCAACTTAGGCATTCTGCCCACGGTGATGCTGGAGCGCCAATCGAGAATTGGGGTCAGGCTGGGAGATGCCCTGGATTCAGGCGGCTCTTGATGGTAATTACTCTGATGAGGCTTCCCAAACGCGACGGAAGTGCGTCAGGGAGCACGTCTGTCGGTCTTCCTGGGAATGAATCCTCAAGTGGCTCTGAGCCCCATCGGCGTTGGTCGCGGTACCCTCTTCCTGCCGCTCTCGAGTAGTGCGCAGTGAATCGTCGGCGTTTGGATACTTCGGTGCTTTTTATTACGCATAGGGCTCACCGGCCACCTCCACTGCAATCGAGGGCTTCCAAGTTGGACCAATCCTCCTTGGCGCGTACCGTGACTGTCGTATCTGGTTCACGTAATGCAATGCAGGTATCCAGTGTGCCACGGAGGCCGCAGCGTCTGGCTGGCTGCCTCATCTCCATCCAGTTTCTCCTTCGCCAACAAGCCAGGGCCCATGGGCTTGACGGCGGCAATGGCAAACTGGAGTTTCAAACGGCACCCACAATAGCTCCCCGCGCAACGACACCTTCTCGACGAATGATGAACGACGCCCGAGACCAGCTGCAAGACTCGGCCCGTCGGGCACACACCACTACCTCCGTTTGCGTCCCGCGTTTTCCGCCCAACCCTCTGAAACATCCAAACGACGCCGTCAAACCAACCAATCTAGTCGCCATGCTTTTCTCATTCCGCGGACCCCCCACAGCGACGACAAGATAGGTATGAGTTGAGCCCGGCGGTTCCGTCGCGGTCTGGCTGCCGCCCCAGGAATGGTTTCCCTAGCGTCAGATACGCAAAATACCGCCGATGGTAGTCCGACAGCGCCCACAGTTCCTAGCAACTCCATCCATCTTCCTACGAGTTTCGTCCAAATTCGACAGCGCTCTCGATAGCACCGTCCAGAGCACCATGGAGATGACAGTGGCCTGAACACCGGACGCCCTAGACCAGCCTGTCGTTGAAGTCGACAAGAAAGGCGTGGCCGAAGTGGAGAGGTCCTGGGTCATTTCAAAAGTTCGTACTCAACTGGTTTCAGAATTCGAACCTTCAACTGACCCGGATAGAAGAGCGTGGACCAGGCATCGACGACTTATCACGCGAATGTTTCCCACTTCCTACCATCCAAGCCCAACTCGCCCGAGCTACTCTTGATGTTCATCAAAGCTCCGGTTTCGCCATCGTCATGGGCCTTGATCCTCGCAAGTACACTGCCGAAGACAATGTGATCATCTTCGTTGGCATTGCCGGCTAGATTAACGAGCAAAGGGTGTCCAGGACAAGGGTCCATGTTGAGCACGGCTCGCGTTCCGTTCATGCCTGCCATAACCCGGCTCTGACCTAGTAGCCCAGTATTCCCTATGATTTGAAGTAGCATATCCTGAAGATTCAGTGAAGCAGTAGCCCTATTAAATAATTAAATACTCTCTCAAAAGATCCACGTAATTGAGGATAATTCATTCAAAGATCTGATCCTTCCCTTACTACATCTATTACTTCATTTGGAACTGTATTCGCCTCATGTCACGGACTGCAAGGTCTAAATCACGCCTCCCGAGATGCGCCACGGCATTCACACGACTACCGGTTTAGTACGTTGCTCGTTGGAGTGTACGCGACTACTTTTCCTCGCTGACGAGACACGGCTTCTAGGCTTGGCACTGCGACATGGGAATCGATCCTCTCGCGCTTCACGTCCGATCTCTGGCGGCTACTGGTGGCAGCATCTTCGTGGCATCGTCGTGGACGATATACAAGGAACTTGTAGCTGTGTATGCTGAAGTCCTCAACGCACTGCGTGTTCCGAGCTGGCCCATCCAGATGTGAGTCGGCCCGTCGACTCCCATGACTAGGTTGATTTTAGCTTCCTCTACGCCTTGCCCTGCACACTGCAGCCTTGCTGATGCTTTAGTCTCTAGGTCTGGTGATCCTCCGCGCTACATTGTCGCGCCTCTGCTGCACATTAGCAGGGACAAGATCATCATCAGCGTTGACCCGGAACGTCTTGGGCTCCACCCTGCAACAGCCAAGACTGGCCGTGAGTCGCCTGTACCATCTCTCACCTCATTCCAGTTCGAGGCCCTCGAACTTCTCTCGAACTTGGCGTCCAATACCGCCATCGGCTCGACACGAGGGAGGGAGACATGGTCTTCATCAACAATTTCGCCCTCTTGCACGACCGAGACTCCTACGTCGATCTTAAATACGGGCGTCACTTTGTCCGACTGTGGCATCGGAACCCGGAGCTGGCTTGGTACCTCCCCAGTCGATGCTGGTGCCATGGGAGGCTGCATCTGGGCATGACAGGCAGGAATCCGCGGGGCTCGAGAAGTGGTACCCCGTCGTGCTACCTTTGAGTACAAGCCGCCCAAGTACACAGCCGGTTCTGCCGCCTTCATCCTCGAGGACAGTGAAGACGTCAACGGCAAGGGCTTGATTTAGACGAACGTTGTCGCATAACTGCTCCCGGTGCAACAACGTTCGACGCTACTAACAATTCACGACATTTCTGTCTTGCGCACCTTGACATTAACCTTCACGCCGGATTTCAGGCTGCCATCCATACTCAATTGGTTTGAAACGAGTTTCTCCGGGCACGACCTGCCCCAGATTGGATGCTAGGAGCTTTGGATAGGAGACTCGGGAGGCGGCAACCCTCCTATTCAGCTTCAGTCACAACCGTTCATTAACGCAGTTATGAATTGTGGGCTACCTCTAACTTGCTATTTCCTGCGTCTCAGTCTGGTATCCCTAGGCCAATCCCAACATGTCTCGAGACATAACACATTGCTGACTGTGAAAAGTCTCAGCCTCTGAGAGGAGACGACATCAGCCATCATTGCCTGGGCTATACTCCCAGCTCCCGAACCCGGAACAACGGGAAACCCCACAGTTGGCACCTGAGCAACGAGCCCAGGAGTCATCCGGACCTGATCCGGGCCAACCCTCTTCCTGCTTACCGCTTTGGTCTGTTGAAGGCGCCTGTACCCTAGGGAAAATGACCTGGTACACGCGAAGACGGTCGTCGCTAATGGTCAGATACAGCTCGTGCGGGCGCCAGGTGAAGGCGAATGGCAACGTCGGTACAAAAGGCCGGGCAAACGAGCATCCCAGGCACGCGGCCGATCAGTTGGAACGTCTAGCACTATGCCGAACGAGGGCGAAACAGACATCAACCTTACCTTACCAACCCCCCCGCGTTTAACGGCTTCTTCCCAATGGTCAGAGCCGTCCACATGGCGTCAAAGCCATTATCGTCAGTCCGCCTTCCATTCACAATGCAGCCAGTGGACGGCTTGGAAATCTGCCCTTCAAATATCGAACACTGCTCACTGCCCCTTTTTGAACACCAGCTCGACATCAAGAACCGCCCTTTTTCTCCGCGGGCGATACCCTCTTCAGAAAGATTCCTGACCAACGAGAATGCTGAAGCTACGAAACAAGCTCTCTACGAACCCCGGGGAGAATATACAAGTACAGTCCCGCCAAACCCTTGACCCGAACAGGGCCTGACGTTGCGAAATTGGCCGCCGGTTGGCACCGCTGGGGCAGTGTCGAGGGGGAAGCAAATACGAACACGTCCGTTGATTAAGCTCGCTCATTCTTATGGTCCAGGTCTTTGATCCTCCCTGTATCCCACAGCTCATTTCTCGTGAATTGATGGACCCGAGGGCCATCCTGCAGCGTTAACGGATGTACTGCACAGTGCAGTCCAAGCCATGACCTTCATCCTTCTTCCTTCAGCTTGAATTCCTCACGGGAAATTCCCGCATTCCTGCCCATGTTTTGATCTAAAAAGAACTGAGTCCCGCCCTGTAACCACCCGAGCAGTTTCGGCCCGAGAAGGAAAGGGTGGTGCTATCTTCTTCCCGCTGCAGATTCTCCCAGTCTCAGCAAACCAATACCTAGCCACGAAACAAACGCACGTTGGTGCAACCGTGACTCAGGCGCGGGTTATGGGATGAATCTCAGGGTGGTGTGCTCAGAAAGCTCGGTGCTTCTCCTCAGGTTGCGCCTAGGTAGTCTCCGTCTCACGATGGGTTGGCCTCAGCTGCGTGCAAGGTGTCATTAGCACGCTTCTCATGGCTCAACTTATTGACAGCACACCAGCTGCTAGCACGGCTATGATATTCCGCAATTCGACATACCACGCTCGGCAGACTTGTCAGCAGCCGGCATTCGAGATGGTGGCGGCTTAGAGGCTCGGATTCATTCCCCGTTCCCCGGGTTCTCTCTCTCACCTCTCGGATTTCCTCTTTTCATTCCTGCCCGGTGGTGCAGATCTTGGCATGACCACGACCCCGTCCACCATTACGGAAGCTCGCCCGACAGGTTATCGTCAACAGACTAATGCATGGCTCAGGCTGACCAAGTGGCACGACGGCATGGCTTAGTTGGCAGAATGGTATCATTTTGCCCCGATCTCCATAATGGTGTGCTCTTGACAATAACATGCTACGGACGCAGAGCCCATTGATGGACCAGATCATGTTAAGGGAAGTCCCGGCGGCGCTGGCAGAAAGCTCAGCAGCTACTAGGCATCTCCCTGGTTCGTGTTCATCGAAGGAACCAGCAGCGAACCAGCCCCGAGTGCCACGTCGCACAACGATACATTGCAGGTCGCGATTGCCAATGCATATACCGAGCGATATGCATCCTGCAGCTTCTTTCAACATTCTGCAGACCTGAGGTGCATTACAACCTAACCTTTACTCCTTTAGGAGAATCCGCATGGCTGCGACCTCGTCCAGTCAAAGGTGATTGGAGTTTGATCGATCTGACCTCAGTCTGGGCTCAGTGCGTTCGTGGCGTGCTGCACCGCTCTCGTCTCGCCTATTCGTTGGGGAAACATGGCGATTGTTATGCCGTCTGGTCCAGCTGCTCTTTCAGCATCGTACCTCTCAAGCCGTGGAGCAAGATGGTGGCCCCTTTTAAGATTCCCTGCTTCGCGGAAAGGTCTCGAGGTGAGAGTTGGAGACTACCTCACCAGGTAACCTGTCCGGCTCTTTCTTTCTTTCCCATTTCTCAGCGTCATAATCATCCTCGATGGTTATACTTTTTTTTGTCTTTCTTCCATCTTTCTTTTCTTCTTTCTTCCTTCCCATCTGTTTATCTTATTTGATCATTTTGTCTTATTATTCTTAATCGTTCTCTTACTTTCTGTGGTTCATGTTCTCTACTCTTGTCTAAGCAGCACCTGCTAATGCTACACTAACAAACTAACTTGGGCTGGGTTGTAATCCAGTACACGTTGTAAGAGCACCAAGCCCAGCCCTTGCTTCGCCCATCCCGTCCTCTGCCGTCAAGAAAACACCACAACCAGGTCCTCCCTGGGTACCACCCATCCCCACTCCCTGTTTCACACTCTCCTCCAACCCCATCCTACCCCGTACACGCACCTCCCCTTCACACCGCAGACAAGCTCGTCACCCTCGCCAGCCCTCCTCCATCGTGCCTCACCCCAGGCTTCAGTGCCGCGCTGAACCGGCTCGCGGCACGGATCCGCTCGCCGTAGGCAATGAACCCAAACGGGACCAGCGCCAAGCCGGCACTGACGCCTGCCAGCACGGTGCAGGACCATGCGATGCCCAACGCGTCCACCATGTCCTCGATGGCCAGCGGCAGCACGGCGCCCGCCGCGCTCCGAGTCATGCTCATGGCGGCGAGCGCCGAGGCTGAGTAGACGCCGTATGCGTCTGTGACGTACTGCCGAGGTGTATGTTAGCAATGCTACTCGGTTGGGTGTTGCACAATTGATGTCAGATGTATTTGTAGGGTAGCATACGTTGATGATGCCCACGTAGATCAGGTGGGATGCCAGTCCGTAGGAAATGGTTGATGACAGGGGCACGAGCCAGTGTATGTCCGGCCGCGCCGACCAACCCAGCCACAGCATGGAGACGACGAAGAGTGGTCCGCCTGTGCAGACCAGGGGAAGGCGGAGGTATTCTTCGCGTTTCGTGGGATGTTTTACGCTGAGGCGCGGGGCGAAGCCATCGTACCAGAAGAAAATGAAACAACCGATGAGGGTGCCAAGTCCCGCTTTGTCTGTGTCAGCATCCCAGTGGCGAGGAAAAATGTGAAACAGGTGGACTGACTGATGGTGAAAAGTATACCGGACATTCCTGGGCTAAACCCGTACACACCTTGAAAGACACGTGGGAAGATCTGGATTAGCCTGCTGGCGTTAGCTACTACCGTTCACAGGTCACTACATGGGCGGGAGCGGCCTACATGTAAAATACGGCGTAGACAAAGCCCATATATGCGCAGGACAGAGACACGACCATCTCCCCAAGAAGCAGGCGCCACGGCCTCGACAGGGTGGTTTTCTTATCCAGTCAGTCGTCCTATGTCTTTTTCTCTTGGTGGGATCACTCACGTAGGCGTCCCAAGCGCTCTCCTGCTTCAGCTCGGTCTCAGCCACGAACCGCTTGCCAATGTCCAGGTTCCCCTTATTCAACTTGACTGCTTTTCTCCTCAGAATCGCCGAGGCCAGCGTCTCGGGCATTAACAACACACCAAGAAGCGAGGTCACGGGTAGAGATAGCGCAATCCTTGAGGGAGGAAAGGTCAGCAACAGCTCGCAGGGCAAAGGTAATCTATACGAGGCAGACTCGCCAGAAAACAGCCCGCCAGCCCAGCTTGGGGCTGAGAAAACCTGACATGATAGGGGCGCCCAAGGGGCCAATGAAGCACATGGCCGACCTGGAATTGATCGTCAGCGACCTGCCTGGGGCACCCGCACGTTCAGCTTCCGCTTCTTCCTTCTTCTCCTCGTCCCCTTCCAGTACACGCCAGAGAAACAGAGAAGGCCGGCCTGTCAGCCCAAAGGAACTCCTCTAGGATCCTGCCCCTGAACAGTACAACGCATCATCCCTCCTCAACGACCTAGAAGCAACATTCCCCGGACCCCCTTTCTCCTCAAACAAAACAATCCCAGCACCCACTCCCCAGATCCACAGCCAGTCCGAACTCCCTGGTAGACAGCCAGCAGCGAACAAGATAGAGTACTCACCAGATCATAATAACCCGCCCCCTCCCCACCTCTCCATCATACAAGTCCGCGATGACCCCGCCAAACACACTGATGGGCGGGCTCCCAGCCATTCCGGCCAGGAACCGCAGCGCCAGAAACGCGGCCCAGTCCTGCACGACCGCCTGGCCCACCGAGAACAGCACAAACAGCGCAGCACCCGTGGCCAGGACGCGCCAACGTCCTACGAGGGGGGATTCGCTTAGAGGTGCCCTATTATGACCGTGTACAACATCATCGTAAGTCATCAAACTGTATTATGCTGGGGGAAGCTGGGAGGGCATGTTCTGCCCGGGGCCACTCACCATAGCAGCGGTCCAAATACAAAACCGGCGAGGAACAAGGAAGCGGGCAGGACGCGCTGCGGGCCTGTTGGGTCCGGGACGTGGAAGGAAACCGGAAGTGGCGGGGAGAAGTTGGAGGGGAGAGTCGAGAAGAAGGTCGTACTTGTCGTAGAGATAAATGCGGTGAGGAAGATGAAGGACTTAGTTTTCTGGAAAGAAGACGGGTTAGGCGTGTGTGTGCTCCAGGAGGAAAGAAGGAAAGAGAAAGGACAGGTAACGCACAGTTGACCAGTTGTGAGGGTTGGCTGGGTCGTTGGGTTCAAAGGAGACTATGGTTAGAGCTTCATCCGGTGCGGCGGTGGACGGCTGATGTTGGTCAATATCTGTCAGGGGTAACACGATCTCGTTCCTGCTAGTGCTGCTGGTCGACAGCGAGGCCGGGCAGGCCTTCTCGGCCTCTTTACAAGGCTTGGTCTTTTCCATCGTGTGGGTGCATCGACAGAGTTGAGAAGCATTCGATGCTGAACGTCGCGGCTACCTTCGTGCTCGACCTAATGGTAACGATGCTGTGCATGGCAGCCCGGCGCAGACATACACACTGGAGCATGGCCGCTTATTTATGAGCATGGCCTGGACTTCACTCGTTTTGACACTTCGATCCACGATCAGCCCCTGCTGTTGAATAAGGCTTTCACTAACGAGTTATGGCGATTCTGGAAGGTCCCATCCCCCATGGTGAACCCGGCTCAGCGTCATTCCTGTCCGATGACGGCCCGTAGCGCCGGCACCGTGGGCTCCGATGGCCCTCCGGTGGGATCGGTGCTGTGGGTCTGGACACCATTCCTGGCTGGGATCGCTCCCCGGCACTTCTGTTTCTTGGTCTCGATCTGTGTTCGAAGCCGAGAGGGGGAAAGGCGTTTGGCTGTTCAATCTGTGACGTTATGAAGATAAGGGAAGGAGTATCAATGGGATACCGTCGTTGAATCTGTTCTCGGCTTCAGCAAACACTGTTGGCGGAGATCGCCCGGAAATAAGGAGCGTGTAAGTCGCAGTCCAGGCTCAGACTGCCGTGGAGGGTCCCAGAGCTTACTTACCCTTACACAGTACACCGCTCCAGACCTGCATCTGGATACAAGACCAGAGAGAAGCGCAGAGATACCAATCAACAATAAAGATGTGTAGAAGTCCGAGGCCCGTAAGCTGTTGGTGCATTCCGGAGAATGAAAAGCGGCCGAAGGCAGGTGGGGCATCTCTGACCGCCAGAGGTGCCCCGAGTCCCGAGCTGGTCAGGAGAAGACGTTCAAGAAAGGTCCGAAATGTGCCTGGTAGCCTGGGTGCCAAAAATCCCAATCTCTATGCACATGCATACACGAGGCGACAAGCTGCATGGACCCGGCGCCGGTCCATGGGTAAATGGAAATCCACGAGGATGGCCTGGTACCCGATTGGTTCCCGGCAGCTGCACGATGTCATATGCCCCTTTGGAGAATGTCTCTTTCGGCGTCGTTTCGTGCCAAGCAGTATCTGACATCGGGAACATGTCCGAGGTCCGGCAGCCATCACTCCGGGCCGGACTTCCTTTGCCCGAGATTCCGGTATCGATCCGGCCGGCCAGAGCCGTTTTCGAGTTGGTGCTGGTCGTGACCCGGAGTGCACCTGTGTTGCTGCACAGCTTTGCTGTACGTATTCTCGACTCCAGGGGGCTGAACCTTGGTCGAGACTCGAAATTTTCTTGTCTATAAGCGGTGGTCGGCATAAGAGAGGTACTGCTTCGAAACGACAATGCTAATAAGGATGAACTAAGATCCCAACCTCAGACTCCGCGCCAACCGCACGTCAATCATACTTTCCCCCATTCATACGCCAAACCAAGGTATCATATGCAAAGGAAGTAGGATTTGTTAGTCGGAACTGCCCGAATACCGTTCCAAGACCCAGTCTAGCACACTAGTCCTGATGCCAAATGTGAAACGCCAATGCTCATGAACCGCCATAAGTGTGCACGTTTGTGTATGCAGTCGTACTCCATGTGTTGAGAGGAGAGTTGCGGAACTGAAAGGGGTATCTCGTTCCGAAACGCCAGAGCTCAAACAAACACTGAAAGAAACCGGTTCCAGGTTTTGAGGAGCAAGTTAAGAAGCAAACCAAAGGCGCCAAGCACGCTAAATATCTGGAGAATTTCCCAGGGATACCGAGTTCGCACTTCGGTCTCGAGGAACCCCTCCTGCCCCTTGTTGAGGGGATTGGCAGGGCTCTCCGGGAAGCGACCGGTCGATAGGTACTGCTCCATGAAAGCGTCTTTTTCGTACCATCGCTCTCGAAGCCAGACATCGAACTCCTCCTGGTTGTCCAACGGGATGTCGGCTATACGGAATCGGCGCCAGTAGAAATTGACCGATTTTGGCGGCTGTCCCCGGATGTAAGTGCTCGAGAGGGTGAAGATCGTCTCGCCAAATTTGCCTCGGCTGTATGACTTGTTAGCAGATGGGGTTGCAGGATCCAGGGGGAAGCATACCCAACTCCCTCGTAGGCAACAGTGCAGTCGTAAACGTAGTCAAGCGTGCCCTTCAGCTCGTTAAGGCAGTAGTATATGCCTGTGCTTCGCGGGAGCAGCACATGTTCTGGGTCCTTCACGCCAACCTTGGCCGCCCACGTTGAAGACTTCTTCCTGCCGTTTGCAGAGGCATTCGTCCCCTCCGGAAACAGGAGAAGCCACATGGGGTCGAGGTACTTCTTCCCGTCAGGCGCCGTGTGCTTCGTCTTCAGCTTGGTCAGCCTGTGAGCCAGCCGCGGCTGGTCGACGGCCATTTTCCGAGACATGAATATGAAGCCGTAGAACATCATGCCGGGCCCCACTATGGGAATATACTTGAGCGACTCCTTCAGGATGATGTAGAGCGAGCCGTGCATTTTGGGCACATTCGCATAGCCGACCCACCACAAGTACAGCCAGTCCGTGTATATCTGCAACCATGTCAGCCCAAACGAGACAACCGCCTAGCCGTATCCTGAAATTGTATGTACCTGATGGTTGGCGATCATGATCATGCGCTCTGGGAACAGAAACTCCACGAGGCCATCTTCCGTCTTCCGGATCTGGCCGGCCACCGAGGCATCCCCGCTAATGCGTATTGTAGTCGGACCCCACCACTGGGTCATGGTGGTAATCATCACCCCGAAAGACCGCTTGGTGAGGGACATGTAGGCATAGTAGAGCTCGCGATTAATCCAGTAGAGGGGTGCGCCGATGAGCTGGGTCGCGTGGATACTGTCATCCAAGTATCAAGTGTCAGCCTTTCGCCGAGTGCCTGGGATAGCAACATAATGGGGTTGCATACCCAACGGCACAGACGGAGAAATAGAGGGCAAAGGAGACGGCCCGGAGCACCTGCACCAGCCTGCCGTGTTTCTCGCGGCCGGAAGGGTGGGCCGTGGCAGCCGGCACCGCGGTGGCCAACTTGCCCGCTTCGGCGGCCATTGTCGACTAGGCGCGCGATGACGCAGTTCGGCGGCAGTCGACAGTGCCAAGACTTCCAAGGGTCGAAAAGCCGTGAAGCGGGTTGGGCCGCCAGTTCGAGTCGCGAAACGAGAAGAGATCGAGAACCTCCGGCGTGGGAATTCGGGGAGCGGGAGCGTCTTAATCAGACGGTCGTGAATAGGAGTTTTGTATATGTTCGGCGAGGTTGACCGCAAGGCAGGCAGCCGCGGTCGCAGGCGCAAGGTGAGCTGGTGCTGCAGGGTCATCCGCCAATTCCGGGACGCCTACCACACACAGTATGGCGGACCAACAGAGACCGCACGTCGCAGACTGACACCAACTGTGCAATTGTGGAACAAAAAGCGGCCCAACAGTGTGTGTGGCACAGCTCCTGGCGAGCGCATCGAGAGTGAGTCGTCGAGACAGAAAAGAGAGACCAAGGAGTAAATACACAGCTAGTTCACTGCTTTTCCTGTCAGAGAAGCTGACGGGAGCCGAAGAGATGCACGTCGATGTCGGCTCATGGCAAGCACCAAGCCAGTTGATGCACCCTTGCTGTGGATAAGGCCGTCAGCGCTCCAATTCCATGTGTTCCCATTGGCTCGAAGATCCGCCCTGTGGATATCTTCGGCTCTCACAGCTCCACCGCCCAGGTGGTTGGAGCTTTCCCATCACCAAAAAGCCGCCATGGACTCTTGAGCTTCTCGAGCTGATTGCAAGACACAAACTGACCTGGAACTTCCACGTTCGACCTCGCAGAACGCATCCAATACGCTGTGTAACTAGTTGCAGAGAAAGGCTGCAATTACCGCCATGTCGGCATGCCAGGCTTGTCATTTCCGGCTCGAGATCGCCACTGTCGTCTTTCCGCCTCCTTGGCCATGAACAACTCCACCATGGCCGCTCTCGGGCGCAGCTGTCTCTACCTTAGAAGACGAGGAGTAGCTGGAGGTTTCCGCTTCCTTTCTGTATCAGCCGTCCATAGGAAGATTCTCGATGCTGCGACCCTCCCCGACCGGACCGTGCCTCATTACCAGCAGACAAAAACATCGTCGCTGCTCTCGCTACAGTGGCCGCAGCCGCCGCGGAACATCCTGCTTATGCCCAAGCTGAGCGCGCCTCGAGTCACCATCAAAGCGATTGAGTTTGCAAAACATATTTACAACAACTATCCGGGACTCAACCTTGTCTTCGAGAGCCATATCGCCAATGACATTCACGAAACGCTGACCTTTCCGGTCTACACGACCGACCCGATCCAGGCGCCGACGCTCTTCGCCAAAAAGATCGACCTAGTCACCACCATGGGCGGGGACGGCACCATCCTCCGGGCAGCGAGTCTGTTCTCGATGCACAACAGCGTACCCCCGATCCTGTCCTTCAGCATGGGGACCCTCGGCTTTCTGGGGGAGTGGAAGTTTGGCGAGTACAAGCGGGCCTGGAGGGAATGCTACATGAGCGGCTGCTCCGTGACCGTCGAAGACCTCGTCGACCCGCACACTCGCGCGGCCGTAGCAGGTGCGCAGCTGTCGGGCGATAACAACGACTTCCTCCCGCTCTCGGCCTGGGACAGCGTCCGCGGCAACGGGCAATGCATGGGTCTCAGCCGGACCTCCAAGATCCTGCTCCGGAACCGGCTCCGGGTAGGCATCTACGACAGCCAGGGCCGGAACATCAACGAGCAACTCCTCCCCACCTCGACTGCGGAGCCCGACCTCGGCCCGCCCGTCTCCAACCTTATGAAACCCCCCTACCTGCACGCCATCAACGAGGTCTCGATCGACCGCGGCTCCCACCCGCACCTGGCCATCATCGACATCTACGTCAACGGCCACTTCCTGACCGAGGCGGTCGCCGATGGCATCCTCATCAGCACGCCCACGGGCTCGACCGCTTACTCGCTCAGCGCGGGCGGCTCCATCGTCCACCCGCTCGTCAAGTCCCTCCTCATCACGCCCATCAGTCCGCGTAGCCTCAGCTTCCGCCCGCTCGTCCTGCCGCTGCACACCAAGGTCGTGCTCAAGCTGAGCAAGCGCAACAGGGGGCGGGAGCTGCCCGTCAGCATCGACGGTAAGAGGCGGGTCGGGGTGACCATTGGCATGGAGGTGAGGGTCGAGGGGGAGCGATTAGAGAAGGGAGTTGACGGATGGCGTGGCGGCGTGCCGTGCGTGATCCGCGCTTCGTCGACAAAGGGCGGGGATCCGGGGGGTATTGCTGAGGACGACGATTCGTGGGTGGGTGGGCTGAACGGGTTGCTGAAGTTTAACTATCCCTTTGGGGAGCCCGTGGAGGAGCTGTAGGGCAGCTCCATTTACGAGTCGGCACATGCATGGGGACGGCTTGGATGTTTTGGAATAGTGCTGGATCGAAGACATGGAAGAGTTTGATACCCTGCAATAAAACTGCTAATGATGAGGCTGCTGGACGGTCTGCTGGTCTGACCAGCGGCAGTGAGTGCCGTTTCCGTGCCCCCTCGGAGAATGACCTGCTGCTGAAGGATGCAGCGACGACAACATGACATGGCAGTTGAGAATTGGCGCAGAGATACAAGTGAATCTTCGCTCAGTTCCTGTTTTCTTTCTCGAACCGGGGTGACTGACCTGACCGTTTGGATCACTGGTACTCCAGTCCTTGAAAATCTTTAGGTTGGCCCATGGTAACGTCAGCTGCTCTCAGTGGCTTTCGAGATGAGTGGTGAGCGCAGATGCCGCAATAACGGAAAATGGATACAGGAGGCGTTCAAAGCTCATCCAGGCGGTGTTGCTACTTGAGCTCAACAGCAAACCCGAGCAAAGAGTCAATCAGATATGCCGGACGCCAGTTGTGCCGCAGCCAAGAGCGCGGACTCGACCCTGAGCAACAGCTCTCTTCAGGTAAGGTAAGCTATCATACACATCTACCGCGTAACGTAAGTACTACATACATCACAGTCTTATCATATGGCTCTCTTCCTCAACTCCATCCCTTTCAGGGTCAAGCAGACAGTCAGTCATCTGACCAACCAAGATTTCCCCCGTACCCAACTCCTATGAATGCATCTTTCCCAGGCGTTTTTGCAACAGCAAGACTCATTATACCGCCTTCCACCAACCCCTCATACATTTGGTAAAGCGAGCAAAACATTCAGAGAGCCGCAGCGAAACCCAGAATCAGCATCCCGAAGGTCCCCACCACGGCCCCGTGAACCGTCGCCGCGCCGGCAGTGTGCGCTGACGAAGTGGGCTTGGACGAGGCGGTTGACGAAGTCGAATTGCTGCTGCCACCGGTAGGCGTGGGCTTGGCAAGCGAAGAGTCGGCGGAGCTGCTCGAGTTGGGCTTTGAGGCGTCGGTGGAGGTGGACGCGGCTGAAGAGGTGCTGCTGGAGGATGTGGTAGAGGAGGAGACGGAAGAGGAGGTGGAGGAGGCGGCCGGGCCGAGGACTTGGGAGCAGAACTTCTCGGTGGCGGGGAGGACTTGATCTGTTTTTTCGGCGTGTTAGCATGACAAGATGACTGTGGAAGGGGAGGGTGGGAACCGGTACTTACTCAGGGCGACGTCAGCGCCGCATTTTTCGATCACGCATGAGGTGGCAGACGCTTTCACGGCATCCATGTTGCGGCAGACACAGGCGAAGTCGAGGAGGAAGCAAGTGGTCGACGTGCTGACTGCCTGGGCGATGCAGGGGATGGCGCACGGAGGGAAGACGCTGAGGTCCTGAGCCTTCGCGGCAGTGGCGAGGGCGAGGACGGCAGTGGTGTACTTCATCGTGATGGTTGTGTTCGTCGGTTTTGGAGGGAGGGGCGGGCGAAACAACGATTGTCTTATGGTTGGTCTGGTCACTGAACGAGTGTGTTGGTGAGGAGAGGGAGAGAAGGAGTCAACAGGAGAAGACAGAGGGTCATTTATACGATGATGCTGTGCTTCCTGCTCGACTTGGAAGCGAGGGTTAGCGTTACCCTCCCAGACAAATCAAGTGGACTGGCCCAACTCTTCGGATGGGTGCCGTGCATTCCAGATTTGATATGAGTTTCGGGAAGGGACGCAGGACTGCTGGAACTGCCTGCCTTCGCGTCGTTTTGTGGGATTGGAGCACGCAGGGTCTGCTGGGGAGTCTGATGGGCACAGTCTCCTGTTCCTGGATACATCCTGGATACAGTGGCCCGGATTCTGTGCCGCGAGGCATCTTTCAGGAAGTTGTAGGTATCGAACTTGGGACGTTGGGATGTTGCACATGAACGTTCAACAGGGAAACCTCGGCCTCAGCACCCTGATGAGGTTGGGTCGTCCGAGACAACCTGTGTGTTCCCCGAGAAGTTGCCTCCCAAACCCTACTCAACTAAATATTCGGTGTCCCGGGCATGTCCGTATAGCGCATCATGTCCACGGGGAAAAATCTCCATGTTGGTGTTTATGCATGCCTCCCGTTTGGGTTGGGCCTCGAGAGGTGTCACTGACGGGACGTCGATCGCTTTGCAGGCCGTACATTACATCCTTTAGACGAAGCCGAGGCCAAGAGATGCGCCCAGAAGCATATGACTCGGGAAGACGCCGGTTCGGTCCTCATGGGACTTAGAGTCCAGGCAACTGCGTGCTCGGTGCTGCTCCAAGTGATGTACTCGACTGACTAATGTGTTAAAAAGGGGTAGTCGAGAGGATGATTCTTACATACATCATTTTGGGCCTCACTAACAAGACGAGTGGAGCAGGACCTGCGAACATGCAGGCGAGGAGTGAGTTGCTCCTTCCCAGACCCGTCCTCTCACACCGGTGGTGTTGATGTTAGGGTTGGCATGGAGGAAGGAGGTGGTGGATGGAAGGAGAGAACGTGAGGGAGAGAACGAGAGAAGGAAACAGAATTTGGAGCATCGGCAAACTTTTGGTAAAGGAAATCTTTACTTTTCAAACGTTTCGAGCTGCACCTTTTGTTTTTGTCCGTTTCCAATTTTTTTCTTTTTTGGGTCTTGTTTATTTTGTTTTGATTCAAGCGGTTGTTTCAAGTGGGTATACTGAATCGAACAGTCAGCCTTGAGGTCACGTGAAGGGCTTCTAACGGCGTCATGTAATGACATTAGACCGCTGGCGGGCTTATTTGTGTTGGAATCTGTCTCTGAACTCGCCCTTATATGCCTGGGGCACGTAGTGAAAGTAGGGATGGAGGGCAGGGTGTCAGTCTCCGCGGCAGAACAAAGCGGAACCTGTGACACCCTTGGACAGGCCCAACTTCTCGACGTGGAAGGTGTATCGGCTATCTGTAGATGGGCACCAAGGACTTGTCCTTGCGTCGTTTCACAGAGCAGGACGGTCAGTCGAGTCAGCCTGTTCAAGCGTGAGCATATACTGCTCACCCATCGTGTAACCAGGACTAGACTGGGATATTCATCCTCCCATGGCCGTGTCTTGTTACCACAGGGCTCGAAGGGGACGTTGTTTGCAGGCTTTCATGTGGTGGCCACCGTCCACAGCTCTGTGTTACAATTCAAGACTTGTTGCCCCAGTTTTCATGTACAAGGCAGGCGTGTTAACGAACAAACATAGAGCAGTCATAGCAGAAACCGAAAGCCAAGCCTTGTCCGTGTTGTAATTTGACGAAACCGGTGACAGAAGGTCCTGACTGATTTGTGTGCAGGTGTGAATGAGGAAGAGATACCTGGACAACAAGCGTCATGTAGACATGGATGAACAAATCCCTCAACAAGGGACCTTACAGTCCGAAACGTATCGCAGTCCACAGCTCTCGGTTGTTTGAGAGGAGGATGTAACTTTGCCGCAGTGCGTTCCGCCCAGCACGTGAGGATTTCACTGATATACACGAGCTACGAGAACTTTCTTCCGTCGGAGCATTGCCAAGTCACGACGTAGAGGAGAACCATCATAGGCATGTTTGTAAAGCCTTGAGTCCATTTCTTCCGCTTGTATTGCCAAAATGCAGGCAGGTTGGAGCACTCACGGGTGACAAGCGTGTCCAAGGTACTAAGCATCACCGACCGCAAGATGAATGAGCATGACATCCAGTGAGTGGGAAAGGGCATTGCCAGGGTAAAGGCGTAGACGGACCACATCAAAAGCAAATCAAAGTCGACATCAAGTCAAGGGAAAAAAGGGCAAGCCAACAACTTTTAGCATTTGTCCAAGGCTATACAAAAACCCAATGCAGGTATAGACTCGCTCGGCACAGACGGCCAGGGAGACACGCTTGCTTCCGCCAACGCTCAGGACAACAAAAGGGATTCAACCCGGCCAGACCACAGCGCAACACCAGCTCAGGCGAGCCAGGCTAAGCACAGACAGTCAGACAGACAGACAGACAGACAGCAGAAGTCAGATTGGAGACCGATGGACGTCAATGTCAAGACCTGTCACAGCCTCAACAGCCCAACGACCTCGCCCCCAGGGCCCTATCAAACCGGGCTCGCTGCCTCGCCAAGACTCGCGCCGCTGCCGCTGCCCGACCGCACGCTACTACGGCCAGATCCGGCAGACCCAAAGCCCGACGACGATCCTGACCCGCAGGACGCAGGCCCGCCCTCGAGGTTGAAACTGGGCGGGGGCCCACGCAGCGTCGCCGTTCCGGCGGGAGTTCCCTGGGCGCTGTCGCTGCCGCCGCCGTGGCCACCGCTATGCTGATGGTAGCCGCCGCCGCCGCCTGCCGACGCCCCTACGGCTGCGCTCGCGTTATTTAGGCTGCCGCTGTCATGCTCGTCCTCGTCCGTCGACTGCGTGAAGCCCGAGATGTTGCTCAGCATCGAGGAGGAACGGCCTCTGGTGCGGTGCGGTGGCGGCGGGGTACCCAGCTGTAGCGGGGTCGAGAAAGCGGAGAGTTGGGAAGGGGCCATGAGAGGAGTGACTTGGGCGGGCATCGACACAGGGGGCCAAGCAGATTGGGCGCTGAACTGGGAGGCAGGCGCCGCCCAAGGTCCTGCGGTCGCGTAGGGGTTTGCTTGGGGCGCCATGTCGTATGCCGTCTCGTCCTGGAAGGTGGCCAAGTACTCTTGCAGATGGGCAGCCATAGCGTGGACCTGCGCCTGCTTGGCAGCGTTAGCCGCACGCATATTTTGGATTCGATCTCTAAGGTTCTGCTCCGCCCTAGCGAGTTCAGCCGTGAGGTTAGCGCGCTCCTGGCGGCGCCGCTCGGCCTCGTTCAGTCCCCGCGCGTTCGCGTCCGTAATGCGGGCGTGCTCATCGTCGACCTTGGCGATGCGGGCGGCAATCTTGTTTCTCTTCGCCTGCAGGCTGGCCTTTTCCTCGTCCAGCGCTTTGATCTGCTTGTCAATTGAGGCCTTGAAGCTCTTGAACGTTGCGTGGGCCTGGTCGAACTTTGCTTTCTCCGAAGTCCACTCGGTATGCTTAGCGCGATGATTGTTGAGCAGATCCTCTGGTACCACCTCGAGCTCCTTCAGCTGTACCTCCAGTTCGCACGTGGAGTCCTCAGCCCGCTTCTCCTGGATCTTGTTCTGTGCGATCTTTTGCCGCAGTTTCTCGTCGTCGCCCCCGGCGGATTGGACGGCTGATGTGAGCTTCTCAATCTCCTTCCGCGCGGCGTTCAGTTTCCGGTTGTTGTCCTTCCGCACAGCCTTGAGGCGGGCCTTCTCATCCGCCAGCTTGATCTCGGCAGCCGCAATCGATGCTCGCAGCGTCGTCGCCGGAGAGTCGTGCCGCGCATGCGACCGCGAGTTGCTTGCCGCCTTGGGAGCCGCTTCTGCGTCTTTCCTCTTGGCTGGAACAGTTCTGACGCTCGTGGAGAAGATGACCTCGCCCGTCCGCGTGCTGACAAATTCGCATTCGTAGTTGGAAAGAGGGGTCAGGCCATATATGTCGCCGGTCCAACGCGTGCCTCGGTAATTCTCCTCCTCCGGGTTCTCGATCGGAATGATGCGTGTTGGCTGCCAAATGGCGTTGTTCACCCTGACGTAAAATGGCTTGGAAACATCAATACCCGATTTGCTGACCTCCTGGGGGTGGTCATCGTCACCAACATCCGGAAAGTGGCTGGTACTGAAGCAAACCTCGTCGCAGCCGACGTAGCAGATCCAAATTTGCTCGGGTTGGGTATTGAAAGGTGCATTGCCGAGATTGTGTATATCGGTCGCGTTCGATCCGGCTGATTCGCTTGCTGCGTGCGACAGCTCGTATTCCTTGACCATGACAATCTTGGTGCTGGCGAGAGCCGCCCAAAGAGGTTGCTTTATCCTGACCTGGGCGCTTTGCTTTCGCCTCTTCTTGCCCGAGAGATGGGCGGCGCTGGTCTGTAAGTGAGCATCGCTGTCGGCCGCCAGGAGAGCAACGTCAGAGCAGCCCTCGGCCGGTAAGGACACCGACTTGCCCGACTCTGGATCAAGCAGGGCTTGTGATTGCAAGTCCCGTCTTTCCCTTCGCAAGTACCATTCCCGAATGTATCGAACGAGACCCTGAGTCAGAATGTGGATAGCCAAAACGCTCCTAACCCATCCGTAAGGACCCTTCTTGTCGAACATCCGTGCATTTGGGTCCGTGTCGCAGATGAACAAGCAGTTCGAACCACCAAAAAAGGAGCTTAGACGAGACAGGCCATTGAGCCGCTGGGACCAATGCGACACTCCGACGATACCAACGCACAGCATGATGTTGGGCGTCGTTCCCTGCCTCGAAGTGCCTCCGCCGCCAAGCGTGAAAGAGATGACGACCTGGGCGAGATCCAGTATGAACTGCTGCATCGGAGCCCAAAGAAACAACCAAATAAGCAGCATGATGCCATCCATCCACACCAGCGTCCACAGGGAGGGCGTGCCCTGGCTACCGTCAAAAATCTCGGTGATGCTGAGGCCCGAGCTGGTGGTCACGGGAGGGACGAAAGTCAGGACGGTAAACAGCATGTAGATGGTGGCTAGCACGGCAGGCGACAGCTGCATGAGGATGATCAAGATGGCAATGGTGTCAGCGAGGGGACAGGACCGTAGGACGGTGATGGCAAGGTCCAAAGGGCCTGGGTCGCGGTGGACATTGGTATTCTTCGCATCATTGACATCGATCCGACGGTGGAATTCTTCGGCAACGGCATGGGTGGACGGAGGCGCGGCCTGCGAATCGGTCGAAGAGGACTCGGAGTAGGTGCCTAGCGAGCCGCGCCGCAGCAGCTCGGTCGCCCTGTGCTCGGGGGGCATGTCCTCGGGGAGCGCGGGGAAACCATTCGAAATCGGGGGCACGAGCGGGACGGGCGGGACGGAGGCGCTGTCGACGGCGGGCTTGGGGCCGTCATCAAGCTGGGTTTGGCTCTTTCGCTTGATGACGCGCTTGCCCGGGCCTACCAGGCCATTCTCATGGCGGGTGTCGCGCTGATTGCTTGCTCCCTGCTGTCGCTTGGTTGAATTTGATGCGCGAGGCATGCGCATCCGCTGACCCGACCCAGAAGCTTGTTCTGAGCCAGCCCAGCACGGGGTCGAGGATGAGAGCGGGGCGGGTGAGATGGGAGACGCAGAATTGGATTCCCCAGGTACCGGCGACCACAACCTATTCCTCCTCGACTGGCAGCCCGGGAGTTGAACGGTTCGATAGGAGGCAGCCGATCCGAATGGCACCCGATTAAATTTCGACGTGGCGGGAGAATTGAGAGCCGCCGTTGTCGCTGGGGCGGCCTAGAAAATGCGATAGAGATTCTAGGGTGTACGGATTCAGGGATTAGATGCAGATTGGTGTTTAAAGGAGAAAAGCGGATTTTTGGGGTTTGGCGGCTTAGGAGTTTAACGTTACCGTCTGCGGGAGCACAGTACGCAGCATTTGTGGGACTGTGGATCAACACTGAAGTGAGTACGGATGTATTGTTCACGCCGCTCCAGCGTCGTGGCAATCAGGGGTTGCGCCGTCCCGCGATCAGGCGAGCCCAGCCCCGCACTGTGCAAGTTGACAAGGGTACACGGCCAAACGGCAGTCGCAGATGAGTCAGGCCAAAACAAGCAACTCTCCATTTTTTCAAAGTATTAGCACTCAGCATTTCCCTCAACTGTTGCTCTCTGCAGATTTTTCGGCTCCCACCATTCTTCGAGTCTTGAGGACATCCTGCGGAGGACACGTCCAGTCGGCCAACAAACCCATACACCTCCGCAATCCCGATGTCTCCAGTGTCAAGGACCAGCCTTCTGGTTCTTATTCACATTATCTTAAAATCACAGGCTTGGGCTTGCAGAAACCAGACTGAGTCCAACTGTTTGAAGTTACCAGTGGATTGCCTTACATTACCTCCCTGCTGGTCTTCAATCCCATCTTCTTCGTATTGCTCTGGCACAGGCCTTCCAGAGGAGACGAATCGATGGACCGGTTCCTGGAGGTATAATTCCCCCTTTGAGCGTCTCGGTCTCATCTCTCCACTCAGGGCACCCACGGGTAGGTTTTGGCTCAAGCCAACAAGCTCGGTTCCAATACCTTTATTCCAATCTCCGGCCCTTCACCAAGACCGAGTGGAACGAAGCAGCAGACAAGCCAGGAATCCTCTCCTCCAGCTGCAGGGCAGATAGTTACTCTCCCGTTCACGCAACGCATCGTCATGCTCACCCGGCATACAATTACGCCAAACTAGCGGTAAATACGGAAGCGTGCGGCAGCAGCGTATGAAGTAAAAACGGGAGGATGTGGGGAGGCGGCTCCCACTCGACCGTGTCGATCACTGCTTAAACTCGATAAAATCACAGCATCAAAGTATACACGTGTACATTTACAGTCTTCGATTTTTGAATGTTGCCAATGTCATGTGCGGTGTGTAAGACGGTATAACGTTAATTGTTATCTGTTCCACGCTTCCTGATCATAACATCTCGCGGAAACCTTTTCTTCTCCAACACCCACTCGGTACACGGGAAGCTCATGACGACAGGAACCATGACAGCAGGAATCGTGCATCTGACCAGCCGACATTGATCAACTGGACATTGATCGCCGGCATTTGCACAAGACCCGGCCGTCCGGATTGGCCAGACCGCCGTCTTGACCCACTCATACCGGTAGTCGTCCATGACCACCTTCCCTTCGCGACCAAGCGCAGATGCTATCCTTACGCACGACCCAGAACAAACAATGCTGGCGGGCTGGGCACGGCAGCGTCTCTGCATGGCCAGTATTTGCTGACTCCTCCATGGTAGCCAGAGAAAGAAGAGAACGCGGTTGTTCGCCCCGCAAATCCTGCAGCGCCCGCCGGCTTGCCAGCGGGCGATCATCTCTTGGCCAAACGTTTCAATACAGAAGGGCCTGACGCTTGCAATTTCGCCCGCCGTGATTGGATCCGACCGTTCTCATGTGGGGCTGGAGCGGGAATGGCATGATCCTTCACAACTGTTCGAGCCAATTTCTTCATTGCCGCCGCGAAGCGCCGAAACCGACCGAGCCCAATGCTTGTCTGCGAGCCAGGCATCGCCGAGTTGAATGTTTCTTCTGCGTGACTGAGGCATGCTGCTTTCCCAGTCGTTCTACCATAACTGTCAGAGCGACTTGGCTTTTTGAGGGTGATCGCATGCTTCAACCTCAGGAGGGGTCGTCAGCCATCCGGGTTTCTATCCACGGTAGCTTAAGAGTTCCAACCCAAGCGCGGCGTCACATTCAACCGTTACCACCATCAAATTGGAACGGCTGAACACAGTCCCCAGCCACCCGGAGATGCCTCTCCCATCCATGCCCAGGAGTCGGTCAGCCAAGACCACAAAGTCATCAGAGCCTGGCCTGGACCGCTTCATCGCGTCTTCACCATGGCATTACCTCCACGGTGACATTTTGTGGAGAATGCAACATACTGCCAAACGCTTGCGGAAAGGGTGAAAGCCCGAGGCCGGCCACGGCATGGCAGGGCGGTTTCAATGACGCGGCTCCGAACCGAGAGCCCTGGTTCCGGGACTCGCTCAGGGCCAGCCGACCCGGCGTAAGATGAACTCGGCCTGCGATATTTCTAGGTCCCACAATAGGCATACTAGCGGCAGGATGCTGGAGTATCTTCAAGGCGCTGGATGAAAGGGCAACTCCCCTCCTCGAGTCTTTGCAGTTAGAAAGGCACTCTATCCTATCACTGGCCCAGAGGCACAGGTCGTCTACTCGCAAAACAGACAGGTCTCGGATCAGAGATACGGTAACTCTTCATGTCGCCTTTGCCGCTCCCATGTCCTCGACAGCGTCCGGCCTGTTCCACGTTTCAGCCTCCAGCTGCACGACTGCCCCATGCAGCTCGAAAATCCGCATTCGCGCCCGAAGCATCTCTTGCTGCTGAAGCTCCCACGTCTTCTCAAACATGTCCAGCATGAAGTCGGGCATGCTCGTCTTTCCGGCCTTCTTGTAGTCGTAAAGCACAATGTCCTCCTGCAAGCGGCATGCGATCCTCCGGTGCCGGTGCGACAGCACGATGCAGTCCAGGTAGAAAGAGCTTGGGGCCGGATTCCGTTCAGACCTCGCCCGCAGCTTGTGGTAGACTGAGATCCTGTCCGGGTAGACCATGGGCTGGGGATTCGTAGTCAGTTTCTCTGCTGCTGCTGCAGCCTGAGGAATGTCGTGCACTACATACGAACTTGAAATCCGCCTTCAGACTCCGCATGATCAGCCCTGTCGACCGGGGCGTCATCAGCTCCCGCCACTGCCGGTGATGCCCCGGGTCAACGTGGACAGCAAAGTTGGTGATCCAGTTCACCCTTGCCGACTCGGCGTAGCGGTAGTAGTTGACATTGTTCACGTGTTGCTAGGCACACGGTAGATTGCCGACATGTTAGCCCACAGCAACAATTCGCAATTATGTATTAGGGATCATTCGAAATGCGCCTTACAAAAGAGTCCATCTCGCCCCAAGCAATCTGCTGCCTGTCCAGCCCCCTCCGCCCGCCGGTCAGGAATCCCTCGCTCCCAGCCAGCAGCTCCTTCCACTCGGTCGCTATGGCGCGCAAAACCTCCGCCGCCTGCGAGATCTGCTGGGCGTTGCAGCCGAATACCAGACACTTGCCGATGCGCGCGCGCAGGTCGGCGATCCAGCGGGATGGCGGCGGTGGGAAGGGGTCATTCCTCTGCCCGGCATGCTCGTGCGCGGCTTCGCTGGAATCTGCGCCAACTGTAGAGGCGGAAAATGCGCGGCGAAGGGGAAACGGGTGTGTATATGTTACGTGACGGCATGCCCTCCCCGCGAGGGTCATGGCCGGGCGCCGGGCCGGGAGAAGCAAGGACATAGCCGGGGGTGACGGTGTGGAGAGAGAAAGCAAAGACGATATCCTTATACAACACGGCTGATCAGATGCCACATCAACCGTTAATCATGAGTGCGGAGGTCACTTAGGTATTGTCTAGCAACCTCCCCAGACTCGACGTCGGTAGACGGATGTTGACATCGGCTCGGGCTTTCGGCAAAGGTGGGAGCGTGGCTGATGTGGGGCCCTTCCCTGTCCTGCCGGACGGTTGCCGGGTCGTGTCAACGGAGGCCTTGCAGTATGGTCTTGTTGCTAGAAGGCGGCTGAAGGCTATGAGGTAGGTCATTTTGGGTAAAAAGGCTGTAGAAATGAGATTCTTGATAGAACTGTGAGTATGTTCGCGGTGCTGTGCTCCGAGACGTACAATTGTCAGCCCACAGTGAGCTGGCCTCGATAAGGTAAGATAAGCCGACCTGTGATGTCGTCACTTGAATCGGCTCACCTCCACCCCGAGTCACAATCGCCGTGTTCCTCAGGCCAGCTGTAGCGCATTCGAAGACCATGAACGAAACATAATAAACAAATAAATATTCTTCCACCAAATTACTTACAATGCCCCGGGCGCCCAACCCGGAACTGAGGAGGCAAGTTATTGCCATCTACAAACGCAAGTCTTCGTCCATTTCTCTGCCTCCTGCCATGGTTAACTTTACCTCACTAACGCACAGTCACGCACACAGAGCTCCTGTACCTCGGTCGAGATTATCCTCAAGGCTACGATTACTTCAGGCCACGACTCCATCGCGCCTTCATGGCCAAGGCAGGCCTAACGGACGAAGGCGAGATCAGAAAAGGCATCGCTCGCGCCGATTTTGTGCGGAAAGGTACTGTTGTCCCAGACTGCAAGAGCGTCGTTGAAGAGGAGAGAGATGTTCATAGAGGGGCATCTCATGCCGCGATAAATGCACTGAAGCTGACTCGATTTGACCCAACTTGACAGAGATAGAGGCTCTGTAAGCTGCATTTCTCCTTGTTCTGTTGGCAGTGAGATCGTATCATTCGTCTCGCCCAACCGCATGACACACCACGGGACTTCAGGGACCAATACCAAAATGATGCGCGTTCTGCGCCACAGAAGCTATCAGAATCCATAACATACGCCCGTTCCGAATGTAGGGGCCATGTTGTATGGGGATGGATATACGTGCATCATTTGCGCTTCATATACACGATTGGCGCCCATCGCATTCAGACCAGATCTCTCTTCTCGCTCATCACCCGTTGCTGCTCAAGAAACTGACCACACCCATGTATCCAGGTACTACCTCAAACGATACCGGACGCTGAGGAAGAGATATGACGGCGCGTAGGCCGAACACGACCTACGTACATGTACAACAGCGCATACATCGTTATATATAGGCACATAACAAGCAACCGCCGTCGTTGAAACGACGCTCAAATGGCGGAACGAACTAATCCCGCACCCTGCACTCATCACATCAGGAGCAAGATGCGACCAGCCACCGCTCCCAACCCCGACTTTACAAATCACCTCTTCCTCGCCCACCAAGCCCCAACCTCCAGACACTCCCCCCAGCTCGTCCCATTCTCCCTCACTAAATCGTTCATCATCTTCCCCACCCACGCATCCCACTCATCCTGGCTCTTCCCGCTCGCCTCTCTGAGCACAGGCTCCAAGCTCTGTATCTTGCCCACAACAATCATCAGCGCCGTCCTCCTGAGCGCAGCAGCAGCAGCGTCCAATCCCCCAGCTGCCCCTCTAACACCTTCACCACTACCTCCTCCCCCACCTCCCCCGGCACCCCCGGCAGCCCCTACAACACCACCCTTACGAGCCTTGGTCTCAATATAACTCTTCCCGTCCTTGGTGACTACGCCGCCGACCCCTTCCTTCTCCCACCGAATCTCGGTCAGCGGCACCGCAAGCCGCCGCGACCCCACGCCCGTCAGCACCTCGGCCTCCTGGATCAGGAGCGGGCCTATGGCGGTGCAGGGCATGGTGCACAGCGCGCGGGCCTCGAGGGCGCGCGACACCCAGGCGTTGTACTCCACTAAAAAGTTGTTGAGGGGCGTGCTGAGGGGCGTGTTGGGCGTCATGATGTAGGCACCACCTAGTTCGGTATTGGCGGCGACGGCCGCGTCGGGTTTGTCTTGTTTAGTGTCGTGCATGTCGTTGGCGTTTGGAGTGGTGGAAGAGGGAAACCCATCTTGCTCGGCTGGGCCCGAGGTGGTTGTGCCTTCCGGGACGTGAGGGCGGAGCATGCGCAGCATGTGGTCCGTTTCCCAGATCTCGATGGTGCCGCCCGGGGTGAGGAGGCGGATGTATTCTTCAATGAGTGATTGTTGCGCTGCCATGGACGTGGCAAGGCTCATGTTCTTGACCATGACAAAATCGAAGCTGCCGTCGGGGAAGGGAAAGGGTAATTTGCGCACGTCGTGTTGCACAAAGCGCCAATTCATGTCCTTGTCCGGTCGCGAATGGCCTGATGGGCCGCCGCCCGCCGTTGAGTTAGGAGGGAGGGCTACAATGTCGATTCCGGTAAAAGAGATGTCCTTGTGCAAGCCTCGGGTCTCGTAGTGCTTGTAGCACATCAGGCTCCAAAAGCCAGTTCCGCACCCGACTTCTAGTATCCGGGGCGGCGGCTTGTGGGCGAAGGCGGGCGCGCAGATCGGGCGCCCGTTCAGCTGCATCAGGAGCATCGTCTGCAAACTCTGGCGATGCAACTCTTCTAGGTCGACGGGTAATGGGTATGGTAAGGTTGGATCCGCAAGGTACGTACGTCCGTTGCGGACGACGAACGGCCGGTGTTGGTGCACCAAATCCGATGCATGATCGCTCGACTGCATTGTACGGCTGCTCGTGGTGGTGGCTCCCGACACGCTCGATACGCTTTCGGCCCGGAGCCCGCCGCCTCCTGGCGTCCTGCCCGTTCCTGCTTCTGCATACTGAAACATGGCGGGGTGCTGAGGCATGCGGCGATCGGGAAAGGCAACGGCGGCGACGACAGAGCCGGGGTTACTCAACGCGGCCGCAGGAGCAGCACTCGCAGAGGCTGGCGTGCGGGCCGAAGCCGGCTCGGAATGGCTACCAGCACTAAGGTATTTCGCGCTGGCGTCCTGGGTGTTGAGTCGAGGTGTGGCTGGCAGCTGCTTGTCCTGAAAGTATCGCAGTGACGACATCCGCTCCCGCTCCCTGTGCGAGTTGCGACGCCGCGACGGGCTAGGGTGATTGTGCCCGGGAATTGGATCCGCACAGTCTTCCGGGCTCGACGCCACTACGGCGCCAGCTGACTCGACGACGACTCCGCTGGCGTCAGCGCCGCCCGATGGCTGCTGCAGCCCGGGACTGTTGCTGTTGTACGGTGGTACCTGGGGCTCAGTGCGCCCGCCACTACTGGTTGTGCTCGCACTGTTCGTCCTGGCGTGTCCTGGAACACGCGATCGCTTCCTCGTTGTCGCCGTCCCAGACGTTGAATTGGAGCGAGCCGGCTTGGAGCGGGATTTGTGAGAGCCCTCGACTTCATAAGTGAGGTAGGGGGCCTTGGCGGCTGCATATCCTGTGAGAAACTCCATTCTGTTCCCAAGCGATTTTTTTCCTCATCTGCAAGGGGTTGCTGCGCCGGGACGGGGGTAAAGTCGGGTGCCCCGCCAGCTGTCCGCGGGGCGTGTTCCGGTGCGCTGGGTGCTGCACCACAGTGGATGCAGCCCCTCAGGTACCTTTAACCGATCGGTTCCCGCAGGGCACGGCCACCTCTGGAGCGCCCTCCAGCCGCCTCGTTCGAATGGCGCTCCCAGTCGGATGTGTTTGTCGAGGTTGATCAGGCAGGAAGCTTCCTCTCCTATTTTGAACCTTCCCTATGCAATGACAATGGTGGTGACAATTGTCAAAGGCGGCGGCTGTTTCCTGTGGTCTGTTTCGAGACCCGGGGGCCGATTGACGGGGTTGGCGATGGAGTCTCGGAGAGGCCGACCTGGACACTGCCCCTTTCTGGAAGCCTTCCACGTATGGGTCGGTTTCGCGTCCCTCTCGCAATCCCCTGGTCTTCAACCGGTGAACTAAGCAAGTGGTTGACGGGTCGCTGGCAGAATGCGCTTCTCCTGTGACACTCTAGTAATTCGTCCTCCCCTCTGCTCAACTCCGCCCTGGCTGCAGACGATCTCGGGTCAAGATGATAGGTCGTCCCGACCGCTTGGGAGCCGAGTAAAGACAGAAGGAAATTGAACCGCCACAGGAAGTGAGTGCAGTGAGGCGGTGCCCCTAACGTCGTGGAATTGGGGTTACCCGGCTGATGCGTGCCGTGGTGGGGTGGTCGATCGCCAGACTTGGAGTACTTAACCGCGTGTAAGCCGTTCCTGGGTTTTGTGTTGCTGTTTTCGTTATGGCTCATGGCCGATTCAAAATGTTCTCTTGCGCCTGTGAACGGCGAGATTGTCGCGAGAGGCAACGGCGCATGACGCCAGATGGCAGTCCTGGAATATATCACTTGTGCCGGCTGACCAAACCAAGGACTCGCAGCTACACCGGCTCTCTGACTCCGGTTCTCGTGCCGGTCTCAAATTAGGGCGACGGCGGAGGATGGGAACTTCGTGGTGTAGTCCCTCAGTTGCGTTCCGTGTGGAGCACTCGGTCGGGATGCTCCGAGGCAGTGGAATGAAAAAACCACAATGTTCCACGGGCTGTGGCTGCAATTGCGCGTTATATTTGGAGGCGAGATCGAGTGTCGAATGAAGAACCAACGGAAGGCAAAGACCGCAGCGCCTGGCAGTCGGTCCTACCGAGGTTTGTTGGAAAGGACAAACCTCGAGCGATTCCCCGAACTTCCAGGTCGAAGGTCGGGACACTGGACGCCATCATGGGACACGAGCCAATCCATATGTAATGTTGTCGATTGCACGGCCTTTCCATTTGGTTCATGCCTTGCGTTACGGCCGAACTTTTTCGCTCAAAGAGCCCCGTATGGTCTTAGCCTCCCCGGATTTTCCCCCGGTTTTGGCTGGCGGCTTCACCTGGCGTCTCCTCTGCGGAGCAAGAGTTGGTGGTGAAGGTTACTGCGGCGCCTTCCCCGCACTTCCATTGCTTCCATGGATTGGCTGTTGGGGGGACCATGCTCGGTCCCTCCCTTGCTCGAAGCTGGCATCAGGCGCTGGGGGGGACGCCATCTGCGATCCTTATTGGCCTCATCGGCCTTTGCACATGCCGCTGATGAGGGGCAAGGTCAAGGCTCTCGCGGACATCATGGATGCTGCTGGGTTGTTGGCACGCCTGGCGCCATGACCGGTCGGTCTTCTTGTGGTATCCGTAGCTTCATGCCGACCGAGCTACGAACCATGCTATTTTCGAGCCTAGTCGATGGTGATTCTGCTGTTGTTGACAATCCTTCCGTGGAAATCCATAACCAACTCTCGTATCTGGAACCACTAGAACCACTAGCTACGGAATACCCGTAACGTTTCTTACGTGCGTAACGAGTCTGCCGACCGCTATTTCCAAGTCTGGAGCCAACTCGGGAGTCCTGCCTCATATCTTTGGCGAGCCGGCCCTGCCTGCGATGGGATGCTGAAGATGATTGAGGGATGACTCGAAGTCGCTGTTGGGTGTTATGAAAGTTGTCGGCTGGCACTATGCGGCTCCATGCATTGCAGCGACTGGTCCTGAGACGGTTCTACCGAGGAATCCTGCCGAGTAATCTGGTCTCATATTAAGCGTGTGCCCGTCTTGTGAGGTGCAAGAATGTTAAGGCGTTTATATCATACACGGGTCCGAATTCCGGACTGACTTCCTCTTCAGCTGTCTGCAGAATGGAGTGGGCGAATTTGATGTAAGAACACCCAGCAAACTTTGCGAGAATACAGGAAGCGTGTACAAGTACAATATACAGACAGTGCAGAAAGGTGAGGTAATGCTTCAATTTCATCTGCCCTTTTGTTTACATTAATTCCTCTCCGAATTTCGATCATACTTTCATGATCTGCCCAGTGTGTCCGCAAGCTTTGTGGGCAGATGCCCGGGCTGCTGCCCCTATTTTAGTCTGTGGGTCGAGAATAGCGGTGATTCTCGATGTAAGAGATCAGCACGGGTGAGTGCACGGATCGCAGGTGTGGATGTCAGAAGTTTAAGCCCAGGCACTGAGACATCTGCACTTATGATGCCAAGCTGCAAGGCTGAGACGTGTCACGTGACAGGCTGAGCCTGGCGTCAGGTTGCCCAATGGGACGCCGTTCTTCGCAACTCCATCGAAAGCGGGCCGCAACAGGAGGCGACGCATTGACACTCCTCCGTACCGACACTATCCACTCGACACCAGCCACGGCGCGGACCACACATCGCAAGACCATATCCTTTCTTTACAGTATCCATTGGCAAGGCCCCCAATCATTCGCCATCAAAGGTTGTTACCCATCCCTAGCTTTTTGTCCCCTCCGTACGTGAGACCCGGCAGTGCAGACTTTGGACAGAGGGCATGTCTCGGCGCTCCCGATGTTGCAAGTTGCTGCAGCCAGGGCCCGCCTGATGGCACACACTATCCTGTCCCTTCTCTTCCACTGTCACCACTTTCAATTCCGCCAGATCACTGCTGGCACTCCATATGTTTACAGTCTATCGCTGACTCAGCATTCGTTCCAGCTTTCAGACTTGTAGCCCAAACCGCCAGAGACAAAGAAAACACGGGAAGAAGGAAAAATCCACGTCACCAGCGAGCATCCTTTCTCCCACAATACCAAGTCAGCACGCGCCTCGCAGAAGTCGCTGGAAACAAGCGCTCGATCCCCGACGGGAGCCGAACGGCATTTCACTTTGCTATCCACGCTTTTCGACGTGCTGTGAATGGCTCTCTCCTGAGCGTGCCACCTTCACAACCGTCACCCGGCTGCGGCAAGACGACCAGCACACTGCATCCATGCCAGCCGAACATCTTGCTGTGCCCCATGCGAACCTTGCTGTTCCAAACTCTGACTGCTCTGCGCCTCCGGACCCGCGACGTTCTTCGAGCTCATCTTCCGACCTTCCCACCGTTGACCCGCCACAGCGTTCCTCGATAGATGGCAGATGGTCAGCGCCATCTGTTGCCTGCCTTCTCGAACCCGCTGTCCCCAAACGGCTTCTCTAGCGACCAAATTGCCAAGGGGCTCTTTCTGAATTCTCTCCTCACCCACTTCGTCGCTTCCCAGCCGTCGTCCGTGCCCGAGACCAGCACCACTCCCGGCTCTGCAAGCCACAACAACACACGCGGCATGTACGGCCAGAACCACCAGCAGGGGCACAACACCCGCATCAATGGTGCGCCCGGTCGCCAGCAGGCCATGCCCATGCTGTATAACTTCCAGCAGTCGGCCCACCCACACCAGGCCCATGCGCAGCACCACCAGAATATCCAGCAGGACCATAGCGGCGCAGGCATCTTGGGCCACTCGGCCTTCTCCAGCGGTGTTTTGCCGAACGCAAGTCCCTTCTCTTCGAACAATCTGCAAAACGGCCATGCCTCAACCCCCAGGGCTGGTCAGACACAACAAATCACCGAACACTGGGCAGAGCAGCTGCGGCTACACAAAGAAGCCGAGCGAGCGCATGCCACTATGACTGAGCAGCACCAACCGCACTTTTACGCAAGGCTCAAGGCTGCCGAAAACAGGGGTATTGGAGGTGCCGCTCTTACCGGTGGCGAGACCGGGCCCTCGGTCGACGGCGAGGACGATAGGAGACGACCGTGGAGCCTGGAAAAGACAAACAAGCGGCAGGATTGGTACAATCTCGACATGAGCGGTCAGGGACTGCGAGTTCTGGCGGCGCCGCTCTTTGCCTACGAGTTTCTGCAGGAGCTCTACATCGCGTCCAACCGGCTGACGTTTCTCCCTGCTGAGATTGGCAGGCTGCGTCATCTTCGGCATATGGATGTCTCTAACAACCTCATCTCGGAGCTGCCACCTGAGATCGGCATGTGCACCAATCTTAAATCACTCTACCTTTTCAACAACCAGATCCGCGATCTGCCCACCGAGCTGGGATCGCTGTACCTCTTGGATATGCTAGGCATCGAGGGGAATCCGCTTGACCCGTCCCTCAAGCAGGAGATCATGGGAGGCGACACAAAGAGCTTGGTCAACCGGCTTCTTCTGAAAGCCCCAGGTTAGCACGCCTCTTTTGAGAAGATGACCCAGGAAAATGCCGTGGTTTGCTGACGCGTGCCCTCCACAGTACCTATCCCTCCGGCAGAAAGGAAGCCCATCATTGTGCAAGAAGACGTGTCTCCGAATCTTGAACGGGTCAAGATCCTCACATGGAATATCCTCTGCGACAAATTTGCGACAACGACCCTCTATGGCTACACCCCGCCCACGGCGCTGTCATGGGATTACCGGAAGCAGAGGATCATGCAAGAGCTTCACGAGAGGGATGCCGACATCCTGTGTCTTCAAGAAATCGCAACCGACGTGTTCCGTGATTTCTTCAGCCCCGAACTCGCCCAGGACGGCTACAAGGGTGTGCACTGGCCAAGGCCCAAGGCAAAGACCATGTCGGAGAAGGACGCCCAATCGGTCGACGGTTGTGCCGTCTTCTACAAGGCAAGCAAGTGGATCCTGCTGGACAAGCAACTCCTCGACTACGCCAATATCGCCATCAATCGCCCGGACATGAAGAATCAGCACGACATCTTCAATCGCGTAATGCCCAAGGACAACATTGGCATCATTTGCTTCTTCGAGAGCAGGCAGACGGGAGCACGCATGATCGTGGCCAACACGCACTTGGCTTGGGAACCGACTCTAGCCGACGTCAAGCTCGTGCAGACGGCCATCATGATGGAAAACATCACCAGGCTAGCCGAGAAGTATGCCCGGTGGCCGCCGCTCAAGGACAAGAAGATGATCCAGCTGCCGCTGGAAGAAGGGGAGCAGCGCGTCGAATTGCCGGAGCCGGCGCCGTCGCAGGAGTACCGCAACAACACCGACATTCCGCTGCTCGTGTGCGGCGACTACAACTCGACCTACGACAGCAGCGTGTACGAGCTGCTGTCCATGGGCCGGGTCGCCCCTAACCATAACGACTTTGGCGACCACCAGTATGGCAGCTTCACACGCGACGGCGTCGAGCACCCCTTCAGCATGCGCTCGGCCTACGTCCACCTCAACGGCACCCCCGACGAGCTGACCTTCACCAACTATGTCCCCGGCTTCGCCGAGGTCATTGACTACATCTGGTACTCGACCAACACGCTCGAGGTGGTCAGCTTGCTGGGGCCGCCCGACCGTGACCATCTGAAGCGTGTGCCAGGCTTCCCCAACTACCATTTCCCGGCCGATCATATCCAGATCATGGCCGAGCTGGTCATTAAGGCGAGGAAGGACAAGAAGATGGTGCAAGAACCCGATTTTGGCTCGGTGAGCGGTGATCGCAGGGGCTGATTGTCGTCCTTCCGCCTTGTCCCTTCGTTGCTTCTGAGTCTGTTGAGTCGGCTGGGTTCGAGTGTTTGGTTGGCTGGACGGGGTTGGGGATCTGCAGGCGGGCATGAGGTAGCGCTTCTATAGCACGCCAGTCGGTTCCGCTTGGGTTGGCCGGGCAACTTGGCTGGGTAAAGGGGAAGAAGGCAGGCTGGGCTGATCTGGCTTGGTGGGCAGGCTTGTGTCTAGGCTTGGCAACACGGCCGTTGGAGGGGAAAGGGAAAGGTGCAATGTGGACGTGGGGCTTTGAGGGGTCATGTAGGAATATATTGCCGTTGTCTTTGTCGTTCTTGCATGTTGTGTTTTGCTGCTGCTGGATTGCGTGTGGTTGGTGGTCGGCGTTGTCATCCCTTCCTTCTGGTTCATGGATTGGAGAAAGGGGGTGTTGCATATGGTAGATGGCAAGGTAGAAATCATGGAGATCCGTCGCTGTTCAATCTTCTCAAAGTCGGAGGTTCTTGGGTTGAAGGTGGATGTGTATGTGGTGGAGGCCGCGTCACGATGATCCAAGTGCAACCTATACATGATATATCTCCGATTCAGCTGCTCCTTGATGCGAGAGGAATGCAGAGGTTCGTCGGCCAGGGCCTCAAGATGGGTCTCAGCTAGTCTACGGAGTCCTATTCATGATGAATGGACTTCGGGTATGGAGGAGGCCCGTATATCCGTGTACTTCATCCTGCGCTTACCAGTTCTCTGGAACGCTTCCCGCTCCGCCCGCTGTGGGCGCACGTCGGGTGTCGGCCGTGCTTTATAACCAGACGCGGGAGGTTGTCAGTATGTCCGTGTGTAAACGCCTGTGCTCAGTGTCGTCCAGTACGACGTCAATGCGGTTCGATGAGAGACTCTGCACGGCTCAGTCCAGGAAGCAGAACGGGAGAGGGCACTTGCTCCCCATCGGTCTATATAAGGGGCATTGCAGCCAAATGAGAATCACTTTCTCTCTTACCATCCGGCTTACCAACATCCATACATCCATACATCCAATAATCTGCTTGGTACCAAGTCTTCCCATTTATGCTTTTTGGGTCGTCGGCCTCGAGCTTGATATTTCAGTTACTCTTTTAAACTACTATGGCCGCTTCAAAAAAGACAAGCGTTCCTGTTGCTCTATTTGGGAAGGACGAAAGGGTTTCGGAGGCAGTCAAAGAGAAACTACTCCCGGACTTCGAAGGCAAGTATACCCGTCTTCTTCCCCCTGAGCTCAGAAACCAACCAGAAGCCCTACTATGTTATGTCCTCCACCGTTGAGCCTTCCTCGCTCCTGTTGTACTACCCAACCTAAATCCTCCTCCACATCCCTACTCACTAACTAAACTGAATGAAGACTAACACATGGGCACAACTAGTCGTGCATATCTGCAACGATGTTGGGAGCGCCGTCTCAGAATTCCCGCCTCTGTTTAGGGGCAAGTCCAGAGTCCCAGAGGCCGTCTTTTTCGGGGGTAACTTTTCCGACGCCGAATACCAGGCCATCGTCAAGGCCGTAATGAAGACGTGTGGCGAGAACGTCCCAAAGTTCATAAAGTGTCAGAAGTTCGATGTGCTCGCTGCGGGCTCGTTCGGCCCAAACCCGAATGCTATCGCGAAGGTCTTCCGCAAGAAGATGGCGGCTGCCACTGCTGCCTAGTAATGCGTTTTCACTAGGGATAAGGACGGAGGAAAAAAGCCAACAGAGTCTATTGTTACATGGATCGAGGCTGTACTTAACCAGCCCTGGCCGCAATATAAGCTAAGGTATCTTGGGCACAGCCATAACTCGCTCGCTGGTCGCTCCGTCATGCTTGACAGCATCCTTCACAGGGATCATCCGACAACCACCCCATAACAACCTGCGACACATCCTCCAAGACAGCCACCATGTAATCTCCCAAACACCTGCCTCGCTCCCGTACACCAAAATTGACCCTCCCAAGATTATCCCCTGAATAGATCAAGAAGGTGCACACCGGCTGCCATAGACAAAGGAAAAGTGATGTTGTGCTGTATTTATGCCCAATCTGGTGCTGTTTCCACTCCCTGAGAAATTCGTCGCTCATACCCCGAATCCAACATCCCCGAGCGAGGCAAATTAACAGGAAAGGGGAAAAATATCCTAAACAAAAGCCAATTGTACTCCGGGATTATATGCTGAAGATTCGATGATAGACCTCTTGTAGCCGACAAATGAAAGCGAACATAGAGTCAGCGCATGACCGGGGCAGTAGCCCGTCAAGAATCAGGACGGTGCAGGTGTCCGACTCGCTCAAAACTTGCCCCTCAGTTCCCGGGACGATATCGCCCCCGATCCGGTACCACTACCTCGGTAGGTTGTTGAAGTCCAGGTCTGGGCCTAACGGACTCATGCCCAGCGAGCCCATCGTGTTGAGATCCGTGTTGGCTCGTTGCAAGGCTTGAAAGTCGCCGACCGTTCGAACTTGTGGCAAGCCCATGGCAAAACTGTTGGAGCGTTGTGGTGGATGCCCTCTGGCCATCATGGTATTGCTGCCAACTGTCTGGGCCAGACTCGTGTTCATCCCATTGCCTATGCCCTGGTTGAGGTGTATCTGGGATGACAGGCTTATGCTGGACGGCGGATTCATGTTGTTGCCGTTCAAACCCTGCATCTGAGGGGGAGAATTCGCGTATGGCGACAATGGTGTGTGTTGTGAGTGTTGGGGCTGTTGAGCATTCAAACCCCCTGGGGTGCCAAGGGATGAAGGCGGCGGCGCATGGCTTATCGGGCTCATGACCATTTCGGGCATCGAGGTAAAGTCGGTCTGCAAGCGATGCGGCAACTCCATCCCCGGGGACACGATGCCTGGGGAGCTGGCAAACGGAGAGTTCATGTCGTTGTTGCTCGTAGGGGCCCCGTTAGGACTGTTTGAATCCGAGCTCATGTCATCAAAATGAGGGACAGCGAATTTGTTGTCATAGTCGCTTGAAGAGTAAACCGATGGCTGGCACACACCCGCGTTCCCGAATCCGTCAAAAATATCGATGTTGCAGGCGGCAGTCTCGGGAGCGTTCTGCAACATCGGACTGACGAGCTTCGGAAGAGCCAAGGCGACCTTGCTTAGGAGCAGCGGGAGGAATCGGTGGTCACCGTTGCGGATAACTGTCACGATATTCAGGATCTTCCGGAGCTGATCCTGGGGTCCAGGCGTGAATGGCGTCCGAGGGGCAGGCAGCATAGCGAGAACTTCGGTCAAGGCACATGTGACGGTGAACAAATGTTCACAGAGGCTAAGACGATGCAGGCCCAGGTTGCCAGGGAACTGCGACACCATGGGGAGTAGCTCATGGATGGAATCCACGTACGCAGCATCGGCGTTGTTCCCGTTGCCGTTTGCCACGCCCAGACCCCAGGCCTTGTGCTTGAGCCACTGCTGATTCAATGGTATTTCGGACAGTTGAGCCTGGGTGTCGTTAAGATAGGGAGGCAGAACTTCCTGGAGCTGCTTGTCGAGAGTGGCGAGGTAGGACTCGGCACATTCGCCCCTCGTCTTGGTCCACAGCGGGACATGGATTTCATCGAAACCACGGAAGAGACTGATCATTCGCAGGAAGCCGGTGCCATGGTGCAGGAAAGGGTCGGCCGGGTGCTCTTGGGGTGGTGGTAGATTGATACTGGCCGACAGAGACAATGGGCGACGGTGCTGCAACGCATACGCACTGTCATGGGGTCAGCCTCTTTTCTACCAAGGACATGGGGGACCTTGTCCGTCACGAACCGTTCGGTTACGAACAGGAGCCAGTACAAACGTCTCCGCCGTAACGGATCTACGTTGTCGTTGCTGTCGTACTGCAGATACGCCTGTTCCTCGTCCATCCTGACCATGTGCGCCAAGGTTGCGGCCTCGCGCAGATGGAACCATGCCTTGTCATGCATCTCCAAGCCGTGGTGTACCGCAAACAGAAAGTAGCTCGTACAGATGGTATTAACCGTCGGGTTGGCGACATAGTCGATGCCCTTGCGAACCCGGATTGTCTCCTCCATCAACAGTGTGCTGGTGACGATGTTACCGCCAAACATCATATCGGGGTTGAACGGATCGTTCATTCCGGCGCCTGGCATCACCATGCCCGGCTGAAGACAGACAAAAGCGCAGAGCGACGTCAGCAGGCAGTAGGTATCGATGTTTCGATCCATGTACATGGCGTCCTGCTCGAGGCGAAGGCGTTCGAGGATGGGCATGGTCGGGTACATGTGGGCGAAGAAAAAGTCGGTGCACGCGTTGAGTGTCTCCTTGGTCAGAAGTCTCGGGGTCGGAGCGAGCGCAGCGTTCGATGCGCCGTTGATGCCGCCCTGCAACTTGGCCGAAAGGCTTGTTTGGCGCTGTGTCTCCTTGAGCTCATTAATTACCTTGGCCCTGGAACCCTTGGGACCCTTCTTCTGCGGGACTGCATTGTAGGTGCAGGCAAGCTGCGAGGCCGAACAATTGCGACATGGCGTTATCCCGTCGCATTTGACCTTGCGACGATGGCAGGCGTCACAGGCCCGCTTCACTGCCGTCGTCGTCATGGTGAGGGACCGACTGCGTCCTGTTACCCCTTGTGTCCCTAAAAGAGTTGCTCAACGCGACAGCGGGAAGCGCGTGCCACCGTGCGGGCATCCACAGCCGTACTCGGACGAAATCCAGAGCGTTGGGAGCAGGCGATCTGGGGTGACGGCGCGCAGCCGTGGGGACTCCAGATCAATGGCTCGTGATCTGGGGTTGAATCGGCCCGGTGGCCTGGGTCGCTAACGTTAAGCTGCCAGGGACCGTGTGCTGGATCTTTACTGGTGGAAACAGCGATCCCACGGCGCATCCAGAACCTGAATCCCATACGCTGTGTTGAAATGTCGCAGTTTTGGGCTCGTGGTGAGATGGAATGGGTTGCGGCCGTGGTGTGCTTTTTGTCCCAGGGTGAAAAAACAGGTCAGCAGGGGATGGTGAGGGCGACAGAGGCAAGAGAAGGGGAGGAAGGGACGGAAATGAAGGACCAGAGCGGGCTTGGTTTGGGCGAAAACCGCAAGGGGTTAGCCAAGGTGCATCTGCAGCTCGCTAAGTGGAGCAAGCTGGTTTTCTTTCGCTTGGCCAGTGCGTTTATGCGCCGCCAATAATCGCGCTCCGGTTCATATAAAACGGAGCTCGAGTTCCCGAATGCTCCAGTTTTGTCCTAGCCGATATGGCTCTTGTTGTTTTGAAACGCAAGCCAAAGTTGATAGATGGGGCTTTGGCTTTCATGCCCTCTCACTGCGCATTGAAACTTGTGGTCGAGGGTGTCAGAAGTGTAGAGATGCTGAACGCTCCAGCTAAGATCTAAACCTGTCTCACAGGGAGAATGCTATAAGCGCAGTTGTACAACCGCATTTGTCTCACAAACGCATTTGTCTCTCGGGAGCCAAATAGTTGGATAGGAACGCAAGTGAAACGAGCAACCCAGGAACCCGTTGTCAATCAAATTCGCAGTAATACCGCCCATGTCTGAAACTGCATCTCGCTGGGTGCGCAAAGATCCCGCATCGCGAACTTACAGTGCTGCCTACGGGGAGTGACAATATGTCATTACGCCGCCTGACCAGCATTCCGCTTGAAAACGGAAAGGTGATGAAACGGGCCTCACTGTATTCCTGGCGACCTGAAAGAGCAAATGAAACCTTTGTGAGCTGTGTGGGCTCAGAAGTGGGCGGGATAGTCTCCGCAGTTGAGCGCCAGGGAGCTGACTGTTTGTTCTAGCAATGGTTCGTGTCAAACAAGCATCAAACCTGACTCGAGACTTCGTTCCCCAATTTATTTCCATCTAACTTGAGGTGGCTCATGCTCGACCGCCCTGAGCGTTTAGATACCTCCAAGATCGCTTCGCGGACGTCAACTCCAGACTTGTGGGAGGGCTTCCGTTGACATTCTTGTCTGTTCCTGGGTCCAAGACTCGGCCCGCATTAGCTGCCGACTCAACCGTTGTGCCTATCCACTCCCCATCTGCCGAGGCTTGCTCTCTTGCACTGTATGTATTTCCTCCGTCGCTGATGCAACGGCATCTCCGGGGCTCCATTTTCTCATCTGATGCCAACTTCAGTGCTAATTAAGTTAAATCTTTTGGCAATCATTAAAGGGTCCAAGACGGTGGGTCAGGGCAGGTCCCACAGCGACATCCAGCCCTTCGGTAACCTTGTGAGACATTCCCGAACCAGGACTTCAGCTCTGTGCAGTTCCGACGAACAAAGAAAGCACACACCAAAAAGTGACAATGCCACCGTTTCGAAGAGATTGAGCTGTTGCAGGAAACGGGAAGAGGGTCGCATTGAGAGCGGGAAAGCTGGGGCCGCGGTGCTGAGTCTTGGGATTGCGGAGAATCGAAGGGCGACTCCTCGGTCTCCACAATCGGACCGAAGAGGCTTACACTTTCAGGCGTGGTCCACTCCCGCATGTGCAACGCAGCCTCGTTCATTCGCTCGCGTCCTCCAAACGTTGTCAGCTGAGCTGCGATATTCAACATTCACGACTTGCCTGTGCCAGGAATGCATCGACTGGCGGCCTGGTGCGGAAGCTGGTAGGCGAGTTTGGAAATTAACTATAAAACTATTTTATAACTATGCTTATCTAGGTATACTAAACTCAATTTCTACTAATAGTAGCAGCTCTTCTCTAGATGAATTGCTAAATACCATATTTAACTAATAACTATTGTCACGGGCAACGCCCGTGCCAGGGTTAGGGCTGCATCCCATGTAGATTAGATAAGGCAAGCTCACTGGAGTAGGTCTTGCGTTGCCACCCTCTTGGTCAGTGCGCAGCCCCACCTTGCCGTGCGAATTTTCCCACGGCTGCGCACAGCCCACAGAGTTCTGGCTCTGTTGGATTTGGCAGGTGGTCAGAGAGGGCAGTTCAGGGGTGACTAATGGCTTGGCACCAGGATTCTCAGGATCAGGAACAGGCAGGGAACTTCTGGAAGAACGGAGACAGGAACGATCATCAATTGAGTGGTTGCCCATCTTTTTGGTACCCAATTACTACGGTGCGGCACATTCGTGGCTGTTGGCTTTCCAACAGGTTCTGTTGGAAAGCCAACAGCCACGATTCCACGGTGTTACGCTTTATGGGAGCCCTTGAGACAGTGAACTTTTCGAGTGCCCGGGACCAGCCCAGAATCTGTCAATTGAGTGTTCTGTCCTCCTCCTTCTCCAAATTGCCTGGGTGCCTCCTAGACCTTATGTAACAGCTGTGTATTACCCCTGACCAGGGTACGATACCGGCAACCCAGTTTCCGAGTTTCAAGTGCCTTCACTTCCAACACCTGTCTTCGCTCCCCAAAGACAATGGGAGAAGGAGGTGTATATAGTCTAGGACCTTTAGGCCTACGGGCATCATTGTAGCTTCCTCAGTAAGCAATACAAGCAGTTAGCTTCACCTACTGTCGAGACATTTGCTTGTGCACTTGTTGTGAACCTTTTGGCTTCACCGAACCTCGCCCCGTTGACAAATTATAACCTTCAGGAGTCCCTTTCAGAAGTTGGGGCTTCGAGATTCGTCACAGTAAGACAATCGAGCATGCGGGGCAGCAGTTCAGCTTTATATCATTGCGCTTTGGGATTCACGACCTCTCAGCCTTGCAGAAATATACCAGCCTGTGGCCTTCCTCTTCCGTGATAAGGGTAACAAGGGAGAAGGACGCAAAACCATTGGACGGCTATATTTGTCAACACCACGCCCGTTCCAACGATTTGTTCCGTTGCTTCCGAATAACTGGCGTTAGCCACACCGTTGCGACAAGTTCGATAACAGTTTGGCCGACTCTTCCCCGGAGTTCGGTTTCGGCCGGATTGTGGGGTGGACCACCATCGAAGGTTGCCATGGTGCCATTTCCCACGATGCAAACAACCATCTACCCCATATCAACAAGCGAGCCTTCGTAGTAGGGCCGAGGTCGATGGCGGAATAATTACACGTACAGGCTTGTTTGAGGGGAGATATCCTCTACTCTTGCAGCGTACGCTACCCTATACTCTGTATCCGGGGTAGTGTGCTGGTGCTAACCTGGGGTTCGGACCGATATTGGTGCCGAGCTCCTCTTCCTGCGCGCTTCTCCGCAGTGCTCATGTAGGCCCCCTAGAAACCTGCGACGGCCGCCTCAAAGTGGTGTTGTTGACCACAGCATCTGCACGGGGAGCGGGGCGCTCCAAGATGTACCCTCGCTTACAGCTCTCTTGGAGAAGCGACGATTTGGGCACTACGCCGTTGCCTATTCATACATAGCTTTTTTACGGAGACAATCACGGTACCCGGTCGACGTTTATGAACAGTCGGTCCTTTGCTGTTGGTCAGGAACGCGTCGCTAACCGATGCTGTTCAAGATCCCTTGGCCGAATCATACTCTCCGCGGATCTCAGACATACTCATTGGCCAGGAATGACCAGCCGATAGATCTGACAAGAAATTACCTCCACGTGTGGACAGAGAGGTGGTCTCGTCGCAGAGGCTCTCTGTTTATCACGGAGGAATGATGTTGCAGTCGGCCCGGGATGGCATGGCCTGCTGTTGAGTGCCTGCTTCAGAACCCCATCGCTGTCCCATATCCAGCTACCCCAAGCCTGACTCAAACAGTCAACCCGCGATGAGGCAATTTACCGCCAGCCATGGTATAAAATGCCAACGCGCGTAGAAACCCAACCCATACAAAGCCAAAGGGCACACCATGAACGCCGAACTCATCCCATACCGCGCCACCTTTCACAACTCCCCCTTCCCTGTCTTGGGCAAATACGTCACCTCGCTCGCGCAATTCCCCACATCCCCCTTCTCCCCCAGCTCTTGCGCCGGCACAAACTGGCCCGTCTGCAAGCTGCCCCGCACAAAGTAAACATACCACACCTCATGCAACACATCTTCGCGCCTTGTACCCGCCATATCATCAGACCCTGTACATCGTAGCACGACCCTCCCGCCGCTGAATATCTCGAGAGCTCTCTGCACGTCCTCGCGCGGGTAGCGCCGCCGCGGGTCCGGCAAGATCTTGGCTCTTTGGAGCGCGCGGTAGGTGTCCAGCGTGCGAAAGAGCGCTGCCGCGCGCGTGAAGTAGTCGACAACTTCCAGCCCAATGCTGTGGAAGGCGCCGTAACAGGCTGGCGAGAGGGTGTTGATGCAGGTGGCGTGTTTGGTGTATGCTTGTTGCCAGAAATGATTGTTGGGCCCACTGATATTCGGAGTTAGTTTGACCCGAGGTGGCCGGTGGGTGTGTGGTAAGGGAGAAGAGGGCAGAACTGACGATGCGGCTAGCCAGTACCGGTCCATGAACCCAAACAATTCATCTTGGCCGTAGTAGCGGAGGATGGAACTGATGTTGGTGTAGTGCGGTATCATCTGGCAGTATTCGTTTGGGGTGCCGTCGCAGAGGGCGGGCCTATTTGTTGCAGGCGTGGTCAGCGGATGTTGTTCCTGCATATGACCTCAACATGGGCCGTCTGTTGAGCCTGAGCATACCGCTAGCGGCAGACGCAGATAATGCCTTACCATAACCCGCGCAGCGTCCAGTCCTCTTCAGCGCCCGCGGCATAGACTTCCCAGTCCCAGAACTGTGCCAGCACCATCCGGCCGCCTGGTTGCACAAAGCAGCACGAGTCACCGGCTACCGGCGTGTTGTTATGGCAGCTCATCGGCCCATCGAGAGGACAAAAGGGCGCTGCGCTGAGCGGCTCGTAAGGCAAGACATTCTGCAGCTTGGTGTTGAGGAAGGGGATATGCGAGACGAAGTCGCTGGCGTACGACAGAAGAGCGCGCAGCGAAGTCGCCATCGCTGGTGACAAAGCTTTCTTCTGAGTACGGTTTTCCCTAGTCGGCACTCAAGCTGCTTGAAGCTCAATCAAGAACATTTCGGGGCGTGGTGGACAGTGCGAGATGTTGATCGTGCGTTCCCAGGAGACTGAATGGGTGGAGTCAAGAATGGGAACCTTGATGTCCGTTACGGTAAGGCTGAAGCTGATGGGTATTGACTGGTTCTCGCATGCTTGGCGCCCCGCTTTAGGGGACCAAGACACGAGATGGACTTCGTCCTCAAATGGATGCAGTGCACCAAGGCAACGAGAAGACCTTAAAACGAAGTTGTTTCATATCCATCCCTTTCTACTAAGAGCTGGGAAAATCCTTTTCGTTTTGCTTTCTTCTTCTTGTAGGCAGCATAATCCTCTTCGATTCATAGCTTACCACCTGGCTTGCGGTCCTTTCAACCGACCAGAACACCACCACCCGTTCCTGTTTACAACCTTGTCCCTATCATCAACTTCCACAAACGATCTCAACAAACTCACCGGAACTATCACAACCCACCCCTTTGCTACCAACAACCCGCCGATATATCACAGGCATTTTAGAATGCGTCCCGATCCGCCAGGTTTCTTTCCCCCGCCACGCTCCATCCCACCTCTCTCCCCTCCGCACAAAGCCACCGCAATCCTCCTCCACGGCCGCGATCTCAGCGCGCACAGCTCTGGCCCAGACCTCATCTCTACTCCTTTCCCTTCCCCTCCCAATCATCATCATCTTCCGCTTCCTCTATCCAACCCCTCAACCCAACGCCAACCCCATCCCCAGAGTCCCAGTCTCAGATTCCTTCATGCACCCTTCGCACGCTCTTTCCCCACACCAGATTCGTCTTCCCCGTCGCCCCGCGCCACCGTGCAACCATCTATGCCCGCAGCATCATCCACCCATGGTTCGACAGCTAGCACCTCGACGACGCCGACACGCCCATTGACGCCGGGGAATGGCGCTGCGTCGACGGCCTGCGGGATACGGTGGCCGATCTGCACCGGCTGACCCGCGAAGAAGCCGAATCGGTTGACGGCATGAAGAATATGGTTCTCGGTGGGCTGAGTCAGGGCTGTGCGGCGAGTTTGATGGCGGTGTTGCTTTGGAAAAGGGAGCCGTTGGGCCGGGTTTTGGGGATATGCGGGTGGTTGGTATTTGAGAGGGATGTTGAGGAGGTTTTGGCGGGTGGACGGGACGAGTTTGATCTATTTGAGAGGGAGGACGGGGATTGGGAAGGTGAGCAGGTGGTGGATGTCGAGGCTCGAATGGTGAGAGTGTTGAGGGAGAAGTTAGAGTTGGAGGACAGCAGCCAGGCAACCTCCCGCCCAAAACCATTCATACTCCCGTCTTTCTGAGGCACGGGACCGAGCATGATACAGTGCCTGTTGCTCGTGGGAACGGGTGGCCGAGTGCTCAAGAGCTGCTGGACTTGACGCTGAATGGAGATTGTACCAGGGCCTCGGCCACTGGTACTTACCGACCATGCTCGCAGACATGGCAACATTCTTGACACACAGGACCAGTTGGGAACGAGGCGAGAAACCTTCATGATGTCATTACCGCATTACAAAACCTAAGTTCCTGTCCCATGCTCCCTCACTATGCGTCCATCATAACCATGCCATGCGCCTAACCCAAACCACTGATGCAAAGCCCCCATCACCTGAATCCCGACATCTCCGTTCAGAGCCCGCAGTTGCTGAGGGGGACTTGTTGTACACTGGCCTCGACACGGCCCAGCTGAACGGCGTGGCCGTCTGTCAAATCGTTCATCGCATTGAGACCAATGTTGAGACCATGTGCGGACCGGTCGATGGCCAGAATGTAGATTGTCTTGCCGTTGTATGTCGCGGACCAGCACGTGCCGCAGTTGGGCGAGTTCCAGCCGCCAACGGCCTCCGCACCACCTATGTAGGGAAACTAGTCGCCTGTCAGTCCTTCGTGTTGACATTCTTGGTTAGCTAACAAACTCACCCTTGTGATGTCGCCTTGAACTTGCCTGTGCCGTCATGTCAGCCATACCGTCCGCGTGACGCTCGCAACTGGGAGGAGCAAACGGCCTGGGTCACATACCAGCCGTACTTCCAGATGAGGCCGTTGGTGCCATCGCTGCATGCAACAACAGACAGGGACCGTGCAGAGTCGTCGTAGCCAACGTCGTAGCTGACTGTCGTTGCTGAGGCGGCCGCGAGGAGAGACGAGATGCCGAGGATCTTGGAGAGCTGCATGTTGATGTTTGGATCCGGTGTGAATAGAAAGATGCCTGGAGCAAGCGTATGAAGATGGCTGGTGAATGGATATGTGTGCTAGCCGAGTCTGCTGGTGATGACGGAGCCAAAACGCGAAGTGATGGTTGAGGAAGAAGAGAGAGGAGAGCTAGAGGAGTTGAGATTCCAAGCTCTTATAGACAGCGCACAACCATTCTGTCTCCTTCCTTCTTCTTTCTCTTTCATGCCATTGCCAATGCTCAGGCTCCATGTTCGGTTCCCGCCGTCAGAGCTAGCGGCTGTGCTTTCTTTCTGTGGTATTCGCTGCTTGCTTATCCTGTTTGCAGAGCCACCGTGACTTCCTCGCCAACGCGCATGCAGCGAGGATCCAATCCAGCTGCCCGTTCCACGACGTGACTATGCCTGCCATGTTCGTATTCCAGATCGATAATATGTAGCGGTCGGGGCAAGCACAGGGTAGGGCGGACGGGATCAGCACGGCAGGTGATCGGCAGATGCCGACTGCCGACCTCGTATTTCAACGGCTAAATCGCCCATTGTGTCGCCCTCAATGGAGCACATTGATCTGGAAGGCTGGCATCACTGAAACAAGGCAGCATTGCCTAGGTAAAAGCCGGAAACGGGTCCGGCACTGCCGCCCGGACCTGGATCTGGTATCAGAGCACCTTCCCTTTTGTCCCGGCTAACTCGGGCCCGGCATTCTGGAAGGAAGCGAGACTGACGTCGACCGGTCAACACGCCTGCTGCTATCCGTGTCCACACTTGGAGGCCATCGCTTCACACCTGGCCATCAGTCACCGGCTGTCCATCTTGGAGTCTTCGATAACACGAGGGACAGCGCGGCCGAACCAAAATACCGGTTCCCCTCGTAGGACAGCGACATCACGGAGATGCACAGCATAATTCTACGCCGTTCAATCCGAAGAGGCTAGTTCAATCATGCCACCAAGACCCTTGCTGGCCCTGCGTAACAGCGGAGGAAGTGGCTGATGTTGAGCCGCAGTATCACAGGTATAATCGGGCCATTGGTTTTGGAGGAGCGCAAACACGAGCTGACTTGACTATGATTCTGAGATGCTGGGGATAATCCATGGTTGCCAGCCTCGGATCAAGTTCTCGAAACCAGAACTACTTCTTCGAGGACTTGGCTTCTTTGGTTAACGAACTCGAATCGTGAGCATCGGGTCTGGTTGCTAGGCAGCGCGTCCTCATTGCGGCATGGCAGAGCATCGCAGAGAACAGTAACCGAAGGCGTTCAACGAACAGCAAATGGTGTCGGCTCAGATATTAGCCGCATCTACAGAAGTGTCCTGCCAGGCCTATTTTATGATAAATGCGAATGCCTGTCGGAGCAGGAGCCCTGATTTCCCCAAATGACGCTCCCAATTTTACACACAGGAGCGACGGCCGTATGAGTAATGGAGAGACCCCGCTACTATACGGCCTCCCAGTCCATGGCCTCAACCATGAAGTCCCACTGGTCCTCGTCATCCTCAGCAGCCGCCCAGTCCACCTCAAGCATATCCGCATCGGGCTCGGCTCCCCACTCCAGCGGCCCGACCTTCACGTACGCCTCGGCGATGCTTAACGCCTCGTCAAACCCTCGAAAAATGACCTCAAGCATGTGCTCCAGTCTGTACGAGTCCAGCGGCGCAGCAACCTTCCTAGTGCGCCACTCCCTCTCAGGCATGGCTCCCTCGTGTCGTTTTGTCGGACTTCCTTCCCGAGCATGATGATGATGGTTGTGGTGGTGATCATGCTCGTCCCCGGCCGTCTTCCAACGGTTCCTCAGATCTTTGGCCCTCCCCAACTGCACCCTCACCTCACCGGTGCCCAGCACCCCATGCAGCGGGTTCTCCTCCTGATCCAGTGCTGCCAGTACATTGGCATGATACCGGTGCGTCCTCTGCCCATTCCCGTCCGCCCACACACTCCCCGCCAAGCCCTTAGCATTCTTGTTCTTCACGTGCGTGTCAGCATGCGGGCGTGTCGTCGTTGTAGTGGTATAGCCCCGCGGTATTTCGACGCCGAATACGCCCAGCAAGTGCACCAGTGCCCGCTCGATCAGCATGTAGTACTCGAAGAAGTCGAGCTTAAACATCAGCTCTGCCTCGTAGACGACGGCCAGGTCGGCGCCCACGCGGTCGACGGCAAGGCGGTAGCCCTGGGCGAGAAAAGGTAGCTTCCACTGCAGGCGGCGGATGATCTTTTTGTAGCGGGCGAGTTCGTGCGGGGCCGAGGCGGGAGGTCGTTGCGGGGTGTCGTCTGCGTAGGGCGGATGGGGGATGTGTCCGTTGTCGACATGGCCGACCGGGGCCGGGGGCACCGTCAAATTCGGTGACAGGAGGGACGGGGTGCTGTTCCTTGTTGGGCGATGCCATGACGGCGCGTGTCGCGAGTTGGCCAAGCCGGCCATCATGGGGTGTCAAGTAAAGATAGAAATAAACTGTAAGGTCGGTGATCGCGGAAACGCGCGTGGCAAGTCGTGTTGGCCGCGAGTGATTGTGGATGTTGGATAACTGACGGTCTTCATGACTTCTCCAGCATCACAACCCGAGAACAGCTCGGTCCCTCGATTACCCATCATCGAGTTCGCATCGGGCCAGAGGCGCATGTTTCGGGCGATTGTCTGGCGATATTATTTTGTCTTTTGCGAGTATCCGTATTCGTGCATGTTCTATTGCGGTCAGAGTCCCGTTGTGGGGTTGGGGTCATTGTGTCTTTATCTCCAACCTTGTTATGAAACAGTGACTACGTCCGTATCTTTTGCCGAATACCGCATAAGCACAAGTCATTCTGCCTGTTGGCCCACTCAAGCATTAAATTCTTCTTCCTCACAACCCGAGCAGAGCCCGAGAATGCAATGAAAAAGAGACTTGCGTCACCTAGAGGCAGTGCAGGACTAGGGACACGGTGGCTCGGTTCATGCACAAGTGCAGAGGAATCAAAGCCGAGGGACAAAAATTGATTTAATCAAGATTCTTGTCCGTAGACAAGTTTCAGAGATTAAACTGAAAAGAACAGATACTACACTTGATCTAAGCCAAAAGGCAAAGAGAGCTGAAAAAGAAAAGAAAAACGAACTAAATTTGGAAAGGCGAGCGAAGGTTATATAGCCCGCAGTTGGTGGTCTGTGCACACCACAATATCCCGGCCCCACTACGATTGTCTGTGCGCCGTGAATAGAAATGGGCACCATGGGAAACTCTTCTCGGCCCCACCCCTCCCGTCCAACCTGCTTGTGTCGCCGGTCCAGGCCGCATTCTGTCGGTACATGAGGCAGGGTCTCATGAACCGTCCAACGCAGTGTGGCAATGGGATCTTGCGCAGGCTGGATGATACGGGATCGCGTGGTATTCACCAATCCGCTGCACGGTCGCTGACCTGCTGACCATCGGCGCGCACGGACCAGCCCGACATGCGATGCGCAGATCTCCACCAGGCCGCAGTGGCTAGGCTGGTGAGAATTGACGTATCTGCACCACACCGGCTGACCTCGTCGCTGACCTCGCCCGGGCCTAGCGGCGGGCTACAGCGCCTTCCAGCAGGGTAGCCACTGCCAGAGGCGCTAGTCTCGCTGACTGGGAACCCTACACTACAGCAGCTATAGGCCCCCAGTCCCAGCTCTTCCGTCACGCAACGCCTCTCCTCCTCGCTCCTCCTTCACATCGCCGAGCATCCACAGCCATGGTTTCGAAAGCCAAACAAAGGAGGGCCGCGGCCGCGACAACGGCGGTGCCGCAGCCGCCCGTAGAAGACGTTATTACGGTCGTTAGTCCGGCCGATGTGTCGCGACAACGCGGACAGCGCATGCAGCAGCAGGGGGTGCCGCTACAACACGCCGAAAGGAACGCGGTCAACAGCGCGGAGCGCCGCGCCAACGCGCAGAATATCCTCACGATGATCCACGGCTGCAGGTTGAATAAGACGTCCTCGACGTACGGGCCGAAGCAAAAAGAGTTTCAGGCGTTTTGCCGGCGCAAGCAGTATCACGACGGCGACACCGTGACGCAGGGCAAGCTCCTCCTTTTCTGGTGGAGGAGGTTGCCAACCGGCCGCTCAAAGCAAAGAGCCCAAAGGTCGACGGCGGTGTGCCGCAGGAGAAGACCCGGCTCGCTTGGCGCTCTGTTCGCGGGTATACCACCGCAATTACGGACCTCTACCGCACGCAAAAGGCGCTCGGTATGAACACCCACCCGTCGCCGCGCGAGGACAGCGTCCGAGAGTACCTCAAGGCCCTACAGCGACGCGACGCTCAGCGGGACAGAGATAATTACGCCGACAAGGGCCGCGACACCCTCCTGGACGGTTATTCCGAGGAGGAATTCGAGCGCATATGCCGCGAGCTCTGGGCGCGCGGTGGTGCCTCGGCGTCGCCGGAGCACCACTTTCGGACCCTCGTGGACCTGCTTCTCGGCCATTATATGCTTGCGCGCAGCGGCGACCGCTGCGCCGCCGAGCTTTCCAACTTGTTTACGTTCGAGTTCACTGGTGAAGGCCCGACTCGTTGTATGCCGCTGGTCCTTACCACCCGCGCTGGGAAGACGAATCAGCACGGCCGCCTCGAGACCGCCGGCGCTCTGCGGAACAAACGACCGCTTATCTGCATGCTAAGCGGCCTTGCGTTTTATCTTCTATGCCGTTGGGACCTGGGTGACGAGCCATTCCCGGACTTCAGCCGACGCGGCGCATGGTACGATATCCGGCTGCTGAAAAGTAGCAACGCCAATCGAACGGCGCCTCTCGCTTACAACTCGCAACGTAACTGGGTCGTCAAGGCTTTTGGTTACGCCGGCGTTTCTTCGCAGAAGAAGACACATATAGGCCGCAGCTCGGGGGCAGAGACGGCCGAGCTCAAAGGGATGAGCGAGGCCCAGATCCGGCGCGCCGGGCGTTGGAATCAGGAGCAGATGGTTGGCTGCTACCTTAACGCGCTGCCGCGGAAGTTTACGCGTATGATGGCCGGCCATCCTCCACACATGGGCTGTTTCGAAATCCGCCGCGCCGCGATCGCGCCGCCGGAGGCCCTCCTTGCGATGATCTGGCCCGGGCTAGAGCGCTGGAAAGGCCGGTTCGGCCCCGGCGCCCATCAGATAAACGACCTCGCGGCGATGGGCCTGACAAACCTGCTGTTCTACTTGCGCGAAGTGATCTTGCAAGACTCGGCGCTCCTCATGCCGCAGTTCCCCGACAACCCGGTGTGGAACCACCCGGTTTTTCAGCACGAGGCGTACCGGCCATACGCACAACAGGTCTTGGCCTTTGCACGGGGGGAAGAGCGGCCGAGCCAGCTGGCCATGATAGCCCAGGCGATGCCGGTTTTGACCGACTATCTGAAGACTATGGACGCGCGCAGCGAGGCCAGGGCGGCCGAACTAAAGGCCGAGCTATAGGCCGAGCTCCAGATACTTACGGCCCAGTCGGCGCGGCTCCAGACACTTCTCACCACGGGACTTACCTTCGAAGTCAAAGCAGCCGGTTCGCAGGTGGTCGCGGCGGTGGCGGCCGCAGTCTTACCGCCGCGACCGGAAGGAAAAGAAAGGGGGGAGAGCCGGTATACGGCTGCCCAGTCAAGTAGCGAAAGCAGTCGCGCAACGAGCCTCGGCCCGGCGAGAACGGACGACGCGCCGGAGCCACAGCCGCCACAATACCGCATGTGCAGGGCCGTCAAGATGGTAGAGGGCCTTTGGCACGAATGGACCGTCGGCCTTCGGGGAATGCCGGCCATAGCGGCCCTCGACAGGAAATGGGGAAGCCGGTGGCGTGCAGGGCGGCGGAGCGAGCTGCAGTGGTACTCTCTGCGGCTGGAGGTCATCAAGGAGATCCAGCGCGTCGCACAAGCGCAGCGGATCGGCGAGCAGGCGGCGATGTATATCGTCAACATGCAACAGCAGCGGACGGGCTGCTCCCTTGACCAGTTTTGCAAGCGTCTACGGGCGAACAGGAAGGAAGGCGAGGCCGGACAGCCGCGCGGCCGGCCAGCCGGCCGTGCAACGGTGCAAGCGTAGTGCAGGAGCATCGTATTGTGTACTAGTAGTAATGCAACAGTATTCCCCATACTGAATAACGTTGGCTTTAAATTTCGCTCAAATTTCGTGGTAACTGTCGATATAATGTAAGTGGTGGAGAGGGGTGACATCTCCCCAGCCGCTGACCGCACGGTCCTAAATGCGGTGCATGGTGGCGGTAAGTGGCTGAATCAGCCACTAAAACCACCTGGTGGACATACTGTTGTTCTGTGACTACCCTAGGGCAGTGCTCTCCAGCGCTAAGATATGTACAAGTACTACCTCTAGCACTCGTCAAGTAGTGCCCATCACACGACGTCGGACTCCGGCAAAGTCGGCGCCTCGCGTTTCCGACTGCCGCTCGAACTGTCGATTTTCGCCGCACAACGGCCTGTTGACGCCCGATTTGGCGCGGCTTGGCTGATGCCTCTCCCATTACCACGAGCCTGCCCTTCAAACGGAAGGAACCGATGACGTTGGACGTGAAGTATATGAAGGTCCCTCTGACATGAACCAAAGGTACGCTGATCATGTTCAACATTCCTATCAGCAGGACAATGCATGCACTCAACCTTCTCTCGACCGTCTTGGGATTATCAAGTCAAATTCTCGTCGAGGCTGTCTGACCCAATATCACTCAAATCGCCATCACCTGGAAGACTCAACCGGGCCTTGGAGGTCCTTGTTTAGTCCATGCCGGCCACCATGACGCACGACCCTGACGTTCTGATCGTGGGTGCGGGCCCTGTTGGCACGTCTCTTGCTCTGGAGCTCGCGCTTCACGGAATCTCGTTCCGCATCATTGACCGGGAGCCGGTCCGGAGCAACAAGAGCAGAGCACTGATTATCCAACCGCGCACATTGGAGCTTTTAAACCGCCATGGCGTCGCAAACACACTCATCAGCCGAGGCCGCATCCTTCGCGGCGGAGAGGTGTACATCAACAAACAGCTTGCTTCAAAGCTCGCTCTCGATGACCTCGGCACCACTGACACCGAGTTCCCGTTGCCTTTAAACGTCTCACAGGCTGAGACCGAAGGCTTCCTGGACGAGTGTCTCTCCAAGTACGGCCATAGTGTTGAACGCCCCGTCACTGCTACCAGCATCACTCAGGATGACAGCGGCGTGACCACAATTGTCAAACTACCCGACGGGACGAGCGAGACGATACGTTCCAAGTATGTCGTCGGTTGCGACGGCGCCCACAGCGTTGTCCGCCACGCCTCCAAAAAGATGACGTTCCCGGGCGGCCCTTACCCTCAGAATTTTGTCCTCTGCGATGTTCACCTGCACGACACGAATATTCCCCTGGACCGCCTAACTCTACATCTCGATGACAAGGGCAGTCTCGCTACCCTCCCCCTCAGCAACGATCTCATCCGCGTAATTGCCTCCCGCATCTGGGTGGGCTCCGAAGACGATGACGAGCCCACCCTCGACCAACTGCAGGCCTATTTCACCTCCATGACCTCCCCGGGGTCCGGCATCCTCCACGACCCTGTCTGGCTCACCCGCTTCCGCCTGCACCACCGTTGCGTCAACCAGTACCGCGACGACCGCCTCTTCGTGGCCGGCGACGCAGCCCACATCCACTCTCCAGCTGGCGGGCAAGGCATGAACGCAGGCATCCAGGATGCGATCAACCTGGGCTGGAAGCTGGCCCACGCCCTCACCCTGCAATCATCCCAGCTTAAGCCCTCCGCATCTGACGATTCTCGAAGCCTCGCATCAGCCTCAGTGTCAGCCTCCGCGGCCGCGGCCGACGCCCTCCTCGATACGTACAACCTCGAGCGGCGCCCCATCGGACTCACCCTGCTGCGAGGCACAGACCGCATATTTTCCTTCTTCTCGGCACCCACCCCCTGGTTCGTGCCCTTGCGCAATTTCTTCTTGCGCCGTGTCATGCCCTGGGCCAACCGCAGTCGCTCGAGGCGGAAGCGGGTGTTCCATTTCATATCGCAGTTTGGCGTCACCTACCGCGGCACGAGCCGCATCGTCGGCGAGGCGAGTGACGGATGGTTTGGTTGGCGGGCGAAGAAAGTGAGAGGTGGTGATCGGCTGTTGGATGGGAAGATTGTCAATCGACAAGGTCAGGAGACGAGTTTGCAGAGGGTTTGCAAGGGCACACCGCATCATCTGCTGCTGTTTGCGGGCGAGTTGGGGGAGCAAGAGGCCGCGACGGCAGCTCAGAGGGTGGTGAGCGTGTGCAAGGCCAAGTTGAGTGTGCATTACATCGCTCGGGGTGACAGGACTGTTCCATCGGAGGAGTGGTACAGTGACCCCGAGGGCGCGCTGCATGACAAGTTCGGGTTTGGAACCAAGCCAGGCTATGTGTTTGTCCGTCCTGACGGATATTTGGCGCACATTGGGCCTCTGGCGAAGCTGGATCAGTTGCTTTCGTTCCTCGAGGGTTACCTAGTTTCCCCTGTGGTCATTCCCTCTCGTTCCCCCTTGTCTTTTGTTGTTTCTCCAGCTGTTTGGGCGGTGGTCTGTGCATACCTGGTCACCAAGGCCGTCACCAAGTTGTCCCGGTTGATTGCTCAAAGGTCTTGACAAGCGGCTGCTTGGTTCTTGGGCTCGAGATTGTTGAAGCTGGGAAAAGGCCCCTGTCGCGTATTCCTATGACTTTCTTACACCTCTCTTCCCCCGCCTCTTGCTGAGAGCTTTCTCTCTGTTCAGCTTTCTCTCTTCCACAGCTTGCTCTCTCCCACTTGCATTCTCATCATTCTTCTTCGCAGACTGTAGTTCCTAATATATACCAAGAATACCTATCTATCCATCGTCAGGTCCCGAGCCGAGTCAGGAACCCTAACAGCAAACTTATGATCAAAGTTCGCATCGAGTTGGCGGTTGAGTCGGGAAACAGGGAGACTGGCTTACTGGTGATCAATTACCGTTTGTTGCATTTTGGAGGTTACATTACATGATGGCAGGCTTGGGACGGCCCGTCTCACCTGCGTAAGGACTCGCATCTATACTTGAACATTCGAACCTCGATCTCACAAATCCCAATTCACACGTCGTCGGTCAACCATGAATCCATTCTTTCAGCAGCCACCGACTAAAATATCTACCATTATCGGGTGGCAGCTTTGATCTTCAATCTCACATTTCGCTTTTTGACATCACTTCGCTTCAGCGATTCTCGCAATCTCACCACCCCGACCGCCGGCTTCACAACGCGCGATCTCGGCTTACCGAATCGCGCCAACCTGACCGACGTTCCAACCCAACCATCAGCAACCCTCTGTAAACCAACGCACAAGCGCGATCCGAACCTAGCTTCCCTAAACCGTTTCCCCGCTCACCCCCAAATTCATCACAAGAATGGGCAGCATGTTCGACGAGAACCCGAGCCTCATTCAAGAGGGGCCCGACCCATCCGAAAACGATGATGTCGCCTCGCCATGGCCCAAGAAACCCACCCCATTGGTCCTCATCCACGATGGCGGCGGCACCATTTTTTCATACCACTGCCTCGGCGACCTGGGCCGCCCCGTCTACGGCATTGCGAATCCCCGCTACGAACACGAATCCGGCGAGCCCTCCACCATCCCAGAAATGGCGCGCCAGTATCTGCAGTTCATCAAATCCGCCGTGCCGAGCGGCGACGTCATCATCGGCGGGTGGTCACTTGGCGGCCTCATCTCACTGGAGGTGGCACGGCAAATGGCGGACGACTGGGACACGAGCTTAAATCTCCTGGGTATCGTCATGATCGACTCCGTGTGTCCAATGGTATTGAGGGCACCACGGTTGCAGCTCTTGCAGCATGTCATGCAGTGGAGCGAGCACACCAAGCAGGAGACGAGGGAGCGGGTGACACGGTGTTTTGCCGAGGCTGTCAGGATGGTCGGGGAGTGGACGCTGCCTGTCTGGGAGAGGACGCAAGAGAAGGGGTCCCGGGCATCTATCGCTAGGAGGCCGCCACCTGTTATCTTGCTGCGGGCAATGTATAAGGTTCCGGTCACTGGAGACGGTGTGACGAGGGTGGATATTCACCGCCTGGATCGCCAGTTAGGATGGGGCAATTACAGGCAAGATCTGATCACTAAGGTGATTGATATTCCGGGTCACCACTTCAACATCTTCCACACCGAGGACAACTTGAACGCCACAACCGAGGCCATCAGCAGGGCGTGTCTCGAGCTCGAGGGGTTGGATAGCAGCGGTTGGTTACATGAGGAACTGGCACCGGAGCATGTGATGTGGCGATCCTCCTTGGAGTGATTCTAGAGCATCTGGAGAAGGCGTCGGGGAAGATAAGCGGTTCTGCGACTTTGGCGATCATCATTGACATTTGTGCCGCAATCTGTTCATTGTGCTCTACACTGTGGTGTTGTCTCCGTCTCCTATGACGACACAACAGGCTTCCTTGTACAATTCAACCCTGATTTGTTTGTTAGCGCGGACCTTGAGTATTTACACTTCATCTTCTGTCACTTTGAGCTTCTTATGTTCTTTCCTTCTTTTCCTATTTATCTTCGCCATCATCTTCCTCTTCCCTCTCTACTCTTAACTTCTTGTCTTTATCTTCTATATGTTTACATTTTTGTTTTCCTCCTTGGTTTCTTACATTCCGTGAATTCTGGTTCTCATTCATGTATAGTGTATGCCATGTGCCACGCTAACGAACAAACCAGGGCTGGACCATACTCAGGCAGGTAGTATCATTGATACCTGCCTGTATCTCTCTCGCTAACCGAGGAGTCTCCCCAGTTTCGGTGTCTGGCAGTGTGGCTTCCACCACTCGGAGAAGAGTCAAGTACCACCACAGTAGCATTGCGTTAGCTATTTATATTGGCGGCAGGCTGATTCGACCAGCAAATGAGAGGACACCGCATTCAGCTGCCCGCAGCAGTGCAGCACAGCCTCGGAGCCTTGTCGACCACATCCCAGGTTGCCTTCCTTTCTACACTCAACGCTCTATCACTATTGATTGCGGTGGGCAGGGACGTTTGCGCCGAGACCTGGCCGCAATGGACGCCCGTTCTAGACGCGTTGAGGATTTCGGATACACGCCGCTGTCCAAGGATGAAGTCCGTCTGGCCAGGGTGCGAAAACCCCCGAGAGACACGGAAGGATCGAGGTCCAACTGATAACCGCACAATGGCCGCCTTTTATATCGTACTCAGCTCCCTCCTATGTTTGGGAAGACCCGACCATCCGGTCCACAAATTCATGTCTCTCAGCGGGTGCCGCCCCTCTACGGCCGTACACGGTCACCCAGAACATCTATGAAGCGCTGGACCACCTCAGCCACGAGCACCGTGACAAGGTCCTGGGGTTCGACGCCTTGGGTATTGACCAAGACAACGTGCAAGAGAAGGAGCAGCAGGTCAGAAACATGGAACACATTCGCCAGGAAGCGCGCAAAGGTCTGCGTGTGGCTCGGCTCAGGCTCGCCGCATAGCGACATGGCCATGAAGGCGCTGCCGCAGCTTTCCTGATGCATCAACGATGACACTCCGACCCGGCATCTGCAAACCAAGTGGGCCTTTCTCGAAGAGCTGTTGCAAAGGAAATGGTTTAGCAGGCGCTGGGTAGTTGAGGAAATTGCCCTGGCAAAGAGGGCTACCGCCTACTGCGGCAGCTACAAGGTCCCGTGGCTCGACTTCTCGGACGCTATCAGCCTTTACGGCTCCTCCTTGAAACAGGTCTCTTTTTCGAAGTATGCGAATACCGGAGCCGCCTGATGCCTGTGGACGGGGAGCTCTGGCGTTGAGCTTCCCATCCAGCAATGCATTGAGGAGGGATGGCCAAGGGAACATTCTCGGTCACCGATGGAATGTCGAAGACCTCCTTGCGCTGTTGCCCATGTTCCAAACGCAGGTTCCTCATAACGCCATCTTCGTCATCCTGTCCATGGCGTCAGACCGGTCCGCGTTTGAGGATGCCGAATACAGTCAGTCCGCGGCGGAGCTCTTCACTCTGATCTTCAATGGAATCGCCCAGAGAACGAACTCTTTAGGCATAATGTTTCGGCCTTTGGCACCGAGCCTCATGGAGAAAACAAACTTCCGTCGTTTATAGCACCGGCTTCCCGTCACAGCCACATCCGGGACTCGAACGGGCCATATCAGAGACGCAACGCCGATGACTTGGTCGGACCCCCAAGGCGACGCGTCTACGCGGCAACACCACCTCTGATCCGGTCTCCAATTCCGGGATCCCACAGTCTTCCGATCTCGCAACCACGAAGCTTCCAGGAACAAGAGCTCGTCCATGCTCTTTGCGAGAGGGGCTGTGTGTGCTTTTGTCTCGGAGCTGGGCGACGTTTGCGAAAATGGCATCATCCCCAGGAACTGGCTCGAGGCGCGGAAAGACAGGCGTGGGGAAATGCCCGATCTCTGGTGTGTCGTCGTAGCCGGACGGTCTCACGACGGAAATTCTGCGCCGAACTGGTACCTCCGAACATTCGAGTACTCGTTTTGCCAGCCGCCAAGGAACAAGTGGTTCTGAGTATGCGGGGAGCCTACCCGACAGAATCTTGAGGAAGGACAGGGGCCATCTCAGCGACTACTTGAGGCGGGTCAACGCGTGCGTGTGGGGGAGGCGGTTTCTGATCTCGACGCGCGAGAGACACGGGTACTATGGCCTAGTGCCGAGGCGAGGGGGACCGGCGGACCTGATCTGCCTTCTTGAGGGTTGCAGCGTTCCGCTACTGATCGTTGGCTGCCCATGACGGAGCTGGTGCTGCAGGCCTGCGGCTTGCACTCCCGTCGCCTGGGGGCTTGAGCGCAGCAGCCGAGGAGAAGATTACCTCGTCGTTGCAAAAGGTCGTGGCTGAGCGTCTATCAAATTGCGCCGGGGGTAGATTGAAAAGGCCCGAGTCATCCTTCTCGGAGTATTCGCCGGGCTCGGTGATATGGGGTGAGAAGATATATCCCAACTACTTGATCAACATTGAGGGCTTGGGCTGGGTCGACAAGCCTTCCGAACATGTGTTGGCCAGCAAATTTCAGTGCATCTTTGACAAAATCATTCGGAATGTACTTGAGAAAGGGATTGCCGCTGGAAGAGTCGGTGGACGCAACGTTGGGCCTCTTGTCGAAGCAAGCCGCCGTGAGATGCTGCAGTCCGCACTCAGGACCTTCTTCCAAGACCTAATGGATGAAGCAGTAGAACATCCGCCAAACGCATCCTTGTTGGCCGATAGCTCTGCCCCGAGTCTTTCATGGGCAGATGTCCCCGTCCGCCAGTTATTCCAGGCCTTGTTCGCCAGGGCGTGCGAACGCGCCTTCAAGTAGATATGGAGGCTGGAGGCTGAAAGGTTGCTTAGACCTGTAAGCCCTACCCTAGAAACAGCTTTGACTCGCCATGCCAAAGTGCTCAAATTGCGTGAGAGCGCCTTCAAGACAGCGCTCGATGCATTGTGGCCAGCTGCTTGCAAACCAGTACGGGCTCCCTTCAGACCCTATGTGGCCAAGCTGTGGTCTAGAGATCTTGACTCACGAGTCTGGGAGAAGCCGCTACAAGAGTGCGTGAAGGATTGAACCCGGCAGTGCATAGGCGCCGCAGATGCATATGCTGGAGAGGTGGCTGGGGAATGCTACATGCAGAACTTGATGGACGGGGAGTGGTGGAATTCTGACGAGACTCGGGAGCAGCCATCGAGACTCTTCGTCATCGAATGAGCCTGGCAGCCTGGACTTTCATGCTGATTTGTTTGTCTGTTTGCTTAGTGTAAGTTTCTTTGGCCGCCCCTTCTGCCCCTTTCATATAAGGACCTCCCCATCATCACAAATTTCAAGTTACGATACCGGAATCTTCCTGCCTCCACCCTTTCGGAGTGGAGCGGTAACAGATCGCTGGGAACATCAAGTCTTTCCACTGTCGGCATAAAAGAAAGAAAGAAAGGAAGGAAGAGGAGCTGATCAGATGTTCCGATATGCAAATCCTAACCAAAGCCCTCCTCCGACCATACAAACACCTCCTGACTCGACTGGCCCGTTGTCAGCACCTGAGTGGGCCTCTGGAACAGTATCAAGAACAAACGCCGCCATCCCGGAGGAACAGAAACTCTCACAGCGTTACCCGCTAGGCAAACTCCACACTATAAGATTACAAAGTGAGCCATGGTATCATTAACAATGAAACTCCCAAATCCCGCTGAACCGCATCACCACCACCCACGACGCTCAACGACCCGGCTCAGGCGTGGCGGCCGTCAACTTCTTGGTCGATTTGGCCGTGCCAATATGGGTGTTATGCACCTGCGGAACCCTTCGTTAGCCACTCACTCACTTATCCACTCAGCAACGCTTAGAATAACTTACCTTTGTAGCAAATCTCAAACTGGTAATCGTCTCCTTGAGATGCGCCTCGAGCGGGCTGACCATGACAAACATGAGCGTCTTGGAGTTGCCGCCCAGCGAGTACTGCAGCAGATGGGTCAGCTTGGAGTTGCGGTACGGCACGTGCGCCGACCCGCGGCCGAGCGCCTCGATCACGTCGCCCAGGCACGCCAGGCTCTTGTTGATGTTCTGCGTCTCCTTCATGCGCTCGCCTTCGGCCTGTGAGTGCTTCAGGCGCTCCGACCCGGCAAGATCGACCAGGTTGAGTGTTCCCTCGCAGCGTTCGTTGGTCGCGCTGTTCTCGCCGACCAGCTTGAGGATAAAGACCGAGTGCGAGCGCGAGGAGCGCTCGTTAGCCTTGGTGGCGGCCACGCTGCGGTTGTTTTGGGCCTGCTTGAGCATCGCCTCAACCTTGTCGGGTGAGTCGAGGGCGACCGTCTTGCAGTTGAGCACCGTGGTCTGCTTGCGGGCTTCGTCGTGGCGGATTTCGAGCCTCTTCTTTGGGTCGGACTCTCGGCCGGGTGCGAGCAGGTCGTGCAGCTCTTCATTGTACACCTCCACGAAGCTTCCCTCCATCGTGTATGTCCACGACTTCTCCTGCAGCTTGGTGATGTTATCGTAGATCATATGCGTGGCCCTCGGGATCATACCGTCCCCTGAAGACATCGTGTATGTCTTGCCAGAGCCGGTTTGGCCGTAGCAGAAGATACAGACGTTGTAGCCATCGAGGGCGCTCTGGACGAGCTGCGAAATCTCGCCAAACACCTCCTCATTGTGCACTGATGGATCGAAAACGCGGTCGAACTCGAAAGGGAGCACCTTGCGGTTAATAACCCCCAGACTGCTCTTTTCCTCTGGCCCCGTAACATCGATCTGCGACGACGTCTTGGTATCCGGAAATGTGATTTTGGCTGTCTCGCCTTCTGAGGGGTCGAGGACTGGCCGGACTCTGCACATGACCCGGATGTTGCCTTTCAACTCCTGGTACTTATTGAAGAGGACGCGCCGTTCCGTCTCCTCCTTGATCAGCTTCTGCCGGGCCTCCTCGGCAATGCGCAAGGCCTCCTGCAAGCGCGCCTGCATGTTGGCGAACGAGTCCGCTTGCTGCTTGCTGCCAGATTCGAGGAAGGCGACCTGGTCCTGCAGTCCGCGCATCCGTTCCTCCAACGTCATGTTTGTTGCTTCCATCTCGGTGATCTTCTGCTTCAATGCCCCCTTGAGCGTTTGCTCGCGATCGAGGTCCGATCTGAGAGCCTCTACTTGGGAGCGCATATCCTGGATTTCCCGCTCCTTCTTCAGCAACTCCAGGTTCAGGTCTTGCTGCTCCGCCCCTAGCCTAATGCGCAACTCCTGCAGCTCGCGGGACTTGTGGGTCTGTTCGTCGGCCAGCTCAGCCCGGTGTCGCCTTTCCATAGCCTCCAAGGCCTCCCGGTGCTCCCTCTTCAACTGGTCGACTTCTCCCTTGAACTCATGCCGGAGTTCGTCCATCTCAAGCTTGTGCGCTCGTTGTTTGTCTTCTACTTCGTACCTGTTCCTCCTTTGTGCCACTTCCATCTCGAGGATGATGTCTTGCTTTTCCTGTTGTAGTGAGCTGATCTCCTGCCGTTGATGGTCAATTTGGCCTTGAAGTTCAGCATTCTGGTCTACCAGCCGCTGTTTCTCCCGTTCCAGGTCGCTTGCTAAAGGAGAGGTCAGCGCTTCATAGCACTAGTCGCATCATACGAGAGGAATCAGAGAGGAAAGAGGCAAAGAAAGTGGGAGAAGGGAAAAAACAGAAAATAAAATTACAGAAGAGATAGGAGTAAGAAAGAGAAGGGAGAAAAGGCTGGGGGAAACGAAAGAAAATAGTAAGAAAGGGAAATGAGAGGAAAGAAAAAGGAAAAAAGTAAGAAAAGGGGAACCTAAAGGAAAAAGGGGGAAACTCGGTGAGAAAAAAGATAGAGGAAATACAGGAGGGATAGATAAGAAGAAAAAGAGAAATAGAACGGAGGAAGGGAGATAAAAGGAAAGGGAAAGGGGAAGGAGACAAAGTATAGTAGAGATGATAAATAGAGGGAAACTTACCCCGAGTCTTGGCCAAATCGATTGCTTCTTCGAGAGCTTTTCTGTCCGTCATGGTGCCTTCGAAGGCCTCCTTCATCACTCTGAATTGCGACTCAAACTGGTCAAGTCGGCCGTCGACGTCCCATCCTGTGAAATTGGTTACATTTGAGTCTTTAGTGAGAAATAACTTTCCGCATGAAGACAAGGATTTGGAAGGGCTCTTAAGTATCCTTTCCACTGTACCACACGCCGCTCTGAACTTCATGAGTTGTAGGGGTGTGGTTGGCCGTGGAGTGAACATTTCTTGAGAATTAGCAGGCCCGAATGGGTTGAGTCCGGCTGCTTCTTCATGGCGAACCTTGCTGGGGGTGTTGCTCTCCATCTGCCCATCCGACTGGGACGGCCGAGAGGCAAGTTGCTTGTACTGCTTGGGGACAACTTGACCCCCACTAGAGGTATAGTTCAGTTGGTCATCAAGCAACAGGTTCTCAAGACGCTTGCTGAGCCCTGAAATATCCCTGCTTGCTTGTCGTCTATGAAAAACCGCTGGCAAAACCCCTGGCAGTTGAAAACCGACGCTCCACGACTGTTGGTGCCAGATCCGGTGCTGTTGGGAAGAGGGTGAATTGGTCGTACCCTTCTGATTGATCTGCCCCGCTTCCTCCTCCATCTCCCGACTCCCCATGGCCGTGGCCGCTCGTGGACGCGTGAGACCTCGCGGGCGGCCATTCGTGGAATGAGCGAAGTCCATTGAGGTCGGGGCTCTCCCTGTTGGCGGCGCGCGGGCGACAGGACCAAAGCCTTTCGCAGAGCTGCTGGCCGCTGCATGTCGTGATGCTGAAACGGCGGAAGTGTTGGAGGTCAGGCTTGTAATCGATGCGCCCTTAACGCTAGTCGCAGGCAGCGGGAGACCGCCTGTAGGAATTTGAGATTTGATGGGTTCGCCTGCCCTTTCTGCTAGTGTTTTCCGTTTCGGCTCCGGATGGAATACTGCTCAGGTTTGTTCGAGTAAGTCGCCGTAGGGGTGTCAGCAAGGGGACAAGCGTAGGTGCATACTGCTTCCATTGTGTGTGCGCTTCTGTGGGAGCGCAGTCGGCTGGATCCGCGCATTGTTTTGAACATCTGTGATTTCTTGGAGATACCTCGTTGTCGTTGTGGTTGGGACGGCAGCGGCGGCACGGACTCGAGGCAGTCGAAGTCCAGATCGGAAGTTCTGGGAATCTTTGTTGTCAGTAACAGCCGTGGTACTTACGCATTGCCATGTCAACATACCGCGTTCTCGGAGGTGTCCATATTGAGCGAGCGCATGCGCGGGGCGATGAAGTGGACGAGCAAATACGAACATAGGAGCAGAGCTCCTGGTGGACTTGTGGTTGTCAACAACGTTGTGAAGTGTGGCGGGTCTTCCCTGGGACGACTATTTGCTTGCGTCCGCAAAGGGTGTAGCGCAGAATGTGAGAGGCTCGGTTTACCATGTTCACCCGGCAACTAAGTTGAGCAGAAGTGGGTCTTCGACTGAACCGGCGAAGGACTCTGCGGGTTAGGGTTCTCCAACTCTCTTGACACCTTCACATGCAAGATTACGGCAAACCCACCGTCTTTGAAGGATCTCGCATCTGAAGCATCCCACAGCTGCAGTCCGAGATCCATTGCTGCAAAATCCAAGACAGACGCAGATGCTCCATTGATACCTTTCAAGGAGATCTGACGAACGTCGCTTTACTTGACCATTTGGGAGAACACCAGTCTTGATCATTCACCGTTGCCCGTCATGGAGAAGTTCTCCCAGTTCCGCGACAGAGGCAAGCCTCTCTTCCTCCCCGCTCAGGTGAACTACACCATCACTGGAGCCTCACAAGCTAACGGTTGGTCACCCAACAGGCTCCGGCATATCCCCCTTTCTCCCAGTTACCACGCCGTCCTCGCTCCTCGGAACCCTCTTCCATGCCGTCGTCTTCGTCCTCCGCCTCCCTTTCTTCCTAACCTTCGCAGCCGCCTACTTCCTCCTCCTACAGCACCTCTCCTTTCTCCCTCTCGTCGCGCGCAAACTCTTTCTCTGGTTCCTCCTCACAATCCCGCTGGTGTGGTGGGTAGACCTGCAGCTGGACGGCGTCAAGCGCGGCGCCCTGAGCCAGCAGCCGCGGTCCCGCGTCCCGCACCCGCGCTCCATCATCGCCGCCAACTTCACGTCCCCCCTCGACGCACTCTACCTGGCAGCCGTCTTCGACCCCATCTTCGTCGCCTCCCACCCGTCCTCGCGCAAAGTCCGACGCATCAGCCTCTGGTCCGCCATCTGCGCCGCCCTGTCCCCCTCGGCCCAGCTCCTCGACCTCGCCGAGTGGGAAGCCCAAAATGGCAGCGACTTGACCGACCTGCGCGCGCTCGTCGCCCGCCACCCGAACCGGGTCATCGCCGTCTTCGCTGAGTGCGGCACGACCAACGGCAAGGGCATCCTCCCGCTCAGCCCGTGCCTGTTGACCGCGCCGGCCGAGAGCGCCATCTTCCCCGTGAGCATGCGCTACACGCCGCCGGACGTGACGACGCCTGTGCCCGCGCACGGGTGGTTCTTTGTCAGCGGGTGGGCCGGGTTCCTGTGGAAGCTGCTCGGCCGGCCTACGCACTGCATTCGGGTGCGCATCGCCGAGGGCGTGTACAACACCACGGTGGCGGCGAACGGGATCTCGGAGGCGCACCAGGAGCTGGGTCAGAGAGGAGAGGGGCGCGGGGAGGACGAGCCCACGCCCGAGGAGCAGCGGCTGCTGGATCAGATCGGAGAGGCGTTGGCGAGGTTGGGCCGGGTGAAGAGAGTGGGGCTCACGCTGCGGGACAAGAAGGCTTTTGTGGCGGCATGGACGAAGAGGAGGTGAATGGCATAGGCTGATACAAAGCAAGGCGGAGACATGAAGATAGAGATTAGTATCTATAGGCGCGAGCTGTTAGAGCGAGGAAGTCTACGGTAGCCTTGTCAAGGTGCAGGGATCGATCGTATGGTAGGGACGTTAAAAAAATAAGCATACATAAGCTATGCAATCAACCAAAGGCAATATCAAACCTAGATTGCCAGCCTGGAATATCTTTTGACCACCGATTAAGCGACGGCATTGCAAGCGCCTTTTCCAGCCCAGAACCCACGAGACAGACATGTACAAAGAACTCGAAAACACTCTCTAGCCCCTTGCCACTTACGGCCTATCCGTGACGCACCCGTGGCTAGCATCGCTGACCAACTTGGCATACTTGCTCAGGGTACCCCGTTGGGCCCTGGGAGCCGGCGCCTTCCACTCTTTTCTCCTCTTCTCGAGCTCCTCGGCCGACACCTCGAGATTCAGCACACGCTTCTCGGCGTCAATTACAATTCTGTCCCCGTCTTTGACCAGGCCGATGGGGCCGCCTTCCATGGCTTCAGGCACGATATGGCCGATCAGGAAGCCGTGGCTGCCGCCCGAGAAGCGGCCGTCGGTGATGAGGGCGACGTCCTTGCCGAGGCCGTAGCCCATGATGGCTGAGCTGGGCTTGAGCATCTCGGGCATGCCGGGCCCGCCCTTGGGACCCTCGTACCGAATGACGACGACCGTCTTCTCGCCCTTCTTGATGTGGCCGCGCTCGAGCGCCTCGATGAAGGCGTCCTCATAGTCGTACACCTTGGCCGTGCCCTCAAACCGCAAACCTTCCTTGCCCGTGATTTTGCCCACCGAGCCGCCGGGGGCGAGGGAGCCGCGCAGGATCTGGATGTGGCCCGTTGGCTTGAGCGGGTTGCTCAGGGGGCGAATGATGGGCTGGTCGTCGGGGAAGCCGGGCACGTCGGCCACGTTCTGCTTCATCGTCTTGCCCGTCACGGTCACGCCGGAGCCGTCGATAAGGCCCTCCTTGAGCAGGAACTTGAGCAGCGCCGGGGTGCCGCCGATGTTGCAGAGGTCCTCCATGACGTACTTGCCAGACGGCTTCAGGTCGGCCAGCAGAGGGGTCTTGTCCGAGACAGCTTGAAAGTCGTCAATGGTGAGCTTAATGCCCACTGAATCGGCGATGGCAATCAGGTGAAGCACGGCGTTGGTACTGCCACCAAGAATGCTGACGACAACCATGGCGTTCTCGAACGCCTGCCGAGTCAGGATGTCCTTAGGCCGGATGTCTTCACGGAGGAGATTCTTGATGGCTTCACCAACGCTCTCGCACTCGGCCTTCTTCCTTGGATCCTGGGCGGGGAAACTGCTACTGCCGGGGAGGGTCATGCCGAGCGTCTCGATCGCAGAGGCCATGGTGTTAGCCGTGTACATGCCGCCACACGCGCCGCCGCCGGGGCAAGCATTGCGGATAATGTCAAAGCGCTCCTTCTCGTTGATCTCGCCGCTGATGTACTGGCCGTATGCCTGGAAGGCGCTGACGATGTCGAGCGGCTCACCCTTCATGCTGCAGCCCGGCTTGATGGTGCCGCCGTACACCATGATGCTGGGTCTGTTGACGCGGCCCATGGCAATGAGAACACCGGGCATGTTCTTGTCACAGCCGGGCAGCGAGATGTTGGCGTCGTACCACTGGCCCTGCATGACCGTCTCAATGCTGTCGGCGATAATCTCCCTGCTCTGCAAGCTGTAGCGCATGCCGGTGGTGCCCATGCTGATGCCGTCCGAAACACCGATGGTATTGAAGCGCATCGGGACAAGGCCAGCCTTGGCGACGCTTTCGCGGACAATGGTTGAGAGGTCGAGGAGGTGCATGTTGCAGGGATTGCCCTCGTACCAGACAGACGAGATGCCAACCTGGGCTTTGTTCATGTCTTCCTCGGTCATGCCGGTGGCATAAAGCATGGCTTGTGATGCGCCCTGCGACTTGGGCTGTGTGATGGCGGACGACACGCGGTTGAGCTTCTCGTCGGCATATCGGCGGGGGGTTGAGGAGAGAAGACGGCTGAAGGAAGAGATGAGCTAGTGTTCTGGTAGCCATATACTAGTGTTCCTTGCACATACAGTTGGTTCCTCAAGGGCAAAGCCCGACTGGCGGCCAGGGCCCTGGGAGCCCTGGCGCGCAAAACAGAGGTTGACAGCATGACGACTATCCAAGAGGAACTCGAAAAAGGTTGAACCACAGTAAACCACAGAAACAAGATCAATTGACTGCCAAAGAGAATACAGCGCTGCTGGTTAGATCAGGAGCACAATGACGAGTCAATTGGCCCTCGCCTGTTGTCGTGGACTGAGCCGTCTTGAAGCTTGAGTTTAAGTTAAACATTCTGGGCGAAGTCGGAGCGGAAAATAAATGTCGTTTCTTCAAAGTCACAGGGACAGACAGGGGTTTTCGAGGGATCCCCGCAAAGCAGCGTCGAAATGCACGCTTCCCGATTGGCTCATGTCAGTGAGACAGGGTGCGGGGCTATGACCTTAAAGTTGTGAACGTCTTCCAGAGAATGACTCCACGCCGCCAAGTTGCCGATGCGGGGCGAGGACTCGGCATTCGCTTGCTCGCGCCGTCTAAACATGACACAACGCCCTTTAGCGTCCTGGAGGTTGTTTGATCGCGTACCTCCAGGCTGGTGTCCTGGCTGAGATGGCCGTTGCGCACCTGTATCCTTCCGGTTGCGTACCTCGACGGGACATAAGCCGAGCGCGAATGGAAATATAGGTAAGACGGCCATGTCTCCCGTGCATATTGCATGCAGGCTAGCCTTCGCGGTCTAGTTCGGAGCGCGAGCCGCTCCTGGGGTAGGTAGCACTTGCATGCCCTTTGCTCATAGTTTCACGCCCTTGCTATCCCCTGTCACAGATTTGCCATTCCCTTTCTCTCTCCGATGTAGGATCTCGTCCACGATGCCGTGCTCCTTCGCCTCATCCGCCGTGAGGTACTTGTCCCTCTCCATCATGTCGTTGATTGCCTGCATGTCGTACTTCTCGTACCCAAACGACTTGTTGATGTGGCTCTGTACAATCTTGTTGAGCTGCTCCCGTACCCTCTGGATTTGAGTCGCGTAAATTAGGATGTCGGCGGCCTGGCCGCGCGTGCCGCCCAATGGCTGGTGCACCATGATCGAGCTATGCGGCAGAGCGTACCGCTTTCCAGGCTCGCCGCCGATCAGGAGAATGGCAGCCATGGATGCGGCGGCACCGACGCACACAGTTGAGACGGGCGACTTAATGTACGTCATGGTGTCGTAGATAGCGAGCCCAGAGCTCACCTCGCCACCGGGCGAGTTAATGTACATGGTAATGGGCTTGTCGGGGTTGTCTGACTCGAGCCATAGCAGTTGGGCCACTATCGACGCCGAAACGGTGTCGTCGATCGGTCCGTTGAGACATACTATCCGTTCCTGCTCCAGTCAGACTGGCGCCGGCGTGGTTCGATCGGGGGCCTGCACTGACCTGCAGCAGTTTGGAGAAGATGTCGGCTTGAGATGTGATTAGCTCTCATGGGTACCGCAGGAGGCTACTAGGCAGCGAAAACTCACAAGTCCGCCAACCACCGGCCTAGCTGGTGTCAGTTACTTGAATGCGACATGGGCGAGGACCGGGGACGCGAAAAGAACAGACCGTCACCTCGGTGATGTAGGGCATCGGGATGGTTGCCCTTGGTGGCATTGTCCCAGAGGACGCGCCAAATCCGGAGAAGTTCCGGCATTGCGACGAGCCTATCCTCCGTAGAAGGCGGAATGCTGGTCTTTGCGTGTTCATCGCGATTGAGTTTCACTTTCTCTCGGACTTATGAAGGACTGGAACAGAGCTCGAGCGAGAGAGCCTGGGTATGGTCGAAAGGTGCCGAGTGGAGCTTCTTTAGGTCCCAGGCTTGGCACTTAGACCCGGCGCCAAGAGATTCAGATCTGAAAATTGAGCGTCGCCTGCTCTCTCGATGGCAAACGTGAAATGTGTTATGGCTTGTTTCTTTATACTTCAGAAACACTGTTCTAGCTACCGCTTCAATTTCGTTGGTCGACTTCATGGCCCATACTCCCAGAGACGACCGATCTGCCATTCGAACGTCAGCTTTGTACGAAATCGGCACAGTGTGAATAGGGGACATTGAAGCATTGAATCGAAAAAAGAGGACCCCAACCTCAAATCATCAGTCTCTGTTTCACTGCAGCCCTGTTTTACAGTCAACATTCACGCACGCAGTCAGATATGAGGACGCCATGAAGGCCCTCCTGGGATCATGTGCTAGACAAACGCCAAGAACAGTCCCCCATAGCCGATGTCGACCCGTCACTGCTCAAGAATTTCGAGCTGGCACCATCCATCGCCATGACGAGCCCGACAAGTCACAGGATATTCCCGCCGATTCGGATGCCGTGTACACCATGTTTCAGGTCGATGCTCAAAAGAAGACGGTCAGAACAGCAACTGGGGAATTGCCAATATCCCCCTTGATGGACCCGTCATTCCACGAGGCCAGGTGGAAATCCTTCCAGCCAAAGCCACGACATTCCGGGTACAAGCGGACCAAGTTTCAGCGAAAGTTGGCCCGCAATCCTTACGGTATTTCCTGAATATATTAGAATATGCATTGTCAGACAGTCTTCTAACTCTCTCTCAGCGAGGGCTCTGGCCACGCCTGTGCGGAGATGCCCAATCACCAACACATCCCTTCCCAGCTTTTTTCTGGAGCGCTTCAACCTCGTGTCCCATCCCGAGACAGGAAAACCCTGGTTTCTGCCCAACCATGTCAGCAAGGCCACACCGGCCGAGGATGGCCTCTTGAAAGAGGGCCAAGCTGAGCAAGAAGCGGACAGCACAGCAAGCACAGCAAGCACAGCACAGAAGCCATCAAAAGACGGCCAAGAGCCGGCGGCGAAGGGATACAAGGGCTTGAAGAAGGGCCCCTCGGCATACATCCTCTCTCGCCAAACCCTACTCCAGGAGCTTCAAAACCCACAGTCCCCATACTTCAAGGCTCAGCGGAGGCTCCTCCGCATGAGCGACCACGGCCAGTCCAAACTCACGGCCGCTCTGAACGCAGCCACCTGGCGCACCGACATGGACACGGTGCTGCTGGAATTGCAACGCAGGCGCGCCGTTGAGGGCCTGCGGCACTTTGCGAACATGGTCGAGGACGAAGGCCGAAAGTACATTGTCAAGTGCGAGAGCTGGAATGATGTTAAGAACCTCAAGCACCGGGGATGTGTGCTGTACTTGGGTCCGGCGGAGGGGGCGTCTTCGGAGCCTGGACCCGAGTACGTCCCGCCGAGGCTTTCAACCATGGATCTTGGGCCCCATGGTGCGCCTCTTGTGGTGCACGACCTGCGTGAGCTTTTAGGCAAGGAATATCTGGCTCGGCTGAGGCAGGATTCTGAGCTGCTGAGGAACGGGTCGCTGTTCATGCTGGGCCGGCAGGCGACTGTCAACCTGCAGGGGCTGTTGTGGAAACTTCAGGGGTACATGGCGTGGGGCGAACAACAAGCTACGTCAGGAGCACACAACTGGAAGTAGACGCGAATGGGCAGCATCCGGTAGGTGTCACTTCCTACAGCTGGTACACCGGACCAAGGACGGTGTCCCAAATGCACTAGAGAAGCCTGTCAACGTATCAAAGAGCTTTCTCTGGACTAAATAGGTTCTCGGTTTCATGAGGTCGAGAGGTCGGTCCTCCTAGCACTAACCGATGCGAAGCTACAAGACACATCGGCAAAACCAGCCGAGGCCAACTGAGCAGGCGCTGTCGCGATCCCTCAGAAAAGGAAAATAGCCTAGCCATTTCCAAGAGCCAGATTCTTGGGCGACATGGCGAGCAACGAGACGGGCACCCCCGAGGGCTATGGGACAGGATAGAGCATTATCAAAGAGGCATATGCAGGACGCAGTGACGGAGGCGAGGTGGTATGTGCAAGTCAAGATGTGTACGCCCAGGGAGTTTGTTGACAAAACTCAATTTCCACTACCTTGTATAGCCATAAACTCGTATGCTCTGGGATAGAGATGGCTGAATCTGTACTTTATACTAACATCATAATTTCGAATGCCTCTACTCCGTACCGTAGCGGTCCAGTTGACAAAGGCGCTGGGTTGGAAGGTTGAGGACACAGGGTGCCGTTCAGGGGCTGTTTACTATGCGAGGGTTAGGGCTCGAGTGTCGGTTCCTTGGCGGGTTGATTGGATTGAGTCTGATAAAATTAAATTGATTTGCCTGGAAGCGCATTGGGAAGCGTGTCTTGACGCGTCCCGCGGTCCGTCAATATCCACATCGCTGGCTTTCCCGAGCAACAGTCAACCTCTCCTCCGGGAACAAGTCAGATAACCGCGAAAATGAACCGCATCGACATCAAGAGGCGAAATGTCGTCGACCACCGCAAGAAGCAGTTCGCGGATCCGGCTTACAAGCAGACGCAGTATCCGCACCGCTTGAACTTCTACTCGACGCCGCCCACCGCCGATATTACGCTCGAGCAATTCGAACAATGGGCGATTGACAGGTTACGGAGTGCGTAGGGAACGACCAGACACATGGCTGTACAACACTAACCGCACCGCTTTTACACAGTCCTCGCCGAACTTGAGGCGTGTTCCTTCCGCAACAAGACCCCCGCCGAAACCGCGCTGCACATGAAGCCGCTCCTCGACAAGTACCTCCCACTCGACGCCAGCAGCTCGGGCCACTCGCAGCTGCAAGCACAGCGTCAGAAGGACCACTACAGCCACTTCATCCTGCGCCTGGCCTTCGCGTCGACCGAGGACCTGCGGCGGCGCTTCACCCGCGTCGAGACCATGCTTTTCCGCCTGAGATTTCAGGCTGACGATTCGCGCGAGCGCGCCGCCTTTGTGCGGACCCTCAATCTCGACTGGGAGCCCGTGTCTGAGGATGAGAAGCGCGAGTTGTCGCCGCAGCTGGCGACAACGATTGGGTTCGGCTACGGCAAGAGGGCGCAGCAGGTGATGGATGAGGAGTGGTGCAAGGTTGACTGGATGCGGGTGCCGGATCTGATTGAGGGCCGCAAGGTGTACGTCAAGGCGGGAAAGGCATACGTGCCCGGGAGGGAGCAGCAGAGTATGGTATTGAATGCCTTTACCAAGCGGTTAGAGCAAGCGTTGGAGGTAAGCAGGCCAGGAAGAGCCGCAGGGAAGATTGTGGTGGGCATTGCTAACGGACATGCTGCAGCTCACAGCCCGCGCGCTCCCACGGCTGGACGAAGATGACCGCCTCACTCCCATCCTCAACCACCTCTCCAAGAATTTCATCGCGCCCGATTCCAGTTACACGGGCTCCGGGATGGCCATCGAGAGCGCCGAGATCTCGGCGCGCAACATTGACAACCTCTCGCAGCACTTCCCGATGTGCATGAACCACCTGCACCGCTCGCTGCGGCGCGACGCGCACCTTAAGCACTTCGGCCGGCTGCAGTACACGCTCTTCCTCAAGGGCATCGGGCTAAACCTCGAAGAGGCTCTCGTCTTCTGGCGGTCGAGCTTCAACAAGATCACCGACGACACGTTCAACAAAGAGTACCGCTACAACGTGCGGCACTCGTACGGCGACGTGGGCGGCGACTCGAACCGGCGCAGCGGCGGCTACAGCCCCTACAGCTGCCAGAAGATCCTGACGGAGCACGCGCCGGGGCCCGGAGAGGCGCACGGCTGCCCGTACCGGCATTTCAGTCTGGAGAACCTGACGACGCTGCTCCGCGCGTCCGGCGTGACGGACCGTGCGGTGCTGCAGGGCGTCAAGGAGGATACCGAAAGCCAGAAGTTCCACATGGCGTGTAACCGGTTCGTGATCCACCCCAACTCCGCTCACCTCACTCACCTTTGATTACATGGGCTAATCAGTGGATGGCATAGTGTGTTTGAACACCTCCACAAGACGGAGCTCAAACGGGCCAAGGACGAGGGTGTCATGACGGCTGCGCAACTCGAGACCATTGTGCACCCGAACGAATACTTTAAGCGAAGCTACCTGCTCAAGAATATGAATAAACAGAAGCAGCAGGTTGATGTGAAGATGGAAGGGTGATGGACTCATCGTTAAGGTAAACGGGCTGAGAAAGGCTGGGCATGCGGGAGGGTCAGCTGGGTTGGTGTCTGACACACCCTCCCCTCCGACCACAGTTTATCACTGCGAAGGCACGAGGAATGTGCATGAAATGGGTGTTAGTGGTGCGGAGGGCATGGATTTCAGTTTGCTTTGCGTCTGTAACCCCGCTGTGAGTGGCAGCGTCCGTGACGAGCATGTGAAGGCGCAGGGCGTAATCGGAGAAGGGAGGGTCAGGAGTTTAGTCAGGTTCCTAGTGCATATCGGGCTGTCTCGTTCCCATGAGCACGTTGTAACTGCAGCCTCATCTTTCAGAACTAGAGAAATGCCTCAGCAGATAGGTCATACGGATGGGTGCTCGATCCAAAATGAAAAGAAAGCCGAAGGCCGAGACGGCTCCGTTCGGGCATGGCGTTGGGACACGTGACCGATTACCACCGTTAGCGTAAGATTACACGAAAACAGTACTGTGCTCCTGTATCCTAAATGCCAGGGCATGTTCCAGACCTCTCGATCATCGCCTTTCCCCGATCCCGAGTTCCTGCTCCTCAAGGTCGATCGCGTGCATCGCTGTCCCGTGCCGTCCAATCAATCTCAACATGACGGAGATACCCGACTGCCTCACCACGGTCCAAAATCCATCTCGACTTCAGAAACAACATCTGATTGTCTGCTGTGGGGAACGGGAGCAATGGCATGTTGACTGTGCGAGGACGGTCGATCATGCATACCGAGCCGAGGTTCGTTGTCTTTGTCGTCTGATGGGACTGGGGGATAAAGGTGCGGCCAAGTCTGCTGTCTGCTTCGCGCCGAGTCAGATCGCCATTGTCACTTCATCATCAAAGTTTCTCTCTGAAAAATGTTTTATTAGAGGTTACTTCGGGTCGAGCATTTCTTTCGGCTTGTCGTCGGGCTTCCCGTTTTCAGATGACTGTTGCCCGGTGGCTGCACACGGCACATCCATGCAGGTGGCCTCGATCGCTATCTTGGGCAGCTCACACCGGCTCTTCATACCTGCACTCCATCCAAGGGACCTCACGTCGGTAGTTATGCAGTGCTGGGTCAGCTCGGTTAGCGCAGACGTGTGTTATCGAAGGCTTTTTCTTTCCCTCCTTAATAACAATTTTACACTCTTTTATCTGGTGATCCCTACCTCTCTTTTCGTACTCTTTGAGAGTCCTGAAGTTAGGTTTGCACTGGAGAATCAATCTAGTTGAGAGAGAAACACCGGCCTCCTGGCCGGTACCGGATCCCACATAGATGTGGGGGCTTCCATACTCCTTCTCGAGCACAACCAGTTAGACACACACCTTAAGTGTCCATTGTTAGCTTAACGCTCGTAACGGCCTTTGGGTCTTCGAGGGTTATTGGAGGCATCCAGATTGCAGGAAGGTGAGGGACGTGTGATGGGGATATGACCTTATAATGATTGAGTGAATATATCCCGTTCCGTACTCCTTTTCTTTCTTCTCTTTATCTTACTTCTATGATGCATCTTTCCCTTTTTGCATTCTATTTTTCTCTCTGCTTCTTCCTTTTTCTTTCTAACTGAGTTCTGTTCTTCGGTCTTCTCTTTTCTCCCTTTCTCTCCTATTTTATGTTGTTTTTCTCTTATTTACTTCTCTTCCTACTTCGCCTGGCTTGCAATGTACGATGAGCGATGCAGCATGAAGTCATTTGATGGCATGTCGAACAAAGACCTCTGCACTCCTTGGTCCCTTTCGGCTCCTCGGCTCATTAGCGTAACGGTCCTAGTTCCTGCCAGAAAAGATGGCGAGATGATGGGGACTTGCAGCCGCTCTCCGGAACCGGTGCCAATCAATGCCATGGATGCTCCCGGACATAGCTCCGGCCCGGAGGGGCGAGGCAGTCCAGTTTGCCCCTACTAACTAGACGTCATGGCCAATTCGGTAGGTTTGCCGAGATGCCGGAGGCTTTGCTCCGCGGTTCACCAGAGTTTACTGCAAAAAGGCAAAACTCCACATTATCAAACTCATTACAACAGCCAATGCTGCCCTCAATCAAGAGTCCTCATTGCGTTCGTTGGCTCCGGAACAGTTCTGCCGGATGTTGTGGCGTGTAGTTACTGTTTACCATTCCTGGCTGTCTCCGTCAGCTCCCTTGATCTACTGAACTCGAAACAGACATAGACTGTACCTTGGTCTACTTTACAGTTCGTATATTGTACAGCACTCGATACCGCCCTGATGATCGCCACGAACACAGTCGAGTCTGCATTCAGGTGACGGGTGTCGTTCGCAAACCAGCACGTGTAATCAAGCTGAGTACTCAAGGGGCTCCAACGCCAACGGAAACTTGAACAACCGACCTGTCCTAAATTTGGGAGACCACATTGCTGGACGACAGATGTGTAGACACGAGGAAACCTTAGCTGCACGCCATCGGCACAGTTGGAGCTGCAATGACGCTATAAACACCGAGTAATGTGTTTATCGACCCATCATGGAAGTTGATCAGGCAGGACATTGTGGCGGCGGGGCCCGGAGGATGGCTAATGAAACCCAGATAAAACGGCAGCTCCCGTTCTGCAAGCGATGGGGTAAGCTGTAGCCAATTTTCCAGGGCTGAAACGTAGTGCCTCTACGGATCTACGTTGACTCCAAGCTCCCAGCAGTGCATAGGACCTGTTCAACAAATGCCTACCCAGTTGGCTGCAATGGGTAACACTAATTCCCGAGGGGCCATGGTAAACAAGATGGAATCTGCAGGTATTCTTTTGAGATGCGGATGTTGATGATACAATTTCTTGATCATTATTATCTAAATGACGAAACGATCCCATCGTGACCTCTGAAAGATAACTTGTACAGCAAAGTGGTATCATGCTTCTATGATCCCGCGCCAGCCCAAAATGCAATTTTGATATATAATATCCTTTCCCTGTTGCGATGCCGACCGCGGCTGTCTTTCTCTTCTTGATAACTCCACTCTGCCCGAAACACCATCGCTGAATGATGATAACCAACGAAACAAAACGCTGGCTAACGAATAAAGATGCCATTTGAGTGATATAAGACGAAGGCAATAACGTGGCCATGACCTTCGGCGCCAGGCCGGGTAAGCACGACATCATCAAAAACTGAAACCCTACGGAGAGGGGGAAAAGAGCTCAAGTCAACGGTGTCCCTTCCGAGTCGAGACTCAGACGACCGCGCGGCGTTGCAGCCAAAATGGCGCCAGTGTGTGATGTTGCATTCGTCCCGTCGGACCCTCCCATTTCTAGAGTGCCAAACCAGCGGGAGTGACAACGTTGAAGCACGTCGACGTCAGCGGCTTGGCAAGCGGTGGGGGAGTTGAACATGCTGAAGCCCCTATTGGCGGAAAGGTCTGATTCGCTGGTCAGCGGTGGACTCATTGCCCAATGAGCCGCCGTGGATCCAGAACCTGCAGCGTTTTAACGCACAATGATGATTTTGCCCTGCACCAGAGAGGGAAGGATCCCGCTCAGGTGTTTGATGAGATGTCGTATCGTCTTGTGTATGTGAGCTGCTGACTGCTCAGAAAGAATTCGAAGCCTTCAGATTGCGTGTTTGGGCGTGATTGAGTTTTGGTGGATGATGTGTAATGAGATATTCCCTGCGGAATAGGGAAATGGTCGAATCTCCACGTAGATAGACTACCGGCTATCGATCGGTACAAACGAGAAGTTCGAGGATTGTGTGTGCAGGTGAACCGTCTTACCGCACAACAAAAGCTGTTGTCGGATGTAATCCGAGAGCGCCATTCTGTCTTAAGGAGCTCATCCCGGTAATGGCTCGTGCTTTCAACGCTCAACTGCTTCGCACTGATTGCTGAGCATCGAGTCCCAAAAGGACAACTGGCCACGATGGCGACCGAGGGGGGAATCGGTGTCAATATGCCGTAAGACTGACAGACTCGGCGATCCGGCGGGTATGTCCGAATGTGCATGGCCTGGGATCGTATACTTCCGTGGCACGGCCCGTCATGCGTCTCGATTCGGAAATGCACCAATACGTGCAAGGTAACCGTCCATGATTCCGGCATTCCGATACCAAGCGATGATGGTGCTGACGGGCCGCAGTATCCAACGTCCAAAAGATTCGGCCGGAGGACCGCTGCTGAGCTGAAATGGAATCCTGCCCAATCACCCGCAGTCGGGCTGGTTCATATCCCAAGGGGTGCGCTCCAGATGGGCACCTCCAGCGAGCATCACCCTCATGTATAGCCGACGAGCTTGGCGCAGCGGCTGCAGTAGTAGATGTTGGTACCAATCTGAACCATGCCGGACATGCTTAGGTCGTCCGTCGAGGTCATCTCCTCGGCTCGGGCGCAGCGCAAGCAGCGGATCACGGCAACATGGACGGGGGGGCGGATTGCTGAATCCATGCTGTGCCGGGCAGATGACCCTGAAGCAGTCGTATTCGAAGACGGAAGATCCGGGTCGGATGTCGAGTACGAGGAAGCGGATGACGAAGAGGTGGTTGACGAAGCTGATGATGAGGACCCAAGGAAAGGGCGCGATGAAGACGTTGAAGCGGACATGGTGGGCGAGGTTGATGAGCGTCGAGCAAACGCTGGCTTTATCTATCGATTCGAGCCCAATGCCAGGTAGAGACCAGAGGCGGGGTACGATGTCCAAACAAGTCCGGGCATATCGGGATCGGAGAAGTGCTGGTGCAGGTTTTTTGGAAGGGGGCTGCCGGGTGTTTTATTGTGAACGGATCACTGGGTTTGGCGGGAATGGACTGGCCCAGACCAAGGCTTGGTTCTGGCCTCTGGACCCCACCAGTGGGTAGGCTGGCACACGGCCTGATTGGATGGGAGGGAGAAGTCCGAGGTTGCCGGTGTTGAGGGCGGGTAATTACAAGAGACACGTTGAAATACAGAGGCTGCAGGTTGCGTGCGAGTGGAAACGGTGCGGTTTCGTCCTCCTCAGGGGCAGTGCTTATTTCCGACAATCGAGATGGACAAGCACTGATTCGATCCTCGCTGCCCATGATGAACGATTTCTCCTCTTGTTCGAGAAGAACGGCTCAATCGCCCAGTGCTGACTCACAAATCTTCCCCCTCATGAGCGCAAACTGGACAGGCACCATCGTGTCGGTTCAGGATGTGTGCTTCCGTAGAGTTCCCTTCACACGCGATCGGCTGGATTGCACTGGGCATCGAGAGATGGCCATGCGGTCGCCAAGATTGTGCTACGAATCTTGCGAGCAGACACTTGCTATGGCTGAATTTGTAGTCTCGAGTTGCTTCGGAGCTTCGCGGCATGTGTGTCAGCATCTTCAAAGGCACGATCACCTCTGCCAAAATCCGATCCAGGCAGTTAGCGTTACGGACTGTAGATCGATCGCTTACTGTTGTAAAAGCACTTCCAGTTCCCCGCGTTGATTCCACCCAAGACAACTTGGAAGGTAATTACAGTACAGTACCTTGACGTTTATGCATTCCCGGTTTCACACAGTTCCGTGTCTTCAGTTATTAAGCGGGCCCTTTTGCTGTGGGGCGTTTCAAATGCGCACCTCCACGGAGTACAGGCACCCATGACGATACCAAGTTTCTTGACGGTCCGCGCGGTAGTAACTACCAGCCAAATAAGCAACTCTCCCGAATTGAGGCCCTTTAAACACATCCCTCTTTTACGGATGGCGGATTCGTTTTGCACGCTCTGTGGAAGTCGTTCGACTTTGTCTGGAATGGGATGACAAACCTCAGACCCGCAAAAAGGACGACAAGGTGGGAAGTCCAGCCCTATCTGAAGAAGGCCCGCTTCGGCCATCTCCCGCGTCTTGGCATGCGAGAACTGGACGTTCGAGAACTCGATCGTCCTTCACTTTCTCGATGGGTAGAACGACACCAAAAGCCGCATGCAGATCTCGTCCCATCTGAAAAGGCGTGAAAGCAGCGAACATGCAAGGCCAAACCCGTTTCCTTTGCCTGATGACTGACCACCTGACCCAGTGAGCATCGCACAATCCTCAATAGATATCAGGCCTTAGAACAGTCGATCTGCTTAGTGCTGCCATCAGCCCTTCAGTCTCCCAAGATGGTACTCATCCAGGACCTGCCGGTGGGCTCGGCCTCAGTCATTGACATCTCAATAAGCTGCAAGCAATGGCTTTCTGCTTTTGTGAGGGGCCCAATTAACACATTCCAGCATGGCGCTGCCCTGACCGTCTGTAAGGGCCTGATCGGCTGCCTGTGGTGCAGTGCGGTGCTCCTGGAACCCTGTCATGTACCAAAAAATGCTTCACTCGGGTAAAATGAGGGCGCCTTGCCCTTTCAGGCACCAGTTTCCAAGTGGGACAACGGGTTAAAATTCCTGGCACCTTCTGTCTGCCAAGACTATATATATTACGCCGTCGCCTTCATTTAGATTCCGCACCACGGGCAACCGATCAGGCCCCAAGCTTTATCACGAATGCGGCTGCAAACTTCAGTGTGCCCAATACTTACGCTATGTCGGATATCGGGTACTGCTCTTTCGACCAGGGCAGCATTGGCTCGGCCGTTCCGGATGGAGGTCGCAAAAACCACTTACGAACATAGATTTTTCGCCAATTCCCCTGAAGTTTCACCTCTCATATAGTGATTGCCATTGTTCCTCGATAACTAGGTCGGTCGCGTCCAAGTCAGCCTCAATCACCGGCAATGGTGGCATCCTGGTCCAGAGACCGTTCCTCGGCGGTATCGTTTCAGACCGTCGTAGCTTAAGTACATCACCATCTTCTTGCCCGTGGAGTGTGAGAGCTTCGTTAACAAACTGTTCCAGGGGTACGCCCCGCGTGAGCTACCCGCCCTCGCCGCGCTCTGCGACGCGTAATTTAAATTTTTGCTGAATACAATCTCAAGCTCGATTTCTGGAGTGTTGAAGGACGACACGGCAGCCTGGATGGTTTCTGTGACCTGTTCGCTGTCTACTTGCCGGGCTCTACACAGTAGTTGGGCTGTCATTCTGCAGAGACGTCACTTGAGTCGTGGCGCTCACTGGAAGTGGCAGCAGGTGATGACTTACGGATCCCAGCCGACTTAGTCATGCTACTGTCTTGCTTTAACATCTATGAAATCGGCCAGACTCGCCGTCACAGACGTCGTACACAGTGCAATCAATTTTGGAGAGGACCTCATGTGGAGCTAAAGGCACATCCCGTCGGCGAGAAAATCCTCAAGAAAGCTGGCCACTTTGCGGGACCAGACAGCTCTGCTGGGACGTAGCAGTGCCAGTGAGGAAGCCGCTTTAGTGTAGACTCCACGCGATTCCAAGGATAGCTTCGGTAGTGTTATGTACAGTACCTCGGGCTTTCGAAAGTTTCGGCATCTACAACACCACGGGAATGCACAAAGCTCTGGTTTCATCAAGAAGCTCTGGTTCTCAGCACACCATGCTTCTTTAATGTGGACGATATCAAGCTAGCTATTACTAACCCATTCTCAATCAACTTCACCCTCGGTCGCTTCCCCCGATCCTGTCTCCCGCTGTGAAGGTCAGGCATTGTCCGATTCAAACAGGAAGACGCAGGAAAACGGTTACTGAGTCTTCGATACAATCATCGTGGCTGAAAGGAGTGGAGGAGTCACCTGCCGCCACAAGTAACATCGCGCCACGATCTGTCACCAGTGCTTCGCTGACCAGATCTTGAATTGATCATAAGTGATCGATCGTATGAACGGGATGAAAGGGATGAGGCATAGTAACATCCGTGCAATAGGAGACAATGTGGGACTATCGGCTATGCTGCTGATAGGAGCCTGATGCTCGGTTGGATGTCAAAGACAGGCAGAGAGACAAGCGGCGAACCTACGAGATTGTTTTGAAAGTTAAGTGGGCGAAGACTCGCGGAGCTCATAGATCCCGGATTGCCTCCTTTTCACAAGCTGTGTGATATACCCGGAGTACAACAATTGAAGCACCATTGAGGATGACAGTGATAAGAGTAGACGTAGCATGGGGTGGGCGGATGAATACGAGGGCCCGGTAAGTGATTCACTCCTGCCGTCTTCTAGACGGGATGCGTTAGGTGACCGTAGTGTTAGTCGACGCCTTCCCGTCCTTGACGATTATGAGAGCCGTGAGAGCCGTGAGAGCCGTGCTCAGCGACGTGTATTCCTCGGGCGAATGAGGCAGTCACATACCTTGACTCACCAGGCCAGTCAGTATGTGGACGGATATAATGTACCATGATATCTTTACTTCACTGCCTGCTTGCTCTGCTTTCCTGTAACAAGGCTTCAGCTCCGGCGCAACAAAAAAAAAAAAAACCTGCTGTAGAACGCCCCCTTCCCCTATCCGCCCGCTGGTTATCAACAACGAAAACAGAAATCCGCTCAAAAGTCTCCTACTCCGCGGTCTAAGGTACAGGCAAAAAGAGTGACGGAATAACATGGAACATTGTGCCGCCCGGGCAGGCCGTCAGCGGACCCATGCCCGCCTTCCTTCTCTGTCGGGAAGTTGAGTCACGCGAGCCGCCTGGACGAGACACCCAAGCACAAACTAAACCATTCATTCTGGCCCCTCGTTTGGACAAGGTAAATAGGTAGGTGTCTTCAACTGGGTCCAGCCCCTGGATGACGGTTGGCGTCTCTGGACTGGGCGGTGCGGGAAGAAAAAGAACAAGAGAGAGGGACACAGGGACCTAGACCGAAAAAAGCGAATCCTCCCCTCTGCATTATGATAGTTCTGTGTAGGCTCCTGGCCACGGGTATGTACGGTTGGTCCCTTCGATGCCTGTAGGTGTGCTTAGAAGTCGTTCTCGAGCCCGTTTGCTGCGATGAAATTGTGAAGGCACGTGGGCAACGAGGAGGGTACGAAAGGGAAACAAAGGAAAATAGACGACGCCTGGCGAAAATGTACAGGTTGTGTGCGATGAACTGAGATGTGGAAGGTAGTCGCAAAATTGCGCCCGGAAGCAAGGAAATCGTTTCGTCGTAGATCTCAGATCGGGTGCTGATGGTTCGCCGAGCTGGCATCAAGCTGGCGACCAAACGGAACGCCGAATAGGTGGAAGATGGAAAGCCTATCCGTCCCGGGCGGGAATAGGCGTTCTCGCAGCTGCGTTTCCGCAAAGTCTGAGCTCACATCACGATGCAGCAACCGCAGCCTCCCTTCTTCTGTGTTGTTTCCTCGGGCGGCTCCGGCACCCGGACGGTCTGCGAGAGCTGAGGTTGATGCCCCGGTGTTCTGGGACTCGGAAGAGTGTTGACGGCCGGCGTGTCGGCAATCTTGGGCATGGTCGAGTACGAATTCGTCCTCGCAGGGAGGGTTGGGCTTTTGGCCTCGGCTTTTAGTGGCCAATCGCCCTCGTTCTCTTTCTGACCTTCTTTTTCGGCCTCCTTGTCGACCTCCTTCTCCTGGGTGCCGTTCTCGGGAGGTTTGAGAAAGCCCTCGTCTGTGAGTGGCCTAAACTCCTTGTCGTAAACGCTCCCAAACTTGCCCTCGCGCTCCCACTTCTCCTGCTGTAGTCGCTTAGCCACTGTCGGCAGGAGTTGTTGGTCAGGAGGGAGCCTTGGGTCAGGGCGGTAAGCTGAGACCATCCATGGAGGTTCGCCTTCCATGGGTTTGCAGTGGCTGCTCGAAAACTCCCGCTCACCAGATCTCGTCGATGGCCGCGTCGTTGCTGTCCCACTGCTCGTCGAATCCTTGCTCGCCGCGCCGCGTGTCTTTGGTCGTCCTGCCGTCCCATTAGCCGGCTTCGGCTTTTTCGACACCGTTGCCGTTGCAGGCTTCTTCGGCGATGAATCAGGCCGCTTGTTCGCTTGTGTCGTTGGCGGCGTGCTTGGAACCTTCGCAAGTGCGTTGCCTGTGCTGCCACTCCTTGCGCGCGGTTTGGGATACGTTATTGTGTCCTCTAGGCCTGGGCTGCCGTCCCGTCTCCTCGGCAGACGCGCGTCCCGCGCCAGATGCTCGGTTGGTATAGGGACAGGGCTGTCCTTCGCCACAGGTATTCGGGAGCCTTTCCCGTTGGCGTTAACCACCCAGTGTCCATCGCCTTCTTCTTGTATCTCTTCTGGTCGCCTCAAGTCCCAACTGGGAATAGATGCTGCATCGAGAGTCCTCATGTCGGTGGTTGTCGCCGCTGAGTTCTTCCTAGATCTTGGGACGGCGTTCTCGGAGCCTGCAATCGACCTGCCTGACCCGGTAATCTTATCCTGGCTCTGATCCCGCCTGGGCCGGTTTTGACTTTTTGATCTCTCTCTGTCTCTTTGGCGGGGGAGGATGATTCCCGCCGCCTGCAGCTCCTCGCTCTCTATCTTGGCCAGCTTGTCTCTGTGAATCCACTTTGAGTTTTCATCGCTGTCTGAGTCCGGATGCATGCCGTTTGGGCCCCTCTTCTTTGTATCCTCAACCCGTTCCCCGTTAGTGGCACCATGGTGTTCCAACGAGTTTTGTGATATATTCGCATGTTGCCGGAGACTTCGTGGTTTCACGTCCTGGCGATCGTGTTGCGCGATGATATCGAGGGTCTTCTCGTTCACTTCAGAACTTGGTTCTCCGTCGCTGTACATTTGCGGTGGCGTTTCCGGGTCGGTTACCGCACGCATAGTCAAGTTCCCGTTTTGGGATGCCAGCGGCAGTCGGCCTGGCGCGTGGAGGTTGTCCTCATTCAGAAATGGCTTTTCGGCGTGTAAGGTCTGTCGCAAAGAAAGCAATTGTCAGCAACGAGAATGATAGGGGAAGGTGCGCCGGTATTTCATGTAGTAACGCCAAAGTGGACTAAAGATGCCCCATGTCATCTTACCCCTGTTTCCGTCGGCAGAACATCTTCCCACACATAGGGAGGCGAAACCGGAGGTGTTGCCAACTGCGACACGGTAGCCATCCTTTCATCAACAGCGGACTTCGCATTTGGGGGCTCGGCTGATGTTGGCGATGTTTGCTATGTTGGATGAACGAGGGGTTCCGGCACTCGAATCTCACGGCGAAAACAAGAACAATTAGTTCAAACCGCCAAGAAGAGCCGTCTCCCTAGGTCAAACAGGGCGCCCCTGGTGTAGACAAGATGCTCGGGTGCGGGCGGTCGACCCAGCCTCCAAAGGCCAGAGTCGGCCGACAGCTACCAAATGCTCGGCCGACCTGTTCCCAGACACATGTGCCAATGAAATGTGTCTAGCCACCAGCTGCGTGTGTGCCCTCGTGGGCCCGCTATGGCGAGGTTGAAAAGCGTTGAAGTATCAGTGCGTTCTCGATGGCGGTGTGTTGTCAATGGCATCCGTGCGAAGCGGTTGTGGATTGAGGTGCAAGCGCCCCGGTTCCCGGTTTTGGCTGGTTTGTAAGATCAACTTATCCTTGCCGCATCTGCAAGTATCGGAATTCTTCTCTGCTCCTCCAGATTTGTGCGGTGTTCTGCGGGCTGCTGCAGGATAGTAGATGTCAAGTAGCACCGTGACTGCTGTGGCGTCGGGAGTTGTCTGGGGCTGCTGGGCGCTGCAGGCGCCGAATGTAGGTGCTGCTAAGGTAGATGAGGGGCGTTGGACGTTCGAGCGACACACATTGCACTAATCTCTGGGCTTCTTTTCTCGTTGCAGTCCAGAGTCGAGCTGCAGGCGATCCAAAACCAACCAGACAACTCAAGAGGGAGAGAGTCACAAGTGGCGGGCTGTGTGAATGGCCGTTCTTCGTTCCAAAGCAAAGCTTCGAGAATTCGCTTCGGTAAGGGGCGTCATCAAAATAGGCCCAACATGGGAGGAAGCTTTTAAATTAATCTGCCTGCGCATTGCCATTGGTCAGAGACGGTGGGTCTTGCGGATTTCACAGGGTTCTGCTCCATGCACTCATTCGGTGACCTCAGAACTCAATCAGTGATGAGGTCCAGGCTGTCAATAACACCACTAGAATGATCAAAACCCGACGCCGTTCTTCCTCTTGGAGCCTTCTTTGTCAAAGGGCCCTGTGATAGTCCGCTGCTAGCTTGTAACATGTCTTAGCAATTCACACAATTTCCATAAAAGACAAAAACCCCGCATCCCGTTCTAGGCTTTCCTACCCACCGCTAGGTCCTTGCTTCTTTTCCCCTCGAGGAGCCAAATCACCCGAGTATGCCAGGTATCCAGGCAGCAGTCCCCCCTCTCTAGTCTCGGGGAGGTGTAAATAAGGCCTTCTTCTCCAAGCCTCTCTGTGCGGCCGATGATAAGTTTTCTAGTCAAGCAGGCGGCTTCTCTGGTGAGCCGTGACAGAATCCTGTTTCTCATGTCTGCGTTATCATCAGTCCCGTGTCAGACGAGGCGGACCAGGACCGTGTGTATCAGAGACACCCGCAATCGCCCTGTCAAGCTGCCCAGGGGCGATGTGTTGATCCATGCAGGAGATCTCACAGATCAGGGGAGCTACTCGGAGTAGGCTGTTGAGGCCACCGGCCTTCCATATACTGAGCCATGACTCTTTGCCTGCCGGAAAAGAATTGACGGCCGAATAGAGTTCCAGGGCAGTTCAATGGCTAGAGAAGGCAGTCTTTGAAGCCAAGCTCACGTTTCAGATAACGTTACGTGTGTTCAACTGATGATTGTAAAACCCGTGGATTTCGGCTCACAATTTGCAAGGAAACTACTGTACGATATCACGTTGGATTATGACTTCTATTCTCAGCGCGGATCCAGCTTCCACAACCAGGACCCTCAGGACCCCGCCAAATGTCTGGCGCTGTTTACCTCGAGTAACACCATCACATACCTCTAACACGGCAACGCTACTGTGCGGCTGAGACGCGTCAACGGGCCACGGACCGAGTTCACCGTCTTCGGTTCCCCTATAGACCTAAACACGGCACGTGGGCCTCTCTGTACCCTCGTCCAGATACCGAGGCAGAATCCCCGACGCAGGAGGGCACGGCAACAGGGAGCCAAAGTGCAATAGAGCTGTGGGCTGCTGTTCATCTGGATGCTGACATTTTGGTCACCCATACGCCACCTTACGGACATTGTGATGATTCTCATGGCTGCAGAGCTCTACGAGAGACGCTCGGCAGAGTACGGCGCTGGCTTCATGTTTGCGGCCACATCCACGAAGCCAGAGGTGCCCAACGCTTGAGATGGGATACCGACGGTCTCAGCATCGGAGACCAAGTCGCCGACTGTCTGTCTGTGGAGCAATGGCGCGATGCCAACCCGATCCAACCTCCACCAAGATGAGCCTGGTCGACTTGACTGCGCGTTGTGGAAGTCATCCACTCGACTTCCATGATGCAGCGCCATACCCCGTGGCACAGGTCGGCGACCCAACAGCGTGGGACGACGAACCTGGCTCCTCCGCAAAGCTCGGAACGGACTGCAAAAGACGCGGGCAGCCAAACACAACTATACGTGCCGGCCGCCGGGAAACGTGCGTCGTCAACAGTACAACCCTCGCCACTGGACAGCCGCACACAGGAGGGAAGCGGTTCAACAAGCCGATCGTGGTCGAAATTGATTTACCCATATGGAATTGATGCATCGTCGACTTCGATTTTCAGTTTTGCTGTGCACAATAGGCCTGGTCTTCCTGGACCACTCCTTTCTTTGACGCCACCATTTGGTACTTGTCAAATCATTGCTCGTTGACAGTACGAGCCCGCTTACTGACTTGGGCATCGGAAACTTCTGGGCGGGGAGCAGAAGGATGAGGCAGAGACCGTCGAAGAGGGGACGACACGGCCTTCACTTAGGGTCACAAGCTGTTTGGGTCTTGAAGCGAGCCGGTTCAGCGCTTCACGCAAACATTACGGCGCTTGGCTGGGATGTTTTTATATGGCACTTGTCCACAGTGACCGTACATCCGAGAAAATGCGTCGGCAACTTCCGCAAGAATACACTTCCGCGACCTTTCACAAGTCGAACAGCGCCCAGTTGTGTTTTCCGGCTGGCTTGAATGCTGCTCAGCAGACGCATAGGGTGAGTAAGCAAGCAGCTGAGGCATCATCGGAGCAGCCGGCATCTCTTTGGGAATCCTGCAGCATCGAGGGACCAATGGGAATCATAGAAGCTTCTGTGGGAGGGGTCAAGGAACAGGTGATGTTCACCGCCAACAGCCCGAAAACCAACGGCGGACATGGCCGTGAAAGTGTGCATGGAACACACGGCGAATCACATCTAAGTCGTCGTGAACAGTATCCCTTCTGCACCATCTCGCCTAACGCAAAGGGTGGTGTAACAATTATCACACAACCATACTCGGAGGCAGCACTCTGTGGGCATGAGAATTATTCGAGTGCCGATTCAAAAGGGCCATCATCCAATACTCATCAATCTTCATACAAATCCTAGTGCAGCGATTCTTAGTTGAAGTCGGAAGGCAAGGAGGGGTAGCGTGGATCGTGGGGTGGGGGGAGGGGGGTACAATACAGGGGAGCAGGCGTCTGGTTGTCCTCCCACTCGCCAGGACAGATCACGGGTCACCTTCGAGCAGAGACCATTGACAGGACCGTTGTGTTAGAGAAATGTGGAGGAGCACCATGAACCAGTCCCAGCTAGACTGTTCATTCGATATAAGCGGTCACGACACGGATCCGATTGTCCATGGAACGTGTAGAGCCAAGGGAAGTTAGTTATTGACTCAAAATTCAAGAAAACGGCGGGACATGTGGCCTGGCCAGGCCTCGACGGCCGACCACAAACGACCAACGCTTATGCCCTGAAAGCCGTTGCTACCAGGTACAAACAGTACTCCGCAGAGACAAAGCAAAACCTCAGGCACTAGCGCACGGTCGAGGTTCTTTGACAGCGGGTTGTTCCGTGGGCGAAACGGGTGAGCATCCATCCGGTTGCCCGTGGCACGCGGCCGCTTGTGATGAGATCAGACCCCCACTGAGCCTTCCAAGTGCCGCGAGACTTTCCCTGCAGACCTCCATCGGAGCCATCGAGCATCTGGAACCCTTGATTGGTAGACGGCTCACCCAAACTTGCCCCGCGTTGGTCGCCAGTAGCATAGTCCAACACCACAGGCCAACCAGAGAGCTCGCGGGATCGACTAGCAAGTAGCAACCTGAAGACAAACTTACAGCTCAAGTCCAACGAGAAGGGTCAGATTGATGGAGCAACGCTCCAATAACCCGCGTCACTGCGGTGGGCTGGCTTGACGTGGAGTGGCCGGCGTGGTCGAGCCCTATGTATTAACCTTCTCAGCCGAGGTGGGGTGTTGGCGGTGTGTTCACCATCGGAGACACGGCTCCCCAATCACCAGTGTCCCAAGTCATCGGGGCTGCATGATTGTGTGGCCTCTGAGGGGAGCAGCAGGCCAGGCAGTGCCACCGTACCTGCTTCGAGATTGAGAGGATGGGCCAACGGTGGTTGGCCGAATGGTTGTTGGTGTTGTGTTGCCCCGTGCCACAGCAACGATGCGAAGGCTGGTCGACGAGGGGTAGCGTCGCGGAGCCTTGCTGAGCCTGAGGTCTTGGGAGATACCTGCTTTACCTGACACCCGTAGAGCATGACACCTGGGCACGAAGACTTCACTTTCATCTCCAATCTGGATACGGATAGCTTCAACAAATGGGTCGCGACAGGCGAGGAGAACCCACCCAATTGGTTAGGTGCTTGGCAATGGTTCCTGAACCCGGGAGCTCTCATGCCTTGAGAGTCATGAGGTGGCCGTAAGTGGTGAAATACGGGTGGGGCTCTCGGGGTTGATGGGTTGTCTCCTGCAGCACATCACAGCCGAAGGGGTATGGTTGGCGAACGGCCACAGAATGGCGGCCAAGTCGCCTCACATTGCTGCGGGGTGACTGCTGGCTCCACCACACTGGTGCAGCGTTTCCCCAGCACATCACCTCAGCAAGGTATCGGCACTCGGGAGAGGCATGGTTTCTATGAGCAGCGCGACGCTGGTTGGCCCCTCGGATGGGATGAAAAGCGGTAGTTCGCCAGGAAGTTTAAGTTTCCGTTCCAGACTCGACACCCAATCTTGCATTTCGGTCGCCCGCCGGCAGTCGATGGAGCGTGTTCTGCAACTAGACGGATTTCGCCCCCGCTAGGTGGAGGAGACAAGACGAACTTGTGAACCGGGCTCCTCATGACAGGAGGGACCTATGACTTGTACAACAAAGTCCGCAGCAACCTTTGGCCTGAGGTAGGTAGATGCCGTTAGCCAACGGAGCATAACGGACAAGAGAGAATGCACTGGCGGGCTCGTGGTCGATCAGGATGCTTCTGTATGTGTCTGGATGAGGTGTGGCTGACAGGATAAGGGGTCATCAACTTGCGCGCAAGCTCGATTCGGGTCGTGTGGTTAACCATAATCGATGATGGTGTTTGCGCATTGTTACTTGCCTTGCAGAATGGGGATTGGGGAGCATTCCCCCGAGTATCGATACCCCAGGGTCTCGTTGCCCGGTGAAGACCTCCTGGCTGCATCCACACCGCCAGTTGCCTCCTTGCGCCTGGAACACCGACTGCTAGTGTCCTCCGGCAAGCATTCTTGTCACCAACTGTCCGCTATCTGCCTGGTATGACTGGATCCGGCGTCCAAAAGATCTCCTGGCCGAACCATAACTCACTTATGATAGGGTATTGCAAAACTGGTACTTGGTCGGCGGTCGATTTAGAGGTTGCCTCAACCAAGATAGAAACTCCACAGGCAACTAGATCCAGTGGCCTTTTTGCCGCGTGGACAGCCACTGCGAGCCCCAGCCACCCCGGTGTTGAAGCGGCTTTGCGGGACCCGAAGTGGCACAACTGCCTGAGGGTTCAACGCCCGCTTGTCGTCCAATGCTGGGAATTCTTCAAAAGCCATCAGCTGGCATCTGGAACTTTTGACTCGGCCATCCTCAACGGCCTCCTAGGTCGGCAATCTCAGATCACCTCGAGCATACAGCTTCCACGTTGCCACTAAAGGCGAGTGCTAGTGGGTCTCCGTTCTAACTTGATGGGCGTGTTGATTGTTCGGTGCTTGCCGAATTCCGCGTGGGAGGCCGCTTGCCCCAAGGGTTGTTCGTAGCCTTCCCTAGCCCCATTGGTTTAGAATATTGATGTTTTTGTTGACGGTATTGCCATTAGCGACCCGGTCAGTGGCTGGCCGGCGGAACTGTTAAAGTTACGGCATATGTCGCGTAAGCTGAACCTGAGCAGCCCTGCCACTGAGGCTGGAGCAGAAACTGGAACGCTGCCTCTTGCTTGGTTTGCTGAGAAACGAGCACGGCCCTGACCAGATGCACAGGTTGTCAAGTTAGCGCAATCTCGAGAGCTGAGGGACCTAAACAGAAACAGACCGAAGGCAAGGGACGACCGAGGGGCGAACCTTCCGTACGGAGTACCCCTGGCTCGCGTAACTTGAGTGTACGCCATTTGAAACAGGGAAAGTAAGGGACAACACGACCAATGAACTGGTCCCTAGCCCACTTCTCCCCACAAGCGGGCGCCGTACGGTGTCCACTGCTCGACCCTCTCGGCGGGCAGGTGCTTGCAATACCTGGACTGGGCTGTTCCTTTTCACAGGACAGGACCTGAGGAATCAGCCATCGCCCCAAAGCATGCCAGGGCAGTGCTCCACCAGCACTCTCTGTGGTCGAACAGTGAACCCCCTCATTCCGCCCTGGCCGCTGCCCGACAAACCCGTCCCTCTTGGACTGCGGGTGATCTCATCACCTGCTTCCATTCCCTTCCCATCACCTTACACCACGACAGTCAACATCCGAGCAATAGCACTAGGCTGGCAACTTGGGCTGGCCCGGACCATCTTTGTCGGCCGGTCTACAAACGAGACCATCTTTGGAGTCTTTTTTCATCTTCCAACTCGTAATCAGAATACCGAGGGAATATACGGTCGAGCCATCCAGACTCACAGACGGCAACGAGGTTTGCTTGGTGCTCGACGTACTCCACCAGCCGAACGGTTCATCCCATTTACAACCACGTTTCTCCATCCATTCTTCGCACCGTTCCTTTTCCGGTCCCATTCCTTCCCCGCTCTTTGCTCTACCGGCTTGCAAGATACCTTTAACCCCCAACACATCAAAGCACTGCATTGCTTGTACTTCTAATTGTGCCGTTGGCCACCGAAATCCCACCCGCCAGCAGCAGGGAAGTCCGCCTTGCGGTTCCTTCATCGCCGCACACGCCTCCCTGGAACACTGCCCACGCTCCTTCCCGCCGGAGCCGAGCCATTCTCGCGAATCTGATGAATTAACAACCCCTGGGGTCGATCGACGAGACAGCTGCGTTTGCAGACGACACTTGCACGACAATCATTCAAATTTCTCCCTCCCCGCTCCTTACATCGGATACACAATTCTGGGACTCGACGACAACCGGCCTACACCCCAAATCAGCATACGCTCACTATGACTACTTCTCTTCCGCCGGATCCTTGGAAAGCTCTCGGTGTCGAGAGGAATGCGGACAAGTCTGAGATTCGGTCTGCGTACAAGAAGCTTGTACTCAAGTGCCATCCGGACAAGGTGCAGGATCCGACCTTGAAGGCGCTGAAGGCAGATGAGTTTCAGAAGGTGCAGCAGGCATACGAGCTGCTCAATGACGATGCTGAGAAGGCAAAATACGAGCAGAGGCTGAAGCTCCAAGAGCTGCAGCGCGCCGCCAAAGTACAGCAGGATGTGAAGACCTCGCCCAACACTTCGGTCCCGCGCTCGTCCAGCAAGTACACATACGACATCCACACTACCGCCTCCGCCACGTACAAGGCCTCTCCATCGGGCGGAAAGGTGTACGCGACTTACACAACAACCCAGTCCCGCTCACACGAGGATATGCCGTCATCTCGCAGTTATGCGCTGTACGACGACACCGACAGGCAAGCCCGGAGGACCGCGAGTTACGAGAAGCCGTCGAAACGGGACGAGGACAGGCGCGACCGCGACAGGGATGAACGAAGACGCAGAAAGGAAGAAGAAGATCTCAGGTTACGGGAAAAGGAACGCGACCGGGAGCGAGAAAAAGAGAAGGCCGAGAGACGGGAAGAAGAGAGGCGTGAAGCCCGCAAGGCTGAGAAGAAGCGACTCGAGAAGGAGCGCGAGAGGGACCGGGAGAGAGACCGGAGACGGGAAGCCGACGAGAAGTCCCGCCGCCACACGCCTTACGTAGAACACTACGACCCTTACTTGGATGAACTTGTACTTGAAGACGAGAAGTACGTCTCCTCCAAGTCAGAGAAGAAACGGTCATCGAGCAGGAAGCACGACGAGACGCGCGAGCGACCGCGGGAACGCGAACGTGAACGCGACCGGGATCGCGAACGGGAGAAATCGAGCTCCCGTCGGGCCAAGTCTCCTCATGTCAATAGCGATCGGAAGCATGTCGATCTATACCAAACCGCCGCAATGTACGTCGCAACTGCCGGTAGCTCTTTGCCCTCTGAAGCCGGGGCGTTCTGGAAATCGCAAACCCCTCACGCACCCACACCCCCGCCCGCCCTCGACTTTGAGGAAGAGGAGAGCATTCGGCGCTCGTCTGCCCGTGCGGCAGGTCGCCGCACCTCCAACGATGCCGCAAGATCTAGAGAGAAGCTCAATAAGTACGACATTCCAGAGGCGGCTCCCACTGCCAGGCCGATCCCCACGCTTTCCAAGTTCGATCCTCCTCCCGTCCCCGAATCGCCTCCGCGGTTGAACCGATCCCAAACGGCTCGGTATGAGTCGTCCAGGCCTATCCCGTCTCTCTCGCGCAACCAGACCTGGGGTCCGAGCATTAATCTTGCCGGCGATTACTACCCGGACTTCGATTCCGAGGAGGAACGGGAGCGACGCCGGCGCCGAAGCCGCCGCACCCGCTCCCCTTCGGCGCAGCCTACCCACCGGTACAAGGTGGAGGGCACCAAAACGTCCAAGCTCGAGCCGCAGTACTCGTACGGCGAGTCGCCGACCTCGGCAAGGCGGTATCAAACCGTCGATGCTTCACATTCGCCGTCGACAACATATCCAGGCGTCCCCTTCCGAGTCAAAGAGACCAAGGCCTATGGCCTGGGCGATGTCTCGTACGCGGAGTATGGACAGCCGTATTATTCGACGCATGCTGGCGAAGGGTACACCGTTGGTGCCTGAGCAACCTCCACAAGATCAACTGAGAGGGTTTGGAGGAACTCCGTTCTCGGTGTATTTTCTGCGTCCTCTTGTTAAGTTTTCTTTTATACCGTTTAATGAGCGGGTGACGGGTAAGTAAGCGTGGAGATGAGACCATGATGATGATTTAACCTTTTTCTTACACCATCGGTCCAATTTCCCTCTCCTCCCTGTTGATGGCGTTCATCTGGAATATCGGTGGTGATATTCGAGTCCGGATCTGTATCGGGTTTGATGTTGCTTACTCAACATTTACATGAACGACGGAAGAGCGTTATGACAAAACACAGTAACGAACCAGTCGTGTTCCTGTTTTTGTTTTTGTTTTTGTTTAGCTATGGGTCAGTCTCATGGAGTTTGGGCTCTGTCATGGCATTTCGAGCGGGCGGGCTAGCATGGTGACTGGATGACTGGATGGATGGATGAACGATTTGATGGCATGATTCGGAAGGCAGGCAAGGAAAATGAGACGACTCTCCACGAGCAGGCAACAAGTTTCTGACTTGTGTGTGTCCGCGCCGCTCCTCGGAAGAGGTTGGCAGCCTGTGGCGGGATGGTTGGAGGCGATTCGGTCATGGAATGAGAGGCATGGAGGAAGGGAGGGAAGCGCAATGACTGAATGAGAGCGTCTCTCTTGGATCCCTTGTTTCTGTCGTTTGTCCTTTGGTTTCCCTTTTTCCTTAACTTTTGCCTTTCTGGATGTACTTAGTTGGCTACGGCGATGGGGTTTGACGTGATCCCCTGTCGTCTAGATACAGAGAAATACAATGTGAAGTGATACAACTAAACTATACTGAACCACAATTCCCGTTGTGTTCGTCACGATGCTCTCCTGAGGGCAGAGTGTGTTGGGCCTGTTGATTTGCACCAAGATCCAGCACATGTTGTAGTCATTAGGGATAGACAAGCTTAATCTACCTAAAACAGTCATATTTGAACTGACAGTTTCTCAACAGGAGCCAGTGAAGAGACCGAGGGGAAACTTCAACCTATGGACTCGGTGTCTCCCGACTGGCAGGGACACTGTCTACCAAAAGATATCTTACAGCTTATTGTGTTTCGTAGGGCATAACGTACATTATCAGTGAGTGGGCCACTCTCTATTAACCTACAAACGCCATCCTCAATTATAAAGCAACAACCCTAGGAACTAACTATAGTTACATCAGAAACAGCTGAATCGAATGCTTCTATAGCCTCGTGGCAAGTGCGGGCCTTATAGCCTGGCTTACTGCACACACCACAGCACCGAACCCTCGCATAACCCCCCTCCTATACCACAACTTCCTAACTGCATTTCTTGCGCCCTCTCTCCGCCAACATCTGTCACAAATGAACCAACGAGAGTCAACAACGGCGGCTTACTTGCAGAAGCCAGTGGGGAACGTAGGACGTTCCGAGCCAATCACTTAGGACCAATCGGAACGAGTACTAGAGGTGCTCCAGAGAGCTCTCAGGAGCATGAGAGAGCACCAGTGCAAGGCCAATCAGAGGACGCTCTAAGAGGCTCTCGAAAGCACCATAGAGCATTGGCTCTAGGTGGCTCTAGAGAGCACGAGAGAACAACCAAATGCATCTAGTATATAGTCACTCGTTCTGGAGGACTCTGGGAGTTCTCCAGTAAGCAACTCAAATGCAAGATTGTCAGTACCCTTGGACATTGCTTGTTGTGAACCCTTTGGCTTCACCGAACCTCACCCCGTTGTCAAGTATAACCTTTAGGAGTCCCTTTCTGAAGTTGGGGCTTTGAGATTCGTCACAACATCCCCATAACCTAGTATCTCCTGTGCATCTTGTACAATAAGTAATCCTCCAAGCTGTACACGTGTTTTTTGGCTCTCCGGCGCTTGCTAGTGCCTCGTTGGCCTTGCGGAGCGAAGCGACCTTTGACTCAAGGAGAGCCACTCGATGCATTATAGCTATTGTACCCTTGGCAAGCTAGTCCACGGCAGTCAACGTTAGAGTCGGAGAGCTACAGTAATTTGATGTTTGATAATACGAGTCTTCATGAACGTTGACTGCGCATTACTTTCAGGAGTTGTAGGGTATTGTTGGAAAGTTGTGGCACTAGAACTTCGGACGCTCAGCTGCAAGTTCCCTGCTGTTGGTGGCTGCCCAACTGAGCGTCAGGCAACGTGAGGGGTAACCAGGGCGCTGGGCAACGAGGTCAGGGCGATTCCCCCTTCGCTGGAGACGTGAGAGAAGAACAACCTTCAATCAAGAACATCCGGGATGCTCCGAGTATCTCAAACCCACTGTTGTAAGCTCCCATCATCCGTGTGATCACCGTGGAATCGTGGCTGTTGGTCTTCCAACAGGTATATGGGAGACCTAAGGTTGTGGTGTTCTAGGCCGTGGGGTTAGGGGTATTAGTATACGTAGCTTGATATCTAACTTGGAAAGCATAGTTACTCTCTGGATCGTATAGTACTAGACCAGCTCCTGCAAAGCCACCCTAGGTATTCCTCTCCATTATAGAAGCAAACAAGGCCTCGCGAAAGGCATAGAGAAACTCAAGCTGGCTTACATAGTTGATATATATTCGCATCAAGTCCTCGATCTAGCGACCATACGCCTGCTTCAGCGGCCCAAAGCTGCCGAGATCGAGAGGCTAGAGTTTGTAGGAAGAGTGCGGAGGTATACAGAGCGTGATGATATTATTCCGCTAGCAGTAGAGCTCGACTTCGGTCGAGTAATGGCTCCCGTGGCTACCAAGGATCAACAACTAGTGTCACGAGTGGGCGCAACTGACTACTGCGTAACACCTTCAAAAGAGGGACCGTGGTTCGAACTGTCCAGTCGAACCAGGAGTTGCGCACATGAACCTCACACTGTCATGACCCGTGACATGCCTCGTGATTATAAATCTCCCATTAGATAGCTATACAGCCAATGTTAGACTAGGAGCTGTCCTACTAGCGCTTGACGCTCACATGGAACGGGCAAGCCGTCATCTGGGTGCTGGTTGTCTGGCGCTTCGAAGGGTAGGTGTCACGGCGATTGCGCCGTGCCTGCCAGGACCCACGGGTGGGGCCCAGCGTGTGGGGGCCCCTGCGGGTTGAAGATCCTGCACCTCGCTGCCGCGAGGTCTGCCGTAGCTCCTTGAGCTACGTCTTGACCATCAAGCCTGCCCGTACCTGACGGAATAGAGCCCAGACTGTAGCTTAGCCCGAATACAACTGCCATTGGACTATCAGCCTGTCCCACCCGTGACAGTAGGTTATAGAATTCGCTTACAAGATAGGGCCAGTCCTGCCCTTGCTACATCTGTAGGTATAACGGGTAGCGGTGGTCAACTCAGCGCCTCGAGGCTAGATCTCCTTAACTGTGAGGCGATATCCGTTGCTCAGGTCATGAGCCCTGATTGCCTCGTCAGTCTCGGCGAAGGTGACGTAGGTTGCTAGCGTCGGCGGCAGGTGTGACGGAATCTCAAAGCCCCAACTCCTGAAAGGGACTCCTGAAGGTTATACTTGACAACGGGGTGAGGTTCGGTGAAGCCAAAGGGTTCACAACAAGCAATGTCCAAGGGTACTGACAATCTTGCACTTGAGTTGCTTACTGGAGAACTCCCAGAGTCCTCCAGAACGAGTGACTATATACTAGATGCACTTGGTTGCTCTCTCGTGCTCTCTAGAGCCACCTAGAGCCAATGCTCTATGGTGCTCTCGAGAGCCTCTTAGAGCGTCCTCTGATTGGCCTTGCACTGGTGCTCTCTCATGCTCCTGAGAGCTCTCTGGAGCACCTCTAGGACTCGTTCCGATTGGTCCTAAGTGATTGGCTCGGAACGTCCTACGTTCCCCACTGGCTTCTGTAAGTAAGCCGCCGTTGTTGACTCTCGTTGGTTCATTTGTGACATCAGGGGAGGTCGAAAACAGGTTTGCAAGGGCCCTTGGCAATTAAAGATAGAGTTGAAGATAAGTTAGTTGATAGATCATGGTATTCTAGGCATAGCCTATAGTTGAGGTGCTAGGGAAGTCGACATAACCCAATAAGATAACCTGCAATTGCTGTAACGGGCTGAGCCCGTAAAGGCCTCGGCAAACTCTCGGCC